CCCATTGAAAAAAACAACAATGGCTCATGCAAGATTATGCCAAGTTGAACAGAATGTTATTGATGTTCAACAACAATGTAAAGTTTCATGTTCTTCACTCATCAGTTGTGAAGAAACTGAAAAATCATCAACTACCAAAACTCTGCAGTCCTGTCTGCAGAGTAATTCGAGTCCAAAACCTTCTCTCATCCTAACTGTGTGTAAGAATGGTAAGGAGTATTCAATGAGGAAGAGGGAAAACAAGTCCACAAAACGACCATCCAACAGATTGGAGGAAACTCAAAAATCCAAACGTCGTCACTTGGAAGACTTTCCTCTTGTTTTAACTCCAGTTTGCTCCTCTTTCAATCTTCAATCACAAGATTCAATTTACTCACCAATCATCATTACTCCATGCACCAGCAATTTGAATGATATTACCACAGAAATCTCTGGTATGCCTATTACTCCAAAGAGTTCCTCTGAAATAAGTGCTAGTTGTGATGAATTCTCTCAAAGCGATTCAGAAGAGCCGTCATCTGTTGCTACTGTTGATTCCCGTACGACTCAAAACACTAGACACCGTTCTAATTCTAATATTGTTCAAACTTCTTCTGAAGTTTCCACACCAGTCATTCCATTAACTAGTTCGACAATTACACCATACTCCTCCACAACAACTTGCTCCATAACCTCCCAATTCGATTCCCTTTCTTCTCCTTCCTCTCCTTTGTCTTCGTGCCATCCATCTGAAAATTACACTGATGACGAAATTAATATTTTCTTCAATAGTTGGATGGATTGTTACGAACTCAAAAAGAAACAATTCATTAATTCGAGAAATAAATTATAACAATTGTGAAAGACAATGTAATCATTTATGTCTGTTGCCTTACTTTCATCTTTAAGCCGCACCACTATCCAATATACAATCAGCTTGGCTTTCAGATTGGTCAGAGCATAACCGGTTTTCTTGACGGCAACCCCAAAAAGAAGAGATAGAAGATATTCAACAGGTTTAGGTGGTCGGGATTTTAATATTCTCATGTCTTGTTTACTATTTGATTGGGAGATGGCAGAAACCAGTTGCCACATTGCATACCAGCAGATTATTCTGACAGAAATGTTCTTGAGTTTCCCTTGTAAATGACGAAAAAGAAGGGAACATTTCCAAGAAATGGTTGTTTGAATTTGTAATTGAGAAACTTGTAACACTCTTCTGTGAATTGCTTTAGAATGATGAATGAATTTGAAAAATTCCCTCACTTACAATGTTCTGCTGACGTCCTGAGTACGTCATACGAAAACATCTCTTACCAACTTGCTTGTTCAATGTTCTTTCTCGTAGTGTTGTTTTAATAGTAGAAAAAAAATGCTTCAACAACCAACAGGTTCATCCTCTCATGTTGATGAAGATGTTGATGATCAACCAAATGAAAATGTTTTAAATGATGTTTCGGAAAGAGTAGTTTCTACTAATAATGTAGATGAAATAGGACCATTTAAATTGGGTGATTCTTCATTGGATCATGTAACTGATGTTCCCGAAGATGTTTTAATTCTCATATTTTCATTCCTTGAATATAGGGAAATTATTTTAAATATTTCATTGGTAAATTCAACCTTTTTGTATACATCGAGGAATGATGCATTGTGGAAACAATTTATTAGAAATGAAAATAATTCATCTTCAACAAATGATGAAAAAACCCACCTTGAAATTCCTCCCTCACAAAAAAGTATAGTAAGACGTCGAGTTTTTGAGAATACAAATGCGCATTCACTCTATGAAATTTTCAAATATGAACATTTGACACTCTATAAGGGATGGTATAAATTTAGAGGATATAGAGAAGGAGAGGAAAATCAAATGGAAAATGATTTCTTTATCAATCATAAAAAGACATTTGCTTCTTGTGAGAAGAAACCTGAATTACCAGATCCTGGTGTTGGAATTAATTATCTGACATTCCTAAGATCGACCAGTGATCATAACAAGATTCATTTAATGACCTGTTCTCACAGTGTTAATTTTTATGATATTGAAGTGAATGGAAAAGCTGCATTTGATGATGAAACTCAATATGTAAGCAATGTAGAATATAAATATGAATGGAAGGAAACTTATGAAGAGAGAAGTTTGCTGTGGTGCATTGATACTCAACAACATAGAATTCCAAACTTTCTAGTGACTGGAGGATTTTCCAATATATTGAATTATGGTTCCTATGATCCAGAGGCTGAGGATGGGGAAATTATGAAGAATATCGGACGTGTTCCCCACAATCACAAGAATGGTATATGGAATTTGAGAATTATTAATGAAAGTAGCTTTGTAACTGGTGGAGCTGATGGTGTGGCCAAAATATTCGATGCTTCCACTATGAAAGAAGTGAAAACTTTGATTTGTGATAAGAATGGTGTTTCCACTCACAAGAGTGCAATCTATGATGTCGATTGTAATCCATCTGGAAGATATTCAGATCTCTTTCTTACTGCCTCTGCAGATAAGTATATCAAGATTTTCGATACAAGATCTTCCAATGTTGTGGGAGAGGTATTTACTGATGCATATCTCTATGAAGTCAATGCTTCATGCTTTGATCCATCGGCAGGAAAATATCTATTCCTAGCTGGATCTGATAGAGGATTTATTCAAATTATTGACTATAGAAAAGTTTCTTCATCTTCTTCATCAAAAGAGGAAAATCCAGATCCTTCTATATTATATGATATGGATGTTTTCAGATTGGGAGCTATTAGAGGATTACAATTTGATGGTCAAAAGATTGTGGTTGGATCCAAGCTTGGAGTTGTCGTTATGACAACAGATGAATTTGCTCAATCATTGAATGGTTCAAAACTTGCTGAAGCACCACAAATTGATAAATTTATCAAATCTGGAGTGATGGTTGGAAATGATACTAAGAACTGTCCTTGGAAAGTTGTAAACTTTATTCCTACAAGTGGAGTAATGAGTTTGGAAATGGATGATGAAGCTTTAATTGGAGGAGATGGAAATGGTGATATTTTAATTGCAAGTTGTCCAACAACCAGGACTCCATTTACAAAGATGAATATCTTGGGAAAGAAGCCAACACCAAGCGGTAGTAAATGCCTTGTACAATAGAACAACTTCATTTAGGAATGAGATAAACAATTTGTAAGAAATTCAAAATAAATTAATTTATTATTGTAAACCATCTCCCAAGAATTTTACAAATCTCATTGCATAATTCTTTGGTGAGACTGCAGAAATTTGGTTTCTGTCAGCTACAAGGCCCTTGAAAATATTTTCTATTTGTTTCTTGTTATTCCATTTTTGTAACAAATCAATAATACCAAAGTAGTAAATTTCACGGCTACCATCCTCTAAAGGAAGTGACAGTGTACCACCATGGAATTGTTGGAATAGAGAGGCACGTGGACCTCTGTAGTGTTTTTTCAAAGAAACACTCAGTCTGTGATTCATAAATCTTCCAAAGAATGAGGAGGTGCTTTCACTACTCTTTCTGCTGTCCTGTGTAGTAGTTGACATACTTGTTGGATGATGTGTTGATGGTGTATTTTCTATGGTTTTGGTGCTTGATGAACCATTCAATGTTGGATGAGATTCATCACTAACCTCAATGGCAATATCTGTACTATTTACAACTTGGTCATGATGATCTGAAATTGGATTTGTAGTATTTAAAGAAGATGAAGCGCCTGTTCCCTGATCGGTTCCGTTTAAGTATGATGTAGAAGTCATTGAACTTGAAGCCACACTTGAGCCATGATTAAATACAGTAGTAAAAGCTTCCGAAGGAATGTCAGAATCTGACAATTTGATATTACAATTTTGAGCTTCTTTCAATACTTCTGCATCCAATTCAGGATCCAATCTGTGAACACCAACTAGTAAACTATAGTCCATGATCTTCATCTTTTCCAACCATGTAGCATCAACTTGAAGTTGATTCATAATGAGATTCTTCATTTGAGGTCCAACTTTTAACTTGCTACTTCTCCTCAAAAAATCTAAATCCTTATAAATTGGTGTTTCTCTCTTTTTTTCTTTCTCTGATGCTTCTCGTCCAACAGTTGAACCCTTTAAATCGTATCTCTCAGAAACATACATTGTTGTGTCAAACACATTGTTCATGACAATAAATCTTACATTTTTACCTCCTCGAGGTTTTATACTATACATTCCATAAAAACGAGTAATGAGAGTGTTTGGATTGGCCATAACATGGTTATAGTAATCTGGCAAAATTTTTCTCAAGAATTTTGATTCCTTTTTTGTTACAGTCTTTAACATGTATTGCATGTCAGCAGAGAAAAAGAAGAGAGCACCACTCTTACCAGGAGTGCCAAGAATTGAGAGAGACAGTTCATGACATAAACAAACAAGATAATTGGAAGCATCAATACCAAAACGTTCTCTCAAATGTCTAAAAGGAAATGGTGAGTAATCATAAAAATCAAAGAATGGGAATTCGTGTGGAGGTGTTCTTGTTGATCCCTTTTCTGGAAACGGCATTTTGTTAATATTAGTAAAATCCTTAAGTAATAGTACATCTTTTTGTTTTTTAGGTGTTATTTCACTGATTGCAGATCTAATACCCATTTGGATTTGACGCATTAAATTATATGAATTGTGTTCCTTGTAAACAATTTCACCCATAGCATTGACATGCCACTTTTTCTTCTTGTTCTTTTTTCCTTTTAATTTTCCATTATCAGAATCATTATCATCTTCAGGATGAGAAGTAAATTGTGGATGGACAGGTGTTGCTGGTGTATTTGCTGGATATCCATTTGATGAAATTGATGTTGCTCTTCTGTGTGCTGTAGGAGATAATGGCTCAGACTTTCCATCCAATGCTACAGGTGTAACCAAAACATTTAAATTATTTCCAGAGATGTTTAATTCGCTGTGTTGTTGTTGTTGTTGATGTAAACTACTATTTGTACTTGTTGTTGATTTGGCATCATCATTTTTATGATTTTCACTAGTTGCCTTCAAATTGTTATTGTTACTATCAGCAGCACTACCCGATGATGATGAAGACGAAGGAGGAACTACTGTCGAAGAAGAGGATGAGCCGCCCGCCTGAACCGTAAAAGACGAACTCTGCCCTGTTTGATGACTCGTCATTTTTTTTTAAAATAAATTTTGCTTGATGTACTTGTCTCGTATGTTGTTTTGTTGTTAATCAGGCCGTTAGAAATGATGAAGGAAGAATATTTTAATATACACCTAAAGAACAGCCGCTGCTATTGTGCGGATGTTATTATTGTATTGTCGAGTACGATATTTTGTGTGATAAGGTGGTGAGTAAGATATTGGTGAGACGGACAAGAAGTGATGGACTGGTTGAAGTTTTGTGCGCTCAAACGAATGATGCTATTCCTTAGGATAGGTATTATCTTCAAAAACTACTGAATCTAATGTTGTTGTGATAATAATAAAATTATCAAAAAGGAATTGGTTTCAGTTGAGTTGTGTAGGATTGTTTTTTGAAATTGTAATTGCAACGATTATTTTGTTGTTGTTCTTGTTCATCACTTCACCTGATGAACGTTACAACGAATTGGAAGTATGAGATCTGTACGTTTGCGTTCTTTATTTGAAAGGTATTGACAAGAAACAAGGAAATTTAGTAAGTAACAAGATAGAAACATACTATTGGTCATCAATTTCATTAAAATGACAAAGGATTACAATTATTATGGTGGCCAATAATGTCTTCTCAGTTGCCAAAAATGTTAATGAACCAGTTTCATAATTCCTTGTCGTTTTAATGGAATGATTAATTGCTTAATTAAATTCGTCTTCATCCTCAAGAGTGTGTAATCTGTTGGTGTCTCCTGCTCCAAGATCGTCCTCTTCCAATTCAAAATCCTTTTCTAAGGAAAGTCCTGATAACCTCTCTTGAATATCATTTCTTGGATCTTCAGCATTAATACTGATGGATGCATCTTTGAAATCATACATGTAAGTGAGCATGAAAACTAAAATTGAGGCAACAATACTGTATTGAGATAGAGCTCCAAGGAATAATTGGAATAAATTCATGAGTGGACAAGTCTTGTTAATAACCTCAGTTTGAGAACATGTGACTGTAACTAAAATTCCCATAATAAAACTAAAGATTGGCCCCACAACCAAGAATGAGCATGAACTGACAATTTTTACAATAACCCAAGGATTGAGAATTTTCTTTTTTGGAGAAATTTTCTTATCATATAACTGGATATTAAATGAATTGGTGATGCATTCCGCTTAATAAATAATTACTATAATTGCACTTACTACATTGAAAATGGTATTGAGTACCATGTGAATAAACACAGTTGACATGAAGAAGAATGTAAATATCAAGTGAATGATGGTATATGGAAGAATTTCAATTGATTCTGCTGACTGTTGACTAGTAGAACTAGTTATAAAAGATACAGTAGTAGAGGTAGTAGAATTCGAAAGTAAACTATCATCAATAACTTCTCCTCCCATAATTGGCACAATTCCAAGTCCAAGTAAACAAAATCCTGAAATCAAAGCAAAAATACAGGATGCAATACTCAACCATCCCATTCTAAAACATCCATTACAATAATTTAAAGTGTGTCGTTGATGATCCAATGAGGTTAATTTTTCCTTTGTTGTAATAAATTGCAAAATTGCTCCAACTATTAAACATATGGATGGTATCACAAGGGATGCTGTGAAAATATATTTTGTCGGAGGAAATATTCCTGTTTCACTCAGGGCAGGCAAATGTTTAGAAACACTATCTGGTGCTGTTAACAAGCTCAAAACTATACAAAATAGGAGAGAAATTGCTGTCAAGACAACAATGACAGGAGGAAAATATTTAATCTATCAATATATTAAATACATTAAAATTATGAAAATAAGAGTTTGAATTTTCCATTCCGACATAAAGATAATATTTAATCATCATTTTGAAAAAGAAAAAATCGTACCTTGATGAGTGTTTTCATTTTTTTGATTTTTTCAAGTCGTGATTGGATAATTAGAAGGATAGTGGAAGAATTGAAGTCTATTTTCACCTTTCTAATTTATGAAGCTTTACGTATTGAGTACGATATCTTGTCTTATCATTCCACTATTGTAATCTGCTCCAACTTAAGTTTCCATCATAATGTTGCAAAGTACTGTTATGCAACATAATGAATTGAATATTAATATTAATAATAATTCAGATTTAAAGTTATTCAGCATGTCTTAATAAAGTATTTTGTTATATCCTAGAATTTGTTATCTGAAACAATTCCTGCCTGGAGGTTATTTCACTATCGGTAGGAGACACAGGCGAAACATGTGATAAGGTTAATCCTTTCTGAATCCGTTCAGATCCTGTTGAATCGAATGCAGTCACAATGGTTGTCAAATCTTTTGAATCTCTCTTTTCGAATAATTGTTGAAATTCCTTCACAGGTCCATATAAATATAAATACAGAACTACAAGGACCATTATTGATATATTGTAACATATATGAAATCCACTCATCATAAAATGATCCACCATTGATAATGGAGTGAAAATAAATCCAATAATCTGAAAAACAGAAGTTAGTGTAACTACAATAATGATACTCCACACTTTCTTGAGGGCTCTTGTTTTCAAATCATAACTTTCTTTCAATTGTGGTGGAGATGAGGAAAGTGTCATGGCTTGTTTTCTTCCATTAACAAGTGTTTTCAGCATTAATTTCCCACAATACTAATTGATTTTGTTCAAATTTTAAATAATTAGAAACCTACATGAGTGTTTATCAGGAGCATACTGGAAGCAACCCCTACCAATATAGCAGAGGCAGTAAATAGACAAGTCAGTATCGTATTCAATATCCCAAGATTTCCATAAACGTAAAAGAAACCTCCTAATACTAAAAATCCACTCAGAAGAAACATTAAACAAATCAAAACAACCAAAGCCAATCCAAAAGTTATAAACTTAGCAATTTTGAAATGCTTAGATGAAATGGCTCACTTTCCAAGTTGTTTCCAAACTAATCATCATAAAATGGAAAGTATTCTAAGTACTTACAATAGAAAAGACATGTAATCAATTAATAAAAGTTCCATAGACATTGTAAATCCTATCATGGTTCTGTCAATAGCCTTTACCAGTCCATATATTCGTTCAAGTCTATCCGGATCAGTTTCGAAATAGCAAAGTTCGGAACCAATTCTTGTAAGTAAATTCAAAATGACTGCAAACAGCAAGGACAGAACAAGTATAAGGATGTAGAAGGTTTTCCGTTTCGTCTTATCTTGTTTCTTTACACTAAATATCAAACTAATCAAGGTAGCACTAAATAGAATTGAATATATTATCAGAAAGGGAATATTGACCCCGAAAATCATGTACTGAAATGGTCCAAACTCTTCCCTAGATGTTTCGGCTACAATAGTTGTATTCGTTCCATTCAATCCCACCATTCTGTTTTTTTCAATGTTAGTTACAATCTTGATGTGGTAAATGTCAAAATCTTGTGGAGATAATGTTGTTTTGGACTAAAGAGTTAGAGATTTATTGCCTCTAACAATACCTTTTCCATAGATCGGTTTCCTTCAGATAATATATATTGTGCAATTGGATAACAATGCATTTGATGATTTTCTGTAACAACAGCCACTTGTCTTGGATTAATTTGATGAGATTTAGATTCTAGTAATTGAGACAAGTATTCATTTCCAGGGGTTAGCTCTTCGTGATTACTATAGTTGATTACCCATTTGGTTTGAAGTAATTTGTTATAAAATGATTCATCTTGTTTCTCCATTTCCAACATTGTTTGAAGAATTGAATAATTCTTCTTTTCCTCAATTGGAATACATCTATTAATCAAATTAACAAGTCCCTGATTCAAGATCAAAACGTTTTCTTCCTTCCACTTGTCAGCTTTAATTACAGCATTTGATAAATCACAAGGAGCTGAAAATAGTGCAACCGAATGAAGGGGCCAAGACTGGCTGTTCATCAATTTTTTCAAAACCAACAATGCAGAATGACATGCACCAGCAGAGAAACCAGAAATTATAATATCCTTAGCTGGTACGTTCTTTTCCTCAATTAAATATTTGAAACAATCAAAGCAGTCTTCTAATTGATCACTGAGATTCGATGTAAGTGTTCTCTTGTCCATGGTTTCGTAGAACTTAGGATCCTCTGCCAATCTGTATTCAACAGATAATACATGGCTAATCAAATTTTCATTATTCTTATGTTTCTTATTGAAATCTTTAATACCATAGACTGTTGATTGAAGATCAAGTCCTAAAGAAGAGCCAGATATGAAGCCACCTCCATGAATAAAGAGCATGACTTTTTTCATTTCTTTACAACCTTTCATTGTAATCCAATGTGAATCTCTCAATTTTTCAATCTTTTCCACTTTTGTTGCACAGCCAAACAAAGTGTCTTCCAATTTAGGATACAAGACAGGTATTTGCTTTCTAGAAGCCTCTCTAAACTTGGCCACGCTAGTATGATTAATTTTTAGTCCAACCTTCATCAACTTGTTCCATAATATTGTTTCGTTAGATGCTTCTTTTCCATCATGGTGATTTTTCTCATCCCTATGATGGTAATATTTTCTGTAGAGTTGTATAATGAAACGATAGATGGAGAAGAGTAGAACTAATGTGCGAAAAGTAAACCAGGTGATTAGATGAAGGAAGGAGAGAATCATTTTTTTTGTAAAATGTCAATAATGGTGGGTTCATTCGAGATTGATGCGCATGTTACAATTACAGTATGTGTTTTCAAATATTTCATTATCTATAATTTGAAGTTACTCTTTTGTAATACTGCATTCCTGAAATTTAATTTCGTAATGGTTAAATTTTCTGAGTTTTAACTTCCAAATTGTAATGTTCCTGGTGTTATTCTTAATATGGTGTCTCTATATTTTTCTCTTCTTCGTCTTGCTTGCTACTCGTGGCTTGTTTTTCTCAAATTCCTCCTCAAAATCTTCAATTAGATCTGGTGAAATATTGTTGTTTGGTTCCCACGAGTTATCTGAGTTGGGATAACCTTCCCACTTTACTAGATAGTATGGCTTTCCATGCACTATTTTTCTATCCAACAGCTTTTCCACAAGGTAGATTTCGTCATTCTCTTCATCACTGTTTTCTTCTTTCTTTGGTTTTTTCTTTTTTGTTTTTTCCTTGCTTTCTTTCTTCTTGGATTTCTCTTGTTTTGATTTCTTCTTGGCTGGTTCAACTTTTGAGGCAATAACTACTTCAGGTTTTAATTTTGGAATCTCATTAGATCCTGTAGTTGCCTCTAATTTCTTTAGATCGATTTCATCTTCTGATTCTTCATCAGAGCTCAATTCAATTAAAACTCTTTTTTTAGAAGTTGTTGATGAAAGAGTTTGTTGAACAGAAGACTTCTGAGGGATTGTCTTGGAACTAGCTTGTTGCGATTTGGAGAGTTTCAAGTTGCTTTGAACTTGTTTTTCGGTTGTTGGTTTTGTACTTTCTGGCTTCTTTGGTTGAGTGTTGGTTTTAGAAGAGTGGTTAGATTCGTTATTACTTGGTTTTGTAATTGTTGCAGTTTTTTGTGACTTTATCCCTGATAGATCTGTTTTCTTGTTGGGGGTAGCTGTGAATCTTTCAGAAGGAGTTGGTTGACCTGCATCCCTTTTAGATTCTCCTAAAAATTCTTCCATCAAATCCAGAACAGAAAACCTTTCATAAGCACTCACTGGTAATGGTTTAGCATCTTCAGGTTTGAAGTCAGCAGTTAAACATTTCATTTCATCATCAAGAGCATTTCCAATTACATTAATAAAGTGTTTTTTGTGATCAAACCACCTTAAGGATTTTAAACACTCTCCACAAAAGCCAATATTACATTGATGACAATTAAATAAGACCCTTTTGATCTGTTCCTTACAATATCTACATTTTTGGAAAGGTTTTAAAGGAGGGGTAGGGACAAAAGGCCCCTTCTCACTTTTTCCAGAAACCAGCTCATCGTTAGTGACATAGCACTTTGCACATAGATCCATCTTTCCTTTTTCTGCTGACATGTATGCATCTCCATTCAATAGTACATTACATCCATCACAAGTGGTGCATTGCCACTTTGATTTCTGTATTAATTTTTTCTCCTTTGCTATAAACTCATAAAGCTTGGAAATGGCTGCTTTTTGTTTCTCCTCTTCATATTTCACATCTTCTTCACGTACATTTTCAGTCAATAGTATTTTATAAAAGCAAGTCAAATGGTGACATTCATGAGCTTTGTAATAGTTTTCGTGGTTGTCCTGATAGCCTCTGAGAACTCCGTATGGAATTGGCTTAAAACAAGTTTTACAACTAGATCTTCCACTCTTGGAAAACTCAACACCATATTCTTCAGGTTTCTTTTGTTTCCAACAATCAGAGTACAACCTTTTCAATTTTTTCCTACAGTCAACAATAATTTCAAGTATTTCTCTAATACTGCTAGTTTTTACATTTTCCTTCTCTGTTGTTTTTGGCTTCACAAGCTCAATATATTCTTGAAAATTTACGTTCATTGGATAGTATCGATAGCTTTTAGAAAACAAGTAAATATTCAACTACTTGATAAGCCAACTTACAAATCGTTAGAATTAAACTCCAATTTTAATTTTCTCAACCTTTCTTCATAGTATGAAACCAAATTCAACCATAAATTAGGATCAATTGTCACAACGTTCAACACCTCTTCCGATGATGATTGAACCAATTCATCAATTTTACTCTCATCAAATAATCCAAATAATTTCTTATTCACCATCGTTAGGGCAAACAATGAGGAACAATCCAAATATTGAAGAATAACACTGAAAAGATCAGGCACTTGAACAAGAGCATTAAAAACGCCTGGTTTGAAACCGAGCGTTATTTTCATTTTTTTTTAAATATTACAATTTCAAACTCTAATTTTGGTGGGAAAAGTTATTGGGCCAATTCTTCTAAGAAGGAAGCTTATTACCCCAATAATATTATTTTTTAACCTGGGTAGTTGCATTCAATTCAGAGATTGATCATTGATATTTTCCACAATCTTGTCCAATTTACAACAAGTGAGCATAAAGTGCCTTAGTAAAACCCTTAATTAATTCATTTGCTCGATATTTATCAATAAGCCGGAGAGAAACCTGTTTGAATGTCTCTCCATTCTATCATCCTTCAAAATTGGAGACTACATTCATCAGGTAAAACATGTTTTACCACAAGCAAAACTGTAAGCTTGAAAATTTTTAGTATCGTAAAGATACCAAAAAATGCCGCAACAAAATGCTGTGTTAAAGGATGGTGGGGACTCTGATGGTTTCATTGAACAATGTCAAAGGCTTGGACTCTCTTCGGAGCAAATATTTGAATTGTGGAAGTTGAAATTACAATTCACTCAAGAAGAAGCCAAAGCAAAAGCAAGACAGGAAGAATTAAAATTGGAAATTGAATTATGTAAATTAAAATCAAATGGAAGTAGCACTGATGAAAATAAGAACAAACGCAAATTTGAGGAAATTAGTGATCAAGATATGGATCACGATAAACTGTTGAAAACCAAACAAATCAAAACCTGTTCGGAATTATTTTGTGATGATGTATTATGTAACATATTTGCATATTTAAATTATGATTTTGAGATTTTTAAATACTTGACAGTTTCAAAACAATTTAGGAATGTTATTAATACTATTAAAAATTTATTGATAAGGAAATCTACTCTAATACCTAACTGTGATTTAATTCAAATAGAAAATTTGGAAATACTTTCTCAGTATGAACCCGATTCTCTATTAAAATTAATTCTCAAATGTGTAAACATCAAACACCTTGTCATTAAGAGGTTATTTGAGGAAAATGATAAAACTTTCACATTCCATTTCAAGAAACCTACCATACAATTTATAAAAATTAAAACTAGTTATAACAAAATAGAATTAAAAGACAGAAATTTATATAATTTGAAACTTTTAGATATTTCAATGGAGGAGTATGATATTATGAAAAAACTATCACCAATTATCAATAATTATACTGACTGTCTTAGAATATTGAGAATTGATGATCTATTTAGTAATATTTCTCGGATTTTAAATTTGAAACTCCTCTCAGTTTTGGATATACAGCTCGATGGTGAAAAGCAACTAATAATGCTTCTAAATAATATTAAAACATTAGAAATTTTAAAAGCATACATGATAGATGCAAGTGAGCAAGATGATGAGGTTGTTGACACTGATATGATTCTAAATTTAAAATACTTAAGGATTGATTATTCACAAGACACTGATCAAGCCAGTTATTGTCTTAATCATGTATGGAAATATAACTTTTCAAATCTGAAAATATTGAAAATAGTTTCGAGAGTATTTAAGGACACTGAAAAATTTTTCAGTAATAATACATTGAGAAATTTAGAAATATTAGTATTTAATTTATATGCGACCAAAGATTTGGCATTTAGTTTGAGTAATTTGAGCTTAGTTAAAAATTTGAAGCATTTACGTATCAAAGTCCTAGGAGATATAGATTTTAATATGTTTTCTAATGAATGTTTGAATAATTTGGAATCGCTGTTTACAAATTCAGATATCTCTCAAAATTTGGAAAAGATTGAACATTTAAAACATTTAAGGAGATTATCAGTGGTAATCAGTGGAAAGGAGCAATTGATGGATTTTATTAAATTGGATGTACTGAGAAATTTGGAATATTTAAGTATTATTTGTACAATTGGAGAATTTCCAAAAGAATTTTTTGAAGAATTGGGTAAAAACTATGAGAATTTAATTGCATTGGAATGTACATTTTCATCGTACAAAGATATTGAGTTATTGCAACAGTTTAAACCACCAAAATTGAAAAAAGTTCAAATTCTTAAAGATCTATCCTCTTTCTCCAGCATGATGTTTAAATTACTTTCGAAATGGAATGAAATTGAATGGAAAGTTAGTGACTGTTCTCGTTTTCAACACTTTATTGATCATCAAATCCAAAATTTTGAAGATGCTGTGTTAAAGGAGAGTACAGTAGACGACAACTAAATATTTTTTAACCTTATAATACCTCAATTACATTATTTGATTGTGTGAAAAAAAATTATTCAAGAACTCTTCATTGATTGTTAAAAAATGGATGCTATTGAGGGTTATTCGGTGATAGGTTGCTCAAACGAAATCTATATAATTTTTCAAGCCACTCAAAGACGCAAACAGTTGTTTTTAAATTGAGTGGAGGTTTATATATGGATGTATTCCGAATTACAATATCTACCAAGGGTGTAGATGGTGGCTCTTTAGCAAGCATTACCTATGCTACCAATGAGGAGAATGGAATGTGGGAAAATGATTCCTGTTTTTCCACTTTTTGTGTCATAAATTTAATAAATTTACTAATTTAATGCAAACTACTGTTGGATACCTTTGTATTTCTGATCACAAAATTAATAACTCGTCAAACACTGCTTAATATTGCCATTGTTTAACAATATACCAAAGTTTTTCAACACCGTGCCATACCTTGATACATTAATGAAATCCTAATCTATTAACTCAATCAATTTAAAGAAATGACACCTTGAAATATTTTACTTGAATGTTAATAATTTCTCATTACGATGCAGAACCAATAGCTCTCCATTGGAATCATTGAAATGCATCATTGACCAATCGATTGTTTTACCTTTTACTCTCAACTTGCGTGATCCAACAACACTGAGATTATCATCGCGATATTGAAATGCCATAATTTTAGATGATTGCTGGGTTATAAACACATTTGAATTTGGCTCATAGATGACAGCGCTTCCAATGCAAATAATGTTTGTTTTCAAACTCTGTATTACATTCATTCTTTGATCCACAAAATCAGCAGAGTTATACCTGTAAAATATTAAATTAGATCCACTGACAGCTAAATGTAATACAGTACTTGAGCTACTTATAGTATCAGGGACAGTTATAGAACTCAGTTGTTTTCCATACTTGTAACTAAAACAATCTAGGATATTCTTTTGATTAGTGAAATAGATCAATATAGCAGCGTCACCCTTTTCAACATTCTCAAACTCTCTATTTGGAACAAATAGCATTGTGGCAGTTCCATTTGTCTTGGGTATATTCTTCTCAATTTTCCACACCAAATTAGAAGCATAGCTATCTAAAATCCTGGTATTTCTATTCTTCATACGACTTCGTTCTTTCATCAATGTGTCCAAATTAATTTTATGTATTTCCAATTTACCATTAAAACTATCCGAAAGTAGTACAATAATGTGAGCCTGATTATTTGGATCTTGCTCTCGTTCTACCACTTTAAAATGTAGTGGAGGTCCTCCCAAATTATATCCAAAGGGAAAGAGTGGAAACCGATTCAGATACCTTTTAGATTTGAGAGAATAAACATAGACCGTGTTGTTTGATGAGAGCATGAGAATACAATTTAAAGATTTGCAAATTGCAAACGAGTTGGCAATGAATCGTCGTTTCCACCTTCTTGTGCTAATAGTATTAATTTTACGAAAGGTGGAATATGCAAATGAAGCTCCGGTCGGTTTCTTCTTACGAAACCTTTCTTGCAGAAATTTATTTAATTCCCAGCCTTGCTGTGATGGTGTTGTTGAAAAATCGAATAACTCAACCCTAACTTGTTCTGCCATTTTTTAATATAATTTATTGGAAAGTTCAATACGAAAGTTGTTGTTAGAAATTAGTTTGATTTTACTTTTTGAGCTTCTAAATACTTTACAAAAGTATAGAGAGCACTGCCAATCATTGCAAGACAAATACCAATCACATTAGTTTGATTCAAAGATGTATCAAAAACAATGGTAGAAAGGTAGACTGTCAGCACTTGATGTAACAATCCACAAATTCCCATTGTGAGTGGACTTGTAGAGGAATTGGCAAGGAAATTGAAATAGTTCAATAGGAATGCAACAAATCCTGTAGAAATGACAAATCCAACTGTCTTGACATTATATAAAACATGTAAATTATTGTTGAAAAGGTCTGAAACTTCTCCAGTCACTGCAGCAAAAGCAAACATTCCAAAAGAGCTCCACATTGAAAGCTTACTCAATAAATAAATTGGATGGAACTTGTACTGATTGAGATACTTATTGGTAAGAGTAGTTTTGAGAGCACACATAATGTTTCCAATTAATAAAATAGCCAATGATTTGATATTCAATAAATCTTCTTCAGTATTTGAGCTAACCTTACTGTCATCTTTCTTACAAGTCAAATAAACTCCAATAATAATTGGTAAAACAGTGAGAATAACGCGTGTACTAGGTCTACTTCCAACACCCAACACAACCGAACAAATCATTATAAATATTGGCATTGAAGATCTGAAAACTTGACTCAACAATAAATTCACTGCCTTGACACTCATATTTCCGAAAGCAATATTCAATACAAATAACAATGAGAAGTACATTATTAAATGTCTCAAATCATGACCCTTCTTTTCCTCTTCCTCCTTTATCTTTCCATTCATCCTTCCCCACACAAAACTTCCCATCAACCAATTTATAATCATATGTACAGTCGACAGCAGCACTGGATACTTGAATTCTGTCCATTTAAATACTGCTTTATTCATAAACGATAGACCAATCACCAATATCAGCCAAACAATGCAATAAAAGAATATTCTACCAGTTCCGATTGGTTCTGTCGATTTGTAGGTTGAACCTCCTCCTGCCATTTTTTATGTGTTTTGTTGTGTTTTGTTTGAAAATACTTGATGCCACTCATATTACATCAAGTTGCATCAATGATGATTAAAATAGCCCGCACTTGTTGGATCCTTAAATGCAGCGGGTAGGACTTTTGACGGGTGTAGGAGTTTTACTAATTTTAAAGTAAGCTAGTTAGAGGACTATCTTTACCTTATCATTTCGACCTTTTCTGAAGTATTGAAAATAAATTTCACAAAACCTTAGTAAAAATACATTCAAAAAATGATTCAATGTCAAGAATTCTACTAGTGAAATTTGGGAATTTGGTGATTAAAACAGATTAATGTTTGATTTTCTTTTTGGCTCTTTCATTGTGAAGTTGATTGCCTGATTTGGTGATGATGAGCTTGGATTCATACCATTTTGCTTTAGTTTTCTTACCATCATTTCCACGAATTCTCTTCAAAAGCTTTACAACATTTGGAGATTTCTTTTCTGGTCTATTAGAATATCTCAAACGTATGGCCAATTGAAGTGAGTCTGGATGAGCAAACTCTACAAAGGCATACTTGTTGAGTCTGGTCTTCTTATTGGGAGTCTTATGTTTGTGAATGTAGACATTCAATATAGCTCCACATTTGTGTTGATAGAAGAATTTCTTGATATCTTGAATTGTAATTGAGTTTGGAAGTGGTGAAAGATAAATAGTTCTATTTTGTTTTTCTGTATCTTTCACTTCAACCAATTTGGTAAGATCAAACTCAATTACTCTATCCTTTACAGAGTTTAGAACTATGGAAATATTGGAACTTGTTGAAATTGAAAGAGAATTACCAGAAAGAGCTAAATATTGAATTGCGGATTTAGGATTTTCAATAGCAATGATATTGGCAATTTGTGTACATGTCTTGTCACTTAAATGATTCAATTTGAGTCCAAGCCTCTTAAGAGTGGTATTTTGTTTGAGCATTTCAATAATTGAAAGAGCTCCTCTTTCTTTGGCTGAATTCAAACCAATATCCAAATCTGTGATTGATGTGTTTTGTTGTAATGCTTTGGAAATAATGTCAATTCCTTCAATTTGAACAAAACATGAGAATATGTTCAATTTCTTGATGGAAGAGTTATTTGTAATGATTTCAGCTAATGAAACACTTCCTGTAACTCCCAAATCATTACCAGAGAGGTCCAAATCTTCAATGGTAGTATTGAGTTTCATTATAGAGGCAAGTGGTCTCAAACCTGTTTTGCCAATCTCATTATTATTCAATTTGAGAGTTTTGAGAGGAAGGTTGAATTTAGGATCCAAAGCTGCTGCAATTCCTTCCATATGAGTTTTGTCAATTTTACATCCCGATAAATCCAAATAATTCAAATTTGTACACATTTTCATTATTTGACCAATACTAATTGCCTCTTTGATATTTGACTGTAATAGATTAGTTAAATTATTCTTAGATAGAGTTAGCTTTTGTAAATGGACAAGCTTTGGTGGGACAGCAGCATTAGGTCCATCCAAGAATTCTCTCGTTTTGTTAGCATTCTCAAAGTGTAACAAAAGTAATCTACAATATAATTGATACACCTCAGAGAGTTTGATATCATTATTTGATAGATTCAAAGTTTCCAATACGTAGTTATCTTTCAAAGCGAAAGCAAATAGTGAAATATCTTTGAATTTTGTTTCGGCCATATCAATATCTTTCAAACTCTTTGATTTACCAATTCTGTTGAATACTTCTTGGGTGAGAATGTGGAATCCATTAGCTTTCCACAAGTTAATCTTCTTGAGAGTTGTGGAAAGATCCAACAGTTTGACCATACTTTCAGAATTACCATTGGCTACAATAGAACTAGTCATACTGAAATCAATCTCCGCAATACATGAGGAGTATCCCAAGTGTTTCAATATGGTATACAGTCCTTGCTCTGATGGATTTCCAATAAATTTGAAGGATGTAATTTCCCTCTTTACTAGCAAAGCTTCAGCAATACATTCAGCTCCATTTTGTCTAATTCCACAGCGAGAAAGATCCAACTCACGTAGATGGGGAACATTTTCATGTCTCATTAGGAATTTGGACAGGTAATTGGCTCCTTGATCTCCCAGTGGATTTCCACATAGAGCAATACGTTTCAAGTTACAAGAGCTCAGAGATCCTTTTGTTAATTCTCAACACAACTAGCTGTAATATCACAACTGTCTAAAATCAAATTCTCTAATTTGGCTTGATTATTAGAAAGCCCTTTAATAAGAGCACGGAAACCTGATGTTCCCAAACCAGTTTCACCTCTTGAAATTGTTAAGGTGTCCAAATTCACAAGTTTAGTCAATACAAGCGTGAGGAAGTAGTATTTGCTCTTCAACTTTTCTGGATTAAACATGACAATTTCCAATCTTGGAATCTCAACACAAAGTTCCAAAACATGATGGAGATACTTGAAATCACAAGATTCATTCAATGAAGAAATCAAGTCTTGTAAATTGTACTGCAAGTAGAGTTTTCGCCAAGGATTTGAGAGGTTTTCCAAATAGTCAGGATATTTAACCGTACCCCATCTTTGTATACAGCCTGTTTTCCACTTCTCTTCATTGGTTTCGAGTATGTAATTTCCTTGTCCATCATTAATTAGATATTCGTCCAATTTCTTAGTGTGTCTTTGGAACTCTTCAGGACTCATAACATAGATAGTAGATCCATGGTATCCCTTAGTCTTACTCTTCTTGATAGATTGCTTCAATAGTTCAACAATTTGATCTTCCTTGACCTGACTCATTCCAACAAACTCAAAGAATTCCAAGTAGTTTTTGACACAGTTAATTTTTTTCAATGTTTCTAAACAGGAATCTTCATCTGTTGGATTCAATCTACCAAGTCTATTATCAAACTCATTTCTGATTTCTTCAATTTCAGTTCTTTCAGGTCTTGCAATGTTTTCTAAAATGAATATGTTCAACATTAACAATTTCTGACTGGCCTTACTTGTTTCAAATGAATATTTGAGACGATCCATGTCATCGAATTCTTTGCAATTTTCCATTTCTAATTCTTTATATCTATTAAGAAGCCAAAATACATTTCTAGTAAACGACTCCTCAATGTATGCACTTGAAATGTCCTTCCAAGAGTAATCACTCAATGGAAGGATTGCCAATAGTTCTCCTAAATTTGGAGTCACGTCTTTGTGTCTGTTATCCTCAGAATCAATAAATCTCTTAACATTATTATTAATTGTTACCAATAATTCTGGATATTCCTTCACAAACTCCAAAAATGTTCTATAGTAATGACAATAGATCTTCAATGCTCTGATAGAACCATGCTTCTTCTGTGTAGTCATAATGTCAACAGAAATAGTTGTCAGAATCTTTGGAAATACTTCCATAACTTGTTCAGGTTTGAAATTCTTTGCATTACCTGTGCAAATCATTGAAATTGAACGTTTAGCCAAGTGCATTGCCTTTTTACCATGGTTTGGCTCAACGAAAATAGGCATCCAATGAGTAAATTCATCACCATTCGATGTTTTTCTAATGGAATAATTCATAAATGATCTCAAAGATAACAACTCAAGAGTTGATTGGATCAAATTAATTCTTCCAGTTCTAATATTCTTTGTAAAGGTGATACCATAACCAAGCACATCTTCCTCATAGGAACTTCTGGAGAAATAGCAAACAAGCTCAGATTTGGTAAACTCATTCAAATCAATAACTTTTGCCTGTGCTGTTTGAAACTTTGGGAACGGCTTTGCAGGAGGAAAATGGCCAACAGAAGGGTCTGAAAATCTCAAAGATTGCTCAACTGCCCACTTACAAGCGTCAACTATTTCCTTCTTTTTTTGCTTGTATTGCTTTGGGTTAATAGTTGCCATCTCATCCACTCTCTCGTCATCCAATAATATGGATTGTAATTGGAGTAAAATTGATTGCACAGAGTAAGCTGTTGACCATGCATCTCCCAACATGTCTAAACATATTGATTTGCCAATGATATTTGGATGATCAATTGGTGTACACAATTCAACAGTTGGTGGTTTGATTGGGTAGTCAGTTGGAAAGGTTAGCCTAATGTGAAATATTCCTCCTTCATAAGACCCAAATCCCTTTAAATTGGCTCTCCATTCAAATAGATTTTTCTCTGCATCTACGGGAGCTGCCACAATATCAGGCAGTGGATTTTCATTAATTTCCTTCAAATCCTTGAGTAATCTTCTTGTGGCAATATTAACAATGGATGCCTTTTGTTTTTCTCTTCCAATTGAAGTCTTAACCATTCTCTGATCAAGTTATCAAGTTAAATATTTTTTTTTGTTAAAGTTCGTGAGCAGTTTCAAATATCTATTTAAAGATCTGAAACGTGAGATGTTAAGAGGAATTGTATTGTTGAATGGTTAAATTATTTGTTGAACATGAATCAAGAAAACTTACAAAAGCTACTTTAATACGATGTTTATCTATCGAGTAAAGCCACAAGTGATGAACTAAGATTGAATGGGAATTTGAGGAAAACACGCATGATCAATCCCCAAACTCCACTAATATCAATAATTTCAAAATCACGTTCAATTCCACTCCAAGTCAACTTGGCAGCCAACTCTGAAGAAATCATTCCAAGTTGCATTTCCTTAGCTGGGAAAGCCTTTGACATACTTGAATGGACCCATCCTGGCACTAGAACTGAAACTCTAAGATTTGAATATTTAGGAGAGGATTCCAACTTGGCTCTGAGATTTCTAGCAATTCCAATAAGAGCAGATTTAGCTGTTGGATAGAGACCCATTTCTGGGAAGTATGCTGTTCCAGAAGATGTTAAAATAACATGTCTTCTCTTCTTGTTTCCATTGTCAGCATCTTGAATCAATCTTTCAATGGCTGGGAAGGCAGTATTAGTGCAACCAGTAAGATTAGTTTCCCAACATTTGAATTCCATTTGAATCTTTTCCAATGTTGTGAACTCAGATGGTTTCTTATCTCCCATCATGACAAAGATTGTAACACCAGCATTAGCAATGATACAATCATAATCCATTTCATTAACAATTTCCTTCATTCTCTCAGCGTTTGTCACATCAGCTTGTCTAACATTAATTTCAAAATCTTCAACAGGATGACTTTCTTTAATAATAGCACTACATTCTTCTTTTAACTTTTCATTAGCAGCCAAATTTCTTCCAACCAATGTCAAGGTCAAACTCTTTTGATTCTTTCTAGTGGCGAATTTGCTTGAAATTTCAAGAGCCAAACTTCTACCAATTCCACTACTACTTCCAACAATTAAAATCTTTTCATAATTATATTCCTCTGATGATTTGAATAAATCCTTTCCTCCCTTCTTTATCAAATTATAATATAAAAAGCTGACAACTCCCACTACGATGCAAATCGGATATAATAGCGCAGTTAATATTCCCTCTGTAATATTCCATAGGAGATCATAAATTTTGGGTGGTAAATATTGATGACCAACAAGAATAGGCTCTTGCCAAATCTTTGTGAGAGTTTGTTTAAGTTGCTCCATTTTTTTTTAAATATTTCCAAATTTCCGAAAAGCAATATTAAACCTATTTAAAACTATTACAAAATAAATATATTATAATTTATTTAAATATAAATCATAAATTTAATATCCATTGGAAAAATCATTTCCAGCACAATACTCTTCATCATCATAATGACTCTCATTCGTCAAAACAATACATTTCCTACACAAATGTCTATACCAACCACTCGGAAGTGAATGCATCCGATCCGGATAAGCCATCACCTTATATTTCCTCCTATTCAATCCACCTCCATTCTCTTGATAAATGGTGGAGCAAATATTCTGAAAATCATCACAGGAAATATTTGGGAATCGGAGAAGATATTTTCCCTCACATAAATTGTGTGATTCATAATCGGAGTTTAGAAATTGAGAACTAGAATCAATTGTTTTCCAATTCAATCTTTCTTTGGTGTTTGTTCTTTGTGACCGTTTCTTTGTTTGGTTTCCTTTGCCTTTTCATTTTTTAGAGAATCCCTAAAACTCATTGATAATAAATAATCCACTTGCTCCTTTGTAAGGCAATGATTTGGATTCATTTTCTTTATGGAATAATTACTTAAACATTAAAACTGAAAAGCAGTTTGTAACCATTGTGCTTCTGTAATACCTTGACTTTGTGCAATATCCAAGTCAATGGAATACATCTTTAATAATTTAGCATCCTCCCATCTCCTCGTTCAATAAATCCCTCAATTAAAAGTAAATTGCTCTGGTGGTATGACCGCTGAAAATGCCCCTGAATAATTTGCTGTAATAACCAAGAACCAAGTTGAACATGTAACTTTTTGAGAGAAAAATACCAATCCAAAAAAGAGTAAGTTTATTATCACAGGCTCTATTTTAGTTATGGATTTTTTCTTTGGAAATGGAATTTACTCATCTTACATATTTCATACATGTCGTTTTGCCTGGTTTAGATTTGTTTTGAGTTTAGTAAATGTACATTTTGCAAAATAACGTCAACATAAATATCTCTAAAACAATCCACCAATCCACCAAAAAAACTGAAGTTTCAATTGTAGAAAAGATATAATGGGAGTTAAACCACAGGCACCACTAATTAACGGCCAAATCACTGAGATTTCACCAAATGTTTGTGTTACAAGTCTCTCACCAAATGCCTCAGTTATCATTATGAGAAATGGAACTATAATAGGTAGTGTTGATAACATTGACAATCATGGTATAGTATGGGTACCCTTTACTCAAGGCACGGTGCTTATTCCTGGAGAAACTATCATTGTGCTTCAAATGGTTAATGGAAATTTAAGCCCAGAGGCAGAAGCAACTGTTCGTTCAGTGACAACACTTCAACCTCTTTGCTTTAATTCTCCTCTAAGCACTTGCATGCAGTGGTTGATTCTGAATAATATGGAGCCTGGGGCGCAGGTAATAATCCGTCAAAACTTGTCTGAAATTGGCAGACGTAACCCTGCTGTTAGGTCATTGGATTATGTAGAAGTTTCCAATCATCCCAGTGCAGCATTCTCAATAGAAGCTTACCAGCAAGTCACGACTGTTAATGGGGTATTAACGAGTCCCAGCGTGTTTAGTTCACCTATTGAGATAGAAAAGATTCCAGGGGGAGGTCGGTTACCAAAATTAGAGATAGGAGGAGACGTCCATGCATGCACAGATTCTTTAGATGTCAACAATGCAAGGGTTACAGCACAATTGTGTATAGAAAACTATAGTGGTACGAACAAGAACTGGTGGTATACAATTTTAATTACTTCAGGTCCAAAATTCCATGCAAGTGGTATTCCACATTCGAAGAAGGGAACTATGTTGAAGATTTGGCAGCAGTTTCGTGAGGAGTGTGAGCAGATTTCTGATCCCCTCGAGTTAGAGGTACTTCCACAAGAGAAACCTCTCAAACCAATTATTAATGCACCATCAGGCGTGTGTTTGGACATTGGTAAGGTGTTCTTGAGAAATCTTGAACAAGATGCCTTTGTACAGTTTGCACAGTGGAAGAAAAACCCAAATGGAGGAGATCCATACGTACAAATTGGTCTTCCGATAATAGCAAGCAAAACTGGTGATGATGTTTTAATTCTTCCTGAATTCCAAGGAATAACTTTCGAACCAGGTGATAGATTGACTGCCAAGCAGATAGCTTGTGGTGAGGAAAGTGAATACGCTGATCCTGTCGAAATTCATGATCTCAATAATTCTGGTGTTGTCGGCCCCCTAGTAATCTATGAGCCATTATATGAATGCTCTCAACTTGTTTCCGTTAGAGGAGCATATCCCTCTAGCTCTCTGCAAGCTTACTATTCAGATGACGATACTGTAGGGCTTTGTGATTTACCTGTATTGGTAGATAGTGATAATGTAACACTACACCTTTCTCATGTACTCATGAAACAGAGAGGTATCGAGAGAAAAGTGAAGGTAAAACAGACAGGTTGTAATGCCGATCGTGAAACAGAAGCAACAATACTAGACCTACCTCACGATGGCCTATTCATAAGTGTGTTACCGGAGGTGCAAAAATATGTTAGACCAGGGGCTAATGAAGTACTGGTAACAAATTGTTTACCTGGTGCTAAGGTGTACATTCTGCAAAAAAGTAGCAATACATTAGTTGCTAACACTACTTCACTGGGTGATGTTGCTATACATGAAAGGGTCTCTTGCAATACCAGCAACCTCCATCTACAAGATGGTGATGCATTATTCCCGATACAAAAACTATGTCAGTATGAGAGCTACCAGAATAGATTTGTCATTGTGGCAACAGGAACAATGGATGTGACTCACAATTACAATAATTGGGCAACAGAACCGTTAGTGATATATCCACAGACTGGTGGCTCCTTTACTTTGGAAGTAGCTGCTGAGGACCATGACACTCATGAGAATGTTCCTATTAAGCTCTTAATACATAGAGATAACATGGTGACAGATAGGGTGTACAGGAGTAGTACAAGACAATTTGAGATAGGCGCTGAGGATTTCTTTAACAACCTTTCTGGCATGGCAACGTTGCATTGTACAGTTCAAAGCGAACAAACAAGTGCATACACTGATGTTAAATTTGAAGTAGCTTGTATGTTTTTGGATTCCAGTCTACATCCAAATAATAATTAAATGTTATTGTGACCACAGAAACAATTTTATTAACCCACAGCAATCCCCTCTTTAAGAGAACCAGGGACTGTCTGGCACACCTACATACGATTTTTATGATCGCACCAATAACCCTCATGATCTGCAAAGAGCAAAGTTCAATAATACAGCTCCAACAAAAAGGTAAACATATCATGGCATATTATAATCTCGAAAGTGGGTTTCTGCCAAAACATAATGACATATTAATAGTTATGCCCAAATTATAATTATGACATAAAACGATAGGACACAACCCCAATGTTGAATCAAGCCAGATGGCAAGATTCCTTGTTTTAAAGTATTTATCTATTGTTTTATTGAAAAGATAGGCGTAGGTCAATACAGTTATTGAGATACATTTCTTTGCAGCTTGGGTTATACCATTTTAAAAATATTAGAAAAAAATGCAAGACGAAACTCTTACTATAGATTTAGGTTCCCATTGTATTAGAGCTGGTTTTAGTGGATCGGATGCTCCTGTTCTAAACTTTTATTCAATGATTGGTTTTCCAAAGTATCAAACAACTGCATTAAATTATCTTTCATCCTATTCGAAACTATCCTATATTGGAGAGGAAGCAAACAAACTCCGAGGAATTCTTTCACTCTTTCATCCAATCGATAATGGTAAAATAATTAATTGGGATGTTTTGGCATTATTTTTCGAATATACATTTCATAATTTAAATATTCCACTTCAAGATTCTAATATCATGTTAGTGGAACCTTCCAGTAATTTAAAATCGAATAGAAATTCATTAACACAACTCTGTTTCGAATCATTCAATAGTGCAAGCTTGGGATTTGGAAATGCACAAGTGATGGCCATGTATAGTGCTGGTCGAACGAGTGGATTGATTGCTGATTGTGGAGATTCGTCTTGTAGAGTTTTGCCCATTCATGAAGGTTACGTTATTTCACATGCGAGTGGAAAATTAAATGTTGGTGGAAAATCAATTGATAAATATCTTGGCAAATTATTGGAATACAAAGGAATTAATTTTACATCTTCATCAGAAATGGAAATTTTGAGAGAAATGAAAGAGTCAATTGTGACATGTTCAAAAGGGGAGGAATATCTAGTTCAACAATATGAATTACCAGATGGTACATTAATTGAAACAAGTAGGGAAAGATATGAATGTGTGGAATGTTTATTTAATCCCAATTTAGTGGGAATTAGTTCAGATTTTGGAATTGCTGAATTAATTTACAATTCAATTTGTAAATGCCCAATTGATACAAAATTAGATTTATACTCTAATATTATTCTAAGTGGAGGAACAAGTTTAATACAGGATTTCAATGTCAAATTGAAACAAGAACTTGACCAACTCAACCAAAGACATTCGTTTCGAATAATTTCACCTCCAGAAAGAAATTATTCATCTTGGATTGGAGCTTCCATTGTTAGTTCAATGGGACATATGAGGCCATATAGAGTTCACAAAGAACAATACAATGAGTATGGATGTTCAATAATGGACAGAATTTTTCCTAGCCATTAAACTGGAGTTAGTTCGTTTGCCACCCAAACATACACCTCGATTTTGAGCTCACACTACGGTTTGTTCCATATATGTGTCAAAGCGATTAGATTGTAGTGTAACCTTCTAATTGGTACCTACCAGTTGAATGAGTTATTATAACTTTTTCTGTAATCAAAAAAAATGGCAACTCAAGCAGCTCATGATAAAGTCGGAATCGTTGCAATTGATGATCTTGCACACGATGAGTTGAAATATATTTTATACTATTGTGATGGCCAATCTATTTTGAACTGTTTAAAAGTTTGTAAATTGTGGAGGGAATTTTCTCTTCCCATTCCAGTGTCTATTGAATTTAAAAGTAATTCACAATTTAGTAATGTAAAGAAGAATGTTAAAACAATCAGTACTATGGGTATTAATTTTAATTTAACTGGATTGAATTTGAGTGGATTCAAAGGTGGAGAAATGATAATTTCTGAATTACGTAAAATTCACTATTTCAAAACAGGAAAGTTAAAAAGTTTATGTTTAGGTGAAGGAATTCCATTTAAAAATGAAAGAATTGATGATGAATTATTGGAAAATTTAGAATCTCTACGTGTTGGTTGTAGATATGAGTTTAGTGAATGTATTCAACAAGTTTTGTTACCAAATTTAAACAATCAATTAACTAGTCTTGATTTGTCGAATAATTATGGATTGGATACTATTTTTACTTCTAATATTGTAAAGAATTTAAAAGTTTTAAAAATTAATGATTGTGGAATTGTTTCTTTAGATCTAGAAAATCCATTACCAAATTTAACAGAATTACATTTAAATAATAATATTAGATTGAACTATATTAATATCGGTGATAAATTAAGTAATTTAAAGGTATTGAATCTTCATAGAGCTGGTGAATATGTTCTTTTTAATGATCTATCTTTACAAAATGCCAAATTAGATCAATTAACAGAATTAGATATTGGCTGTAGCAAATGTAATGATTCTATATTCATTAAAATTTTAGAGAATTTACCAAAATTGAAGAAATTAGTTTTATTTGGAACACCTAGTTCTGACATGGTTTGTCAATTCATTTCTGAAAATAATGAACTTTTTAAAAATTTACAAAGTTTGAATTTAGGAAGAACTTTTTGCTCCTTTAATTCAATTAATTTTCTAGCTAAAAGTTCATTGAAATTATGTAGATTAATATTAGATAATATTAAATTAAATGAAGAATCTTGTAAAGTTTTAAGTGAAAACGAAAAGGTATTTGGAAATTTAACTGATTTATCTTTGAGTTATTGTGAATTGACAGCAGAATGTTTGAAATATTTAACTAATTCACCAACACTTTCAAAATTACAAGAATTACAATTAAAATCAAATCCCATTGGATCTGAAGGTTGTACTTATTTGGCAACTAGTAAATTTATTACAAGATTGACATACTTAAATTTATGTAATACTCAATTAGAAGAGGATAATTGCTCTACTTTGGCTAATTCTACCAATTTCACAAGAATTACAGAATTGGATATTTCTGGTAATGACAATGTTTTTGATTTTGAAATAATTCAAAAAAGTCAAAACTTTCCAAATTTGCAATTACTCGAATACAAGCATAATTTTTTTGAAGATCAATCCATGAGTCGTAAACATCAAGTTAACAATAAATAATTAAGCAATTTAAATAATTTAAATGTTTTTTGTAATAATCAAAACTCTCAAACTACCACTAACCATACAGGACTAAATTGGCAAATCACAATCAATTATTCATTTCCACAACCTATTGATTAACACTTTGATAGTGGTTACAATAGTTTTAATAAATATAATAATAATATTAAATAATATTTCAAATATTTAATAAAAAAAATGTCCATACTTGGTACACTATTCAGGACAACACTCTTCCTTCTTTTCTCTCTATTTCTAATCTTTACTTTTCTCTATTCGCACGTTTGGTTTCCTGATCGTCTCTCGGAACAACATGAAAGATTTCAAAATCATCAAGATCCCAAAGAGTTTGATTTTATAATTGTGGGAAGTGGAAGTGCAGGATCGGTCTTGGCCAATAGGTTTGTTTTTATTTGCATAGTTTCTTTTTAATTATTATCAATTAATACATATTAATATATTAATGAATATGTTGATGATGATCAATGATAACTTTTGAAACTCTTTGAAAAAAGGCTGAGTCAAAATGTTAATCATTCAGTATTATTGTTGGAGGCTGGAAAGTCTGATAATACACCCCTAGCAAAGTTTACTCCATTATACTTGTTCATGTTGAAGAGTGTTCATGATTGGCAATATTATACTATTGGAGAGGAATCAGAGATTAATCCTAAACATTTATTGAAAAAGATGTTTTGGCCAAGAGGAAAGATATTGGGAGGTAGTTCATCAATGAATGCAATGATTTATATGAGAGGAAGTCCACAGGATTATGATACATGGAATGAATGTGAATTTGGAGGAAAGAGTAAGATTTGGAATTTTGAACATGTTCTCAAGTACTTTAAGAAATCAGAAGCACAACAAGGTCCAGCAGAAATATTCTCAGATGAGTATCATGGAAGAAATGGAGAATGGATTGTGAAGGAACAAGGAGAAACTTTCTCAATTATTGAGCCAGTAGTTAAGGCCATGAGTCAAGTGCTTTCAATTCCAATCGTGAGAGATCTCAATAATCCAAAAATTACTCATTCAAAAGATAACAGTCAATCAGATTTTGTAGAATATGGTGCTGTAGGAACTACACAGATTCACAGTTTGCATGGTAGACGTTTCAGTACTGCTGATGCCTTCCTGAATGATACAGTTCTCAAAAGACCAAATCTATTTGTAAGAACTGAAGCCTTGGCCACCAATATTTTATTCGAAGGAAATAAGGCTGTTGGTGTCAGATACTTTGATAGGAGAAAAAAGGCCTACGTTGAAAAAAGAGTGAGAAAAGAAGTTATTCTTTCAGGTGGTGCTATTAACTCACCTCAATTATTGATGCTTTCTGGTATTGGAGATTCAAAAGAATTATCCAAGCACAATATTACAACAATAGTTGATAATAAGAATGTTGGAAAACATTTACACGATCATCTTGCTATTCATGTTCCTTATTATATCAGTTGGGATTATGATAGTGTTTTGAGTGTGTTATTCAAGCCCAATGAAATTTACAAAGTATTATTTGAAGGATCTGGAGTTTTAGGAACTAATGGAATTGGTTTGAATGGTCTACTCAAAACAAAGGTTTGTAAAAACGAGTTAGTGAACTCGTATCCTCCTTCACTATGGGATGTTAAAAATCAACAATGTTACAACAAGCATCACTGTGACTCCCACGATATTCAAGTTCACAATACGCCAACAGTCATGGAAAACAGTGAAACATTACACTTACACCAACATGGTTTTACATTTATTCCACTGCTTCTCCAACCAAAATCTAGAGGTGGTTTAAAGCTCAAATCAAATAATCCATTTGTGGCTCCTATAATTGACAGTAACTTTGTAGGACACAAACACGATAAGGAAACAATGGCTGAGGCTATTAGAGTGTTGCTTCAAGTTGGCGACCATCTCATGAAGCAAAATATATTTATCAAACCTCATCCAAGAGTGCAAGCCTTGATGGATACTATCAAGAGCTCGCCAACAGAAACTGAACAAAGGGCTCACATTATTGAATACGTAGTGAAACATGTAGATATGATTTATCACCCTGTTGGAACTTGTAGAATGAGTGAAAATTCTGAACTAGGAGTAGTCGATGAAAAGTTGAGAGTGTTTGGTGTGGAAAATTTGAGAGTTGTAGATGGTTCAGTATTTCCATCTATTGTCAGAGGAAATACTCAAGCTCCAATTGTAATGATTGCAGAAATTGCATCAGATTTGATTTTACAGGAATAATTACCGCTTGTTGAACGATTTATTCATGTATGTGTCTTTTCTGGTTTGTTGTAAAAAGGTTGCCTTTTCATTGTGGATGGCTTGTGGTGCAGTATTGAGAATTTCTTCCTTTTCTTGAAGTGATTTGAGTTTGCTTTCTTGTTTTTGCTGTTCTCTTTGCTGTCCATTTTTGAGCATTTGATCTAGTTGCTTTTGTGAGTCATCCTTGGCATAAACATTTTCATTCTTTCTACTTTTTTCATAATCTCTATCGTTGTACTTTCTTTCATTATAACTTCTATCCCTCCTGTCATCATAATATCTGTCTCGAGATCTTTCGTTACGATATGAATCCCTTCTATTGTAATCTCTATCATAATTTCTATCATCTCTATAATAATCGTCATTGAACCTTCTGTCGTCTCTTCTATCATCTCTTCTGTCATACGCTCTTTCTCTATAATATTTATCATCGTTTCTATTATATTTATCATCTTTGTGTGTTGAGCTAGATGGTTCCTTTTCAGAATTTGATAGATTTGTTTTAGGGGTTTCTTTTGGTTCAGAGCTAGCTTTAGTTTTTGGTTCTATCTTTTTCTTCTTTTCCTTTGGTTCATCGCTGGAATAACTTGTATAGCTACTATCACTTGAATAATCTTTTCTCTTTTTATCCTTTTTCTTTTCTTTTTTTTCCTTCTTCTCTTTCTTATCTTTCTTTTCCTTCTTCTTTTCCTTTTTTTCCTTTTTTTCCTTCTTTTTCTTTTCCTTCTTTTCCTTCTTTCTCTTTTCAAGTTCTTTTTGTAATAATTCTGGATTTTGTAAATACATTTTCATTCTCATAAGTGATTCATGTTTGATTTTAATCATCGGATCATCAATTATTGCTTCTCCAGAGTGATGTCTATTTTCGTGGCTATGTAAAAACAATGCACCAGCCTTCTTTTGTTCCAGCATGATTTTATAATCATTATCCACTAAATCTCCTCCCTGAACCAACTTTTCAATGCTCTTTTTTCCTACTAAATATTCTTCCAAACTTTCCTCATTCACTTTATCATAATCTTTATTGTACATCCACTCTATTTGTTTTCTTCCGGAATCATCATCCTCCTGATTTGTATTTTCTGTATTGTTTGATGATGATGGTTCTGCTTCCGAGTTGACCATAGATGAAGATCTCCGATCATCACTCCTCTTCTCTACATGTTCAACTTGTTCTCCAACGAATCCTTCATCAGTAAGACCATCAAGGATTCCTCCTCTAGAATGTTTAGACATTTTTTTCTAATTTTAAATTTTTATTAATATTTTATTTACCTTTTTGGATAACCAATTTTCTTGATATTCTCGAGTTTATATTTCCATTCATCGATTTTTTGTTTAGAGAATTTGGATCTTTGGAGGAATAGATTTTCTAGGCTTGAAATGCAAAGTGGCATGAGCTTGTTGAGACTTTCGTCAGTCAACCAAGAGCAACGCATCAAGTGAACTTCTTTCAATTTACGAAGAGGATAAATTTTTGGATTAATGTTAGAGAAGGAATCGTCTGTAAGGCGAGAACAACCAGATAGTTGGAGGGATACTAAATTAGGAGTATTTCTTAAAACAGCTTGTATACTTTCATTACACTGATAGTTTCTCATGCTCAAGTTCAATTTGGTGAGCTTTGGTAAGAGAGGGGTATAGAGGTCCTTTCCAACATCCTCACTCGAGGCCAATAACGAGTTATCATCCTTTAGTAGAATGGCTAATTCAATTTTTGCACCAGTGGTAATGTTAAAGCTTTCGAGGTTTGGTAATTCTCCAAGAATATTAAACATTCCTTCATCTGTGAAATCTACATTCCAAGAAATGTCCAAGAATTTCAAATTCTTGAGCTTTTCCTTAATAATATGCAAGGTCCAATCAGTCAAGTTGCAATCAACAAGGAATAGCTCTTCCATTTGAGGACAGTTTGTCAAGAATTGCACAATGGTTTCCTCAGATTGGACAGTATTCTTACATCCTGTCAAGTCGATACTTTTAAGGTTTGGAAGTTTAGAGATTGTTAATAAATCAGCGTCCCTAATTGTAGTACCAACTAGGGTTAGAGTATGTATTCCAGTCATTTTGCTTATTGCCTCAAAACCAGCAGAATCGATATTAACACAATTGGCGATACTCAAACTTGTAATATTTGTAAAATATTGAGACATTACGCAAATAGATTGGCTATTGACTCCAACATCCCATTCAAGCATCATTTTGGTAACTGAAGAACAAAATCTTGGGTTACGACCCAACGATTCAAATGCCTCAGTGCTAATATTTTTACATCTGGAAATGTAGAACGATACTTCCTTTGGTTGGGCATTACAATTAGCATCGTATGGGTCAATAATATCTTCTACTTGAATTTTCTTAATTTGTCCCATCATTTCAAACACAACTGTTTCTATAAATTTCGGAGAAACTTCAATGATAACTTCTTCACCATAGCCATTGCCAGCTGGCTCTGCAATCCAATTATTACCATCACCAACCATGTCATATTCATCGAGCGTTAACTCCTCAGTTTTTTGTGGTTCATCGACTTTGACCTGTTTTGGACTAGTTAAGCAATTAGCCATTCTGAAATAGTTCAATTTAGTACATCCCTCTCTCATTGAATCTCTCAAAACCTTAAGAATAGTATTCGATGAATCAGTTTTGCAACCATTTTCGTCATACAATTGCAAACCACTCAAATTAAGAAATCTCAAGTCTTTAAATCTATTTCTCAATACTTGTATGGCACCTTCTGCATTTTTACATCTTCTCAGAAATATTGTTGGATACATTGCCAATGATTCATACCAATGTCTACTCAAAGCAAACAATGAATAAAACAAATCATGTGATTGCAAATATTGACAAATTAAATGAATAATCTCGGAAGGTAAATTGACTAATGAATGATCCGAATATCTTTCCATTGGTGAAATCACCATTTGACAATCATCTTCATCATCAACCATCCCCCGCACATCACTATTGAATATTGTTGGTGTTATCATTTTTCAAAGTATTGGCATACAAAATCAATCCGAAGAAATCCAGAAATCTTGATTTTGCTATTTTTTTTTGTAGTGTTTATGGCGGTGATTTGTATGTTCCAATTTCGCTAAACTTTACAAAAAATCGTTGTTTGATAGGAATTGTGAAATGATGTTATTTCTTGGCAGGAAGATTACCATGTACAGGTTGTGGTGGACTTTCGACTGCCAGCTTATCTTCTACTTGGAGGACACCATACATAAACGGAAATTCTATCATTTCTATCGTGTCTGTCTTGTTACTCAATTCAAAATATTGAATTCTCAAATCTTTCAGTAATATTCCTTCCTTTTTTACTTGAATTAGTTCGGAAATGTATTCTTTTACTTGCTGTATCGATACCTTTCTCTCCAAATCTCTTTTCATTCCGAGAATTAAAAGGTGAGCGTTTTCCTCCTTCAGGTTTGCATTCCACTTTAAATTTGAAAAATTCTCATTTCTATAAATCTCAACTCTGTTCTTCATTTCTGAAAATGACTCTTCATTGTTTAAATCAAAACAGAAACCGATTACATGTACACCTCTCGTGTAGGCTCTCGAAAGTGAGTTGAAAGTAGGTTTGCCTGAAGCATCCCAGTACTGCATTTTAACATTAATTCCAGTGCTTAATTGATATGGTACCATTGCAAACTCAACACCTAATAAATCTTTATAAATGTCTGAAAATATTATTAAAAAACATACCAATTGTAGGAGTATAAGTAGGATCAAAGTCTTTACCGACAATTCTTGCTACAATTTCAGATTTTCCACTTCCTTCAGGTCCTAACAGTACAGTCTTGGTAAAAGCTTTTATCTGCTTTTCATCACTACGTTTGAATGAGTTCCTAATAAGTGGAATAAAATATGTATGATAATAAATTATAGATTGAATCATTGATGAATCAAAAATTGGTCTAAAATACATGAAAGGAACAAAATCATCACGTTCTTCCTTTTGCAATATCCCTTTCCACAAGGTCCTATTTCTAATCCAATAAAACTGAAAATTTTTACAAGTTCGTCCCAGTTTTACAATTTCACTCCCTGTAAGATATCCTAAAATATGAATAAATAATTCATGAGGTAATTCCTTCTCATAAATCGAACAATTTTCCTCATTAAATAAATCAATTAAATTCTCATCATTCTTCTCCTCTTGTTCCAACAATGTTTGGAAAATATCAATCGGAACCATTCTGACATTTCCAATCTTTTTAATGACACTCTCTCTCACGTTGTGTTTATCATCACAATTGCATGGTGGAGTAGAGGCAGGATACGATGGTTGTGATTGTCCCATTTTTTTCAGTCTGATTTGAATTGATAAATCCAAAACTTTACAATTTACAACAAGATTGTAAAACAGCTCAACTGTGATCATTAAGATTATAAATGTATGACAAAATATTTGCAAAGTTACCTGACAGAACTTACAATACCCAAAACGATTCGACACAAAAAATCTACCTGCCCTCGGAGTATTAACATTGTACTCCTTCTATACAAAATGCAATTTTCCTCTAACCTTCAACATATCCAAAACCAACCTTGAATTCGTGTTCATCAATTCACATCCTATCACTTGCTATTTGATGATTATTCAACAAGAGCGAACAAGAATCATCAGCAAAGAAGATACTTTACGAATTTTCAAATTTCTTCATCAAAAAAAATGCGGCAAAATCAAGAGAGTGCTGGAGGGCGACGTAACAGTAGTGGTGCAGGCAATCATCCGAATATTGTTAGTGGTGATGGAGGTGATGACCACATACAACAACAACACTCTTCATATCAACAACAAGGCGATGTTAATAGTAGTAATAATAATAATAGTACCACTCGGGGATATATACCCTTGGAAGAACCTATTGAATCGGAAGGTGATTATGGGCCGTATGGAGATTCATCGAGGGATATTATTCGATCATTTGATAGAAAGGACAGTAGTAGTGAATATCATGAGGATTTTCAACATGCTTTGAATTCATCTTCTTCACTAAAGAGAAGAAAAAGATATTCTTTGAGATTTGAGGATCAAGATGAAAACGAAGATGATATTACTGTTGATGGAGAAAATGAAATTGAAGTTAAAAAATCCATTATGAATACCATGTTTGGTATTATGCCTTTTGCAGGTATGTTAAAAATTCATTATTATTTGTGACACTCGGAATAGGTCACGTAACTGTAAGAGACATTAATGAAAGAAGTGAAAAGGTTAAAACCTTGTATGAACAAGTGGGTGATCTTAAACCAGAACAAGTGAAAAAACCTGAAAAGAATAGAATGATTTCATTCGGAAATATTGTTTACTCATTACTTTGGGGATGGTGGTTATTTTTGAGTTATATCTTTGTTGCCTTATTGTGTTATTTGACAATATTTTGCATTCCATATGGAAATAAGTGTTTATCTATGGCTTTTTATTATTTCTGGCCATTTGGTAAATATATTGAGCGAATTGTTCCTCACAACCATGCTGTTAATTCTGAAAATAGTTCACTGATGCCAAATGAGTCAGAAGAAGTGTACTATGATGAGAATGCAAGAGAATCAGGTGGTAAAAAGTTTTTAAGAATTGTTGGTATGGTGATTTGGTGCATTTTCCCTGCTCCAATTTTATTTATTGTGCACTGCGTATGCTGTGTACTTTCTTGGCTTACTGTATTTGGTATACCCACTACCAAAGTCCAGTTCCATGGTTTAAAGCTTTTATATAAGAGCTTTTTAGAGCTCCATGTTAGTGACGAGTTTCCACCAAATGTTGAAAGTGATATCATGGTCTGTACATACCAAGCTTTCAATCTTTACTATTACAAGTATTCCTTGTTTGGTGCTAATGTTTTATTGTTCAACATGCTTCCTTTCGTACCACTTAGTATTGTTTTAGGGTTTGCTTTCAGTGATGAATTTGTTGAGGAATATGGTGTTGGAATTTTTGTTACTTGTATTTTAGCTGTCATTCCATTGAGTTATTACATTAGTAAGGCTGTCAGTTCTATTTCAGCACAGAGTAACTATGTTGTGGGTGCTTTCCTTAATGCTTCTTTCGGTTCAGTTGTTGAAATTATTCTTTACTTTGCCACTCTTTACAAGGGTATGAGTGCGATTGTCATGCAAGCCGTTACAGGATCATTTTTGGGTGATACTTTGTTGATTCCTGGACTTAGTATGATATTTGGAGGTTTCAAACATAGAGTTCAATATTTTAACAAACATGCTGCAGGTACCTCATCTCTTTTATTGCTTGTCGCTACCGTTGGTTGTTTTGTTCCTTCATTATTCTACACAATTTATGGCAGTAAGTTGACCAGTAATTTAACATTTTATTAACACATATATTCAGATTATGAATTAACCTGTCTCAGTTGTGTAGATTTGGCTATCTTTTTCAATAACACTGCAAATGGCACTGCTTCACTCCCTTACCCAGGTGGTCAAAATAATACTGGAAACGGTACAACAGTTCCATACCATCTTGCCTGTCAAAATTGCATCTATGTAGAGAAGGACTTTACTAAAGATCCAATTTATCAACATAAGGCAAAACCATTAGCCTTAACTACAGCTGCAATTCTACCACTTGCCTATCTTGTTGGTTTGATTTTCTCACTCAAGACTCACAACAAGTATTATCTCAGAGCTCCAAAGGTTGATGAAGAAGATAATGATGGTACAGGAAAGACTCCAGGTGGTCACGGTGCTGCTGAATGGCCTCGTTGGGTTTGTGTACTCATTCTTCTCATTGCAACAATAGCATTTGCTTTTGTCGCTGAAGCCATGACAAAATCTCTAGAGCCAGCATTTGAACCTCTGGGTATTCCATTAGAGTTTGCTGGTCTTACGATTTTCGCTCTCGTTCCAAATATTTCAGAAATTGTCAGTGCTATTAAGGTTTGTATAATTTAACAATACTGTTGTAATTCTCACCACAAATTTTATAGTTTGCATTACAAAATAATGTTACATTATCTTTGGAAATTGGTAATGTTGCTGGTATTCAAACAGCTTTAATCCAAATTCCAGCTCTTGTTATTTTCAGTACTATTATTTTCCAAGAAGACATTACAAAGGTATTTTCTCTTACATTCCCAAGATTGGACTTGGTAGCTATTTTCTTTGCTGTAATCATTCTTAATTATGTTACCATTGATGGTAAATCCAATTATTTCCATGGTTTCAGCTTGTTAGTAGTCTATCTGATTATTGTGATATCATTCTTCTTTGCCTATTTCTAAATAAATTAAAAATTGAAATTATTTGTCATCTTGTGAGATTCTACCAAAACTAGATTAATTTCAAAATTAATATTATTCTTCTTTTTATCCAAACTTTTTAGAAATGAATATAAAACCTTGATCGTTGATCTTCTAAATCCAAATAACAGAATACCATTTCTTTCTGGTAAAAAAGAAACTATTCTTCGAATATTAGGAGCATCCTGTTCCAAAATACTAGCAATATGTTGCACAAAGGCAGAAATGTATTTTTGCAAATTGGTATTCAACTCGCTATTTTGAAGATAAATATAAAAAGGTTCCCGAATGTTATCATCCTCCGAAGTTGATGTTGTTGGTAAGGTGTTTGTAGTTGTTTGTTGTTTACTCATTTTTTATTGATGATTTTGTAAGGAATTTTTAATAGAGAACAGACATTTGCTTTTCAAAATCTTGTGAGACCTTTTCAAAGAATTCCAATGCTTCTGATTCAGTCATGTGTAACGTTACATTGTTGGCTCTATCTTGAATTTCAAATGTTCTATTTTCCAAATAATCCTTGCCAATGACAATAATGTATGGAGAACCAAACTTGACACCATCATAGAGCTTGACTGGTGGTCTTTCCTTCAATCTATCATCAAAAAGGACTTCACCTCTGAAAGCACTGACAGCATTCAATTTGTGATAGAATTCCTCAGAAGCCTCAATAATTTGTTGTCTCTTCTTTTCAAATTCTTCAGGTGTCAAATCTGGCAACATCTTGGCAGTTGGTACCATTGGAGTCATGTAAGCTCTAATTGGAGCAATACACATTGGCCAACAGATACCCTTCTCAGTCTTGTGTGTTTCAGCGACTGATTGGAGCAATCTAGAAACACCAATACCATAACAACCCATCTCAGCAACATCTCTCTTGCCTTGTTCACTAGAGAAGAAAACCTTCATTGGTTCACTATATTTCTTACCCAAGTAGAAAACGTGACCAATTTCAATACCCTTCTTAATGATCATTGGAGTGTTCTTACATTCTGAAGAATTATTAATACAAATATCATTTTGGTTTACAGATCTCAAGAATGTCTTTTGACCTTCAATATCACCTCCTGTTGTCAATTTATCAACAATTGAAGATTCAACAGAAGAATCCATTAATATCAAGACTCTAGCACTTGTCTTGTGTTTGATTGTATCCTTAACAGATGCATAACGAACAATTTGTCCAAGTGAAATTTCTGTCTTTTCCAAACTCTTAACAGCATCCTTAACCTTAATTTCATTTACAGTGTCTCCCTTTTGAGTAACAATAATGGTTCTAGTGTAGCCAACTCTAGATCTTTGCAAGTGTTTTACAGGTTCTGATGTAGCAAAGTGAATATCATAATTTGGAGCTAATTCATCGAGCAATGATGTCAATGTATCAATATTGGTCGAGAGTGGTTTAGTTTCCTTGAAATATTCGCGATTATTAACATTTGAAAAAACTTCTGGAGCTACACCTTCACCCTTTTCAATATTGGCAGAATATTTCTTTCCACAACTACATCTACAAACAAAATCCTCACCAACCTCAGACAAGACTTGGAATTCATGTGATTTGTCACCACCAATATTTCCTGTATCAGCCTCAACCATGGCATAGTCAAGTCCAAGTAAATCGAAAATTTGCTTATAAGCTCCAACAACTTCGTCATAGGATTGATAAGCTCTTTCTCTATCAATATCAAAAGAGTATAAATCCTTCATAATAAATTCCTTTGCTCTCATCAAACCATATCTTGGTCTCAATTCATCTCTGAACTTGACACCAATTTGATAGAGTCTAAGTGGAGTTTGTTTGTAACTTGATGCAAGAGAACGAACAACATCTGTAACACATTCCTCATGAGTTGGAGCAAGACAGAATTGATGGTCCTTTCTATCCGATAATCTAAATAATTCCTTTCCAGCAGTTTGCCATCTTCCTGTTTCTTCCCACAACTCTGATTGAATTAATGATGGCATGACAATCTTTTCGCATCCAATTTTCTGTAATGATTTATCAATGATGAATGTTAATCTTTCCAATACTTTTGTACCCAGTGGAAGGAATGTATAGACACCCGAAGAAATTTGTTTAATATACCCTCCTTCAATTAATACTTTCTGACTTTCAATTGTTTGGTCTTCTTCATATTCACTGGCTGATTTTCTAGTGAATGGAACAAACTTTCTCGAAAATCTATTGACTGGCTTTTTAGTTGGAATTAATTCATCGGGATGAATAAACAATGCAGAGCGATTTGTACTAAAATTACCAACAAGTGCTGATGACGATGAACATGTTGTTGTTGTTGTTGGCTTTTTAAATCCATATAAATTATGAGTGGCCAATAGTAATTGTTGTCCTTGCTTTGAGGCAGCAACGAGGTTCCTTGTCCTTTTCAACATTTTTTTTTAATAATTACTTATTTGGAATTTCCCGCCAAGTTTTGGATTGAAAACACAGATTTTTGGAAAGCCAAAAACAATTGAATAATGATAAGGTTAGTGTTGCTATTTATTGATTTTCAATAGGGATTGTTTGTGCATGTTAAAATCCTTGACTGCCTTTCTGATTGTTTCTCTAGTTATTCCAGAAATGGCCTCGACGTCCTTCTCACTTTTCACATGTTGCTGATCTTTGTGATTTTGAGAAGCAAACACAATGCAAGCAGCTGCAACAGTTGAAGGACTCTTTCCTGCATCGACACCACTAGAAAGAGCTCTCTCACAAATATCCAGAGCAAATGAGAGAATCTTGGTTGGCAAACTCAACTTTTGAGCAATTGTTTCAATGAATGATTTTGGAGAGTGAGTATCCTGAGCTAGTAATTCTTTGAGAGAATCAATTTTACCCAATTGCATTACCATTCTATTCAATTTCTTTTCGGAAACCTTGACATGGACGCAGACTTCCTTAATGGTGATTGCACTTCCTTCAATCTTCAATCCCTTGTATAAACATGCACCGATTGAAGATTTCAAATTTTTAGAGTTGACCTTTTTAAATGTGTAAAGTGCTTTGAAGATTTGTTGAATTGTGAATGCACTTTTAGGTGTTGCTCCCACTAATTCTACAAATCTGCTAATTTCACTAAAAGCTGTTTTGAGAGTTGATTCGGATTTCTCTGTTGTTTCGTTAATTTTCATTTGTGTTCTAACAAGTTGCCCTGATTGACCAGGAACTCTAGCAATAGATGTCTCCAAATCCCCATCCAATAACTCATTGCTATTGGCTTTTGAAGTACGTGATTTGTCTTCAACACCATCATCATTCTGGAAATTTCTTTGTTCTTTACATCATGTTTCGTATTAATGTTACTAATGTTACAACTTACCTTCATCTGTACTGATTAACTGATTCTGTACAACCACACCACATCCCCTACAAACCATACATCCTTGAGAATAATCCTCAACGACATATTCTTGAGTTCGACAAGTGGTGCAGAAGAGTGGATTTGCCTCAACCTTCCTGCTTTGAATGTACAACAGTTTTTGATAATGAGACATGCCAACAAATTCATTGTGGGCAAATTGATAATGAGAAGTAGCTGTGAGGGACATTGTGTTGCTGTTTTTTTATGTTTGGTTAATTCAAACAAGAGTTAATTGTTTGCTTAAATCATTCGTGAGTTCTAAAAATAAAAATTTCATTGTTGGAATTCACAAACTTCACAAAAATCATCAAAAGAAATAAACCAACAACCTTTCACCGGTTTGAGGCGATAAATACAAACAGGAGAATGAAAAAATCGAGACAAACAAATTATTCCTTCTTATAAAGAGCCACTCTAATCATACCAACAGGAAGGTTTCTAGCTAGAAATGAAACATTCTTTGAATTGTAGGAAACAAAGAAAGAATTATTTGGATTAGGATATTCAAAAAGGAAATAAGAAAATATTGGATTGAGGAAAAACATATTTGAGATCATGTTTGTCTTCTGGTTAGGTGAGGATCCTCTAAAAAAATCACTAAATATTAATGGATTTGTTGTGGTAAAATGGTCAATAAATATTAATAAGGTGAGAAATCATCATTGTGTTACAAAGCTCCTCTTTTTTTTAATACTAATGATCATTCATGATTAGTATCAATCTTATGGATTCAGACAAATTCACTAATTTCAAGATAAACTCCCTTTTAATCTACCAAATTAATGATCCATATCAATCTTATGGATTCAACCAATTAATACCACATTACAACGATGATTACAAAATGTCAGTTAGGTCCTGCAGTATCGAAGCTTCTCAAATCATTCACCAATCATCTCTTAATAATTCTTTAGGACCTCAAACTCTTTAACTCCGAGAGTAAGTACCCTCCTCATCACAAGATTTAAAAACAATCGTTAAAAAAAAATGAAGACCTCCACCATTATTGTTGCCGTCTTGTTGGCTATTGTTGGTATGTAGTATTTAATCATCATCAATAGAAGGGAATATTAATATTATTAAATATACATATCATGATGCGATAATGACGATGATTATTATTTTTGAATATGATGAAATGATGTTGGATGATCGTTATTTAATAATTTTTGTGGACATTGATGAAATATGTTATATTATGGTACTATAGCCTCCCTCTCATTCACTACTGCTGCTCCAAGCCAATTCTGTAGCGTCTGTGAATATGCTGTCCAAACTGTTGAAGCCCTTGCCCTCAAGGAAGAACCAGGTATGTTATTTATTAACACTCTAAATGTTAAATATTCATCATCATTATCTTGTTGTTGTTATTACAGCTATTGAAAAGGCCCTCCTCGGTGTCTGTTCTCAATTGGGTGATAACCAATTCGGAAAGATCTGTAACACTGTTGTTCTCGTCTATGGTCATGAATTGTTGAATGCTTTGATTACCTATGAAACTCCAGTCAGAGTCTGTACTGATCAATTGCCACTCTGCCCAAAGAACTCTACTGTTGAAGCTCCAGTTGCTACCCCTGTTGTTGAAGCTCCAAAGGCTGAAGCTAAGGCTGGTGATGCTGAATGTGAAATCTGCAAGTATGCTGTTGGTCAAATTGAAAACTTCATCAACTCTAATCACTCTCAACAAGAAATCCAAAAGAAGTTGAACCAATTGTGCTCAAACATTCCATCTGTCTTTACTCAAACTTGTTTGTCTATTGCTAGAATGGTTCCATACATTATCAAGAAGCTCGAAGATCACAACTCCCCATCTCAAATCTGTTCTGGTTTGCACTTGTGTTCATCCAAGCAAGCTTTCATTGCTAAGCAATTCGCTGCTCCAGTCATGACCTCTGAAATCAAGAAGTTGGCCATCTGTCCAGCTTGTATTATGGCTATGGAACTCGTCCAAAGAGAAATCAATCAACAATCAATTGACAAGTTTGTTGAAGACAAATTGGACAAGGTCTGTGCTAAATTGCCATCCACCTTCGGACCAGCCTGTGAAAATTTGGTTGATACCTATACACCTGTCCTTGTTCAAAAACTCCTTCTTGCTGTTACCCCAACCAAGATCTGTAAGTTCGTTCATGCCTGTCCAAGTGCTGAACCAAAGAATGTCATCAAGTCTTTGAAGGCTAACATTGTTAAGCTTAACTAAATTTTGAATAAATATTTATTGAACGAAATATAGAATATTAGTGTATGGTGGGTTGCCATCTTTTCTCAATCGTCCTTTTGTTCACAAATGAGAAGGTTCTCCACTGTTAAAGGCTATTTGAAGAATCGTGTATTTTTATTAAGGAACTATTAGAAATTTGTCGACCCCAAAAAGTTAACAACATCTTCTGCCTCTTGTCTTGGATCTCCTGTTACTATTGTATAAACTCCGTGTTGTAATTTCTCTGCTGTAGCAGTAATGGCCATTAATTCAGAAGTCAAATCATCAGGTCTGTATTTCTGAACACTATTATTAATCATAACATGTTTCACTAGAACCTTTTGAATTTTGGCAGGCGCTATCATTTCCACATTCCTCATTGAATGAACGTATTTTGCAAGTGCCAACGCCTTTCTATTAAGAAGCCGAACAAACTCAGAAATGAGGGAATATCTCATAGAGGGATATATTGTTAGGGGCATAACTTTGAGAATGACATAGAACAGCTCTTGAACACTTGTGCAAATTCTTCTAGCCTCTTCATAGTGATCTCTAAATTGTTTGTCGTTACCAGTGTTTTGAATTCCAAAATCATTGAGAATATTCTTTGACTCGGATTCTTCAAAGAATTCCTGCTTAAAAGCTTGGAAATACTGATACTTTTTAAAGGAATATACTTTTCTATCTTTTAAATCTATAACTGATATTGGATATCTACCAGATAGTAGTGATTTTGTAGGTATCAAGTCTTTCCAATGCGAAACATCAGGTGTAACTACAAGACCTTGTACAAATATTTCAGGTTTGAATAGATTTTCAGGATCCAACATTTTAACTGGTGCTGAGGCTCTCTTGAAGAAACTAGTTTTTACAACTGTTTGAATTTCTGTTGGTAGTTTTGTAGCTTCAATCTTTTTGGCATGTTTGATTAATTGTTTCTCGTGTTGTGAAAGGAACATGGCCAATGTATTCACCCAAACATTGATTTCCCTCAATTGATTAGGTAAGCCAACCACTACACTATAACCATGTGTTTCTAAATGTGATGATATTGCTCGTTGGAGAAATATTGATTCCTCTTCACTTTCATAGAGTCTTTTCAGTGAAATTTCTTCACTGAATAAAGTAGTATACAAATTCATTGATGGCGGGCTATAAACAATTCTACTCAGAGAATCGTATAATTGTACAAATTCATGTAAATGGTTCTCGAAATTTGAAATAACTTCATTCTGATTCGAATTGGTATATTGATCAGCAAAGTGTTTCATAATCTTGGCAAGTGTAATGAGTTTTTCCTTCATGATAAAATTAATGACCATAAATTTGGAGAGATTTTCTCTATTCATTACAATACTGATTGTAAATAAAGTTGGTGGAGGATCAACCTTTCTCCTAAAGAACGACCTTGATGTTCCCTTTTCCCAATTTTTACTGCAAAATACAGCTGTTAGTACCATTACATTCAAATCCGACATGATATTAAATTTAATTTCAATATTTGGTCCAATTTCTTCATATCTTGGCATATCATCCATCATTGAAAATCTAGAAATAAACAAGAGGGTATCATCTGTTAGAATTTCACTTCTTGGTACTGTTCCATTCCAAATTTTCAAAGGTCGAGGACCCATATTATTGTCCCAATACGACACAATTAAATTGGTCATGAAACTCGATTTTAATACATTATCCAAGTAGCTATTAAATTTTGTAGGTGATTCCGAAATCATATCCTCTCTTTGATCATTGTTATTATTATTACTCTGAGGTGAATCATGATTATGATGATTATTCGATTGATGATGATGATGATGTTGTTGGTTTTGTTGTCTATCCATCAGGATTGTACTTGTAGCCACCGAAGAGGTTACTTCTTCACTTCTTGTATTACTATTAAAATCCTCATCATCATTCACAGGAGAGGATGAATCATTATTTGTAGGCACTTGAGAGACTTCATTATTAGGTCCGAGCCAGTAGGATTCCATTGTTAACTTCTATCAAAATAAATAGGCTATTGTTGTTTGTTGGTTCTTGTTGTTGATTTTGCTAATATATATATTTACAAAGACGTGCAGAGAATAAAACACCAAAAACTTTTGATTTTTTTGATTTTAGATTTTTGCTGTTTCCAAACTTTCTAAAACTTCCAATTAGAAGCCCAAATAATTGGAAATTAGCAAAACAATTATTCATTCTTCTCATCTGGTCTTGTTCCCTGAAATCAAAAATTATTTCTTACTTCATACCTTAACGTTCCTTATAAAAATTGAGTGACTATTATTAAAACCATCAAAAAAATGGAACAAATTGAGAACGTGATTGGTCAGGGAAATAATTTTGTGAGAGAAAAAAAGTTTGCTCAAGCCAAGGAAGTGTATTCGGAAGCCATCCGATTGTTATCGATGGTTGGCGATCAGTCATCGGAGGAAGTAAAGCAACAATATGTGAGAGTTTTTAATAATAGAGCACAAGCTTGTTTGTCTTTGGTAGGTTTTTGGATTTTGTGGTTGGTTGACTGTTGTTAATATGTTTATAGAAAGAGTATGAACAAGCTATTTTCGATTGTAATCAAGTGTTAAACCTTGATCCATTGAATGAAAAAGCAATTATTAGATTGATTCAAAGTATTGCACCAAATAACAATGTGATGGCATACAAAGGTTTGTATTGGCAATTTAATTTGTTTTGATTTAAATTTGTGCAGTTCTTTTGGATGCCATGCTCCGATTGCCAACCAATCAAAAATTGGTGGATCTTCAAAAAGCATTATTTCCAGATTATATTAATTTGACAACATTGATTGGCTTGGGATGCGAACAGACAAACAAGTATATTTTCTCTGTGAAACAATTGAGATCAATTTTACACAAACCATACCATGATACTTGGCAAGTTGAGGATTACTTTGATCCAAAGAGTGAAGGAAAATGTTTTGATATTCCTTGTCCACCTGAAAAATTCATTGCTCACCAAGAAAGTATTCAACAGGAGGTGACATACTTTGAGGAACTTGCTAAGAAAAATAAGGGAACACTCCAACCAATATTGGATTATAGTAATGTTTATTGTACCATTCCAAAAATTGCTACCGATACTGAATTCCCAATATCTCATCAATATTACTACAAATTTTCACATGGAGAAAAGAAACCAAATGGATTTGCTAATCTTGCTTGGATTAGATCTCTTTTCAGATTGAAAGCTAATAATAAGGAGATTTTCATAATGCTCCCTTCTAAATCTAGTGGAGAGTGGAAATTGTATAGATTATCAAATTTCGGATTGCAATTTGGTAATGTGAGATGCAAATCTGTCAATTGGTATGCTATTCACAAGGGTGATGTTGTAGTCAGAGATTTTGACAAGCACATATGGTCAAGATTAATTTTGGAAGAAGTGGACAACACAGCCAACCAAGAGGAATTATTCATCGACTTTATGGCAGCTCAATTTAACCATTTTGATTATTTCACATCTCTCAAATTGCCATGTAAAATATTTACAAGAGAATCAATCAAGCAATACGAAGATGTTTACTGCGAGGATTATATTGGAGTGTACAAAATTAAGGACCGTACAGTTATGGGTTTAGATGCAAGAACATTTATTGAAAGATCTTTCCTTTCAGAATTCCCACTCGATGAATATCCAACAAGATTATTATTCAAATTGGATGAAGCCTACAAGTATGAACTCTCCCAAAGAAATTACATCCCAAAGGAAAGAAGATTTATCTAAATCAATAATTCTTCTCAAATATTATTTCCCGCCAAGATTCATTTCAAATTTTCAAAAATAAAAAAATGGAGAAATCGTTACAGCTGCTTCACGAACTAAACCAAACCAGAGACAATACACTGCCTCCATTCAACGTAGGTTTTCTAAATAATTGCACACAATAGTAATCACAAATTACTAATAATTATTTAAATAATTTAATAATTAATATAACATGCTTGATGATGAAATGATCGGAATGAAATAATCACAGAGTGAGCTTGTATCTTCTGTAATCAGAGAAGTCAATATTCTTTCGGACCAAATTATTGATATCATGACACAAAATACACAAGAAGAGGAACTGAGTGAAGAGGATACGGAAAAACTGAGAATGTCATCTGCTTTAATTTTCACAATTTATGAAAGATATAAGAGAATATTATTGGCCTATCTTCATACAAGATTTGATAGAGTGAAATCTATCAGCACCATGCATCATGAAAGTATTGAAAATACACCAATTTGGAAAGATTTGAGTGACAATGAACAACGATTTGCAACAGAATACAGACAATTAATTGATAGTTATGGAGAGGAAATTGGTTTTGATTTATATAAACATGCCAATCCACCTAAAGGAGATTGTGTGGAAGTTGAAGTTCTCAAAACAAGTGGCAGTAGATTGCTAGAAAGTGGCAAGACCTATAACTTGGTTCAAGGTTCACATTTATTCATTCAATTAGGTGATGCAGAATATCTCATTCAACAAGGTCTTGTAAAATTAATATCGTAAACATTGTAAATAATAAATTAATTTAAATTAAACAATAATTAAATAAATAAAGTCAACTTGAAAAAAATGCTTGAAAATAGTAGAGAAATCCTTGCCGTCATTCACGCCATTGTACTCTCGGCATTGTATGTCGGATCGTTGTATATGTGGGATGGAAGTTTAGCAAAATCTAGGAATGAACCATCACAAGTTCGCCGTAGAAGTATCTCTGTTCTCTTGTCATCATTGGTCTCGATAATTTATTCCTGTCTTGTTTATTTATTCTTCGGAAATCATGAAAGTCATCAGGAAATGGGATTACTCTCCTCTATGGGATTTAATTTTGCCCAGATACATTACCAAATTTTGGCAATAATTATTGCAATCTTTTTGAATACTTGCTTGTTTTTGGGTCCTATTGCTGAGGAATTGGAAGTAGATGAAGTTTCCAAATTGAATATGGATTATATTAAGAGGAAAATTGAGTGGGTGTGCAAATCATTTGTGGAATTGTGTACAAACTTGTTGGAAATGTCGAAATTGTTCACTGCTTTCCTTTTAGATGAGCAGAAAGTTATTCAGGATGAACAAGGACTCTTCTCATTCAGAGCTATTGTAATGGGTCCATTGACTGAGGAAATTGTATTTAGAACTTGTTTACATTATTTATTGTATTATTATGGAGGAATTTCATTGTTGAGCTCATTACTGATTGCATGCCTCTTATTTGGAGTTTGCCATTGCCATCATATTATTGAACATGTTGTACATGGACAAATGTCAATTACCTCTGCACTTATTAATGTTATAGTGCAATTCACCTACACATCAGTATTTGGGTTCTATTGTGGATACATTTATGCAAAAACTAGTTGCATTCTTGCTGCCATCCTTTTACATGCCTACTGCAATCAAATGGGTTTACCAAGTTTTAACATGAGTAAGCCAATTATTGCCACTTTTTACGTTTTTGGATTGATAAGCTTTTGGATCTTACTCTTCCCAACATTATCCATCTTTTAAAAGGTCGTTCCATTGGATAATGAGATCTGCTTTTGTAAACTAGATGATTCATCAAATATCTCGAAAATAAAAATCTAATAATATTAAAAAAATGTTTCAAGGTTTTGGTCCTCCTTCGTTTGTTCGTGGAGGTTCTTCTGCTTCTTCGACAACTCAAAGGAAGGTTGATATTCATAAACAGTTATTTAAAAAGAGGAGGGATGATGGAGTGGATGATTCCGATGATGACGAAGAAATGAGAGAAGTTGATTTGGGAATTAATATCATGGATGATCAAGATTATCAAAATTATACAAATTCGAGTGGAGAGGAGGAGTTTGATGATTCGGATGGTGATGATTATCTACCTAGAGGAAGAGGAAGTTTTATTACTTTAGATGGTGATGACGATGATGATGACGATTACGATGTGGAAAGAGGAACTTCCTTCTCATACTCTTCAACAAACAGAAATAGGAGCGTCATGAAGAGGTTTAATTCAAAACCAGCAAAAAAGAGTAAGAGAGGAAAGAGAAATACAATTGATGAAACTAAAATGCTGAAAGAAAGACCTGAAAAAGTGGAATGCACACTTACTGCCTTCTTACTTGTAATCATTTTGATGTTTCTACTCATTTCAGGATTTATTTCAATATATAGAACAGAGACTGTAATTTCAAAAGATGACAAGGGTCTACCTATTCATAAGGAAGTTGCTACTCAACAAAAAGATACTGTTCATTCACATGGACATATTTTGAGAGGCAAGCATCAACAAGGAAATTCAAAAAAGACTGTCAAATCAAAACACCATTCAATAATTTCTAAACATGTCAACTCTAAAAATCATACTTCATATTTCGAACAAATGGACTCGATACTGCCAGTCATGCCATATGATGAATTTTTATTTCAAAATACTCCAATATCCAACTATAGAATCTATTCCAAAGAGAAAATTAGTGTTCACAAATTCAATAATAATCATTTAGGAAAGGATACTCCTCTAGTTTCTGTAATTACTACTTTTTCAAATGAAGATTCCTTCAAGAACACACGAGACTCAATATTGAGACAAACATTTAGATATTTTGAGTGGATTATCATTGTAAACCAAGGCGAGCCTCATGATAAGATATTAAGGTGGCTCTCTATCAATCCAACAGTGGAAAAAGAAACACCAATAGATATTGGAAAAATGTACAAAACAAACAAGATTTCTCTCATCTTTTCAAATGAGAAGCAATCACAAGGAATGCTCAAAATTGTAGCATGTAAATATTTAGCAAAAGAATCGAGGTATTTAACATTTGTAGAGTCAGGGGGCATGATTGAACCTTCTTTGCTTGAGAAATTATTTCTCTTCTTGGAATTCCAAACACTCTCCACATCCACACCTATTACTATGGTGAATACAATGACACTAGAATTTGATAAGATGAAATTCTTCAATCTGTATCGAGTACAGGAGTCTGCCCAAATGTTAACACAAAAGAACTTGTTCCATTCCACCTTTATGATTGAGAAACAAGTTTTTGAAAAATTAGGAGGATTTAATTCTAATCCTATGGAATACTCATTAGTTATTTGGGATTTTTGGGTGAAATATATCCAAAAAGGCTATCGTTCATGGACCATTCCAGAAGTTTTGCTTTGGCACAATATTCAAGGGAAGGAAAAGGATTCTGATAGAGTAACCACTGAAAAGTCAGAGGAAAAGAAATTTATCAGCACACATCTGAAAAAGAGATACAAGACCATGTTTGAGGAGAAGGCAGCAAAAGAGCTGCAAAGCAGAGGATACCTCACTACCAAAGTTAAAATTCCAAACTCAAAGACAATTCTGAGGAGACTGGCTCATGATCGTCACAAATTCCACAAGGGTAAAGATAGATCAATCATTCTGGTCTCAGAAAATTTAAATGACCCAAGAAGAAGAGAATTCATAGTTAAACTCATGGAATCATTTATATTTGAGTACGACTGGCACGTGGTTGTAATAACTACTGACACAGAAGAATCAAATCATGCCTATCGTGCAGAATTGGAAAGATATTCGACAGATATTTTCCATCTGAATCATTTTGTTGACAAAACTTTGCCTCCAGATGAACATGTACTCTCCCTACTAATTCAATATGTCATTTCTACAAGACATATTCATAATATTTTCATAATGGAAAGCATTCTTGGTTACAAGTCATTATCTTTATTACCTCCTCAATTGATGGAGTTTACTAGAGTTTTGGATTATATTTACACATCAAACACCAACAAGTACATAACTGAGAGTGTAAAACATAATGATCTCGTTTACAAGACCTTCCTCTCTTCTCCAGACTTGACTCAGTTATCAAGTCTTATTGAAATCAAATCTGAGAAGACTAGTGTTCTGTATCCTTCATTGGTCAATTTGGCAGAGTTCCGTGTCAAGCCATCTGATAAGAAGCTCGACTATTTGGTGAATGTTAACGAAGAAGACTTTACTCTTATTGGTTCGAAAGATATTCTGAATTTCGACGAGAATTCAAAGGATTTGATAATCAGTTATTGGATTTCAGATGAGGACAAGAGTAGATGTGATTCTGATGTCTTTAAAATCATCAAATATATTTTGGAGAGCGAACATCTTGAAAGAGTGAAATTCCTTCTTCTCACCGATAAGAAATTATCTTACAATCTTGACATTTTCCCTGAGGACAGAAATGAAAAGGAATCTAAAACTCATAACACCATCAAACTATTCTCAATGATTGAAGAGCTCACTTCCAAACATCCTGATAGAATCCTCTTTGTCAAGCCAGGAAAGAAGGCAAGTAGTAGAACTCTCAAAAAGTACCTTCGACTCTTCTCTCCCTATTCTCATGTGAATCTATTTAGTGACTCGTGTGGTGTCCAAAGCACTTCACAAGTTTCCATTCCACCAATTGTATTTCAATCAATGGCCACACAGAATGCAATCATTGCCCTGCATCATCAACCAGACACAACACTGGAAAACTTTATCAACAAGTTCAAGATTGGCATATCTGTTGGATTGTATAAACCAGACGATGAGCATACCATTATTGAAACTCTACAGAAATGGCTCAAAGATTTGGAATCTTTCAACACCATTCGAACAGCAAACATTGAGCTGATTTACAACCTTTTCAATGTCCATTCCGTGTCCAACATGATCCACAGCCAAGCTATGCATTAAACGAAGTTCCATTGTAAAATATTTATTTATTTATTGTAACATCTAATGAAAATCGTTGTTTTCCTTTCTCCGAACTTTACACTTCAACATCTTAATTTCTTTTAATTTCCGCCAATAAATCTATTTTTAAAAATATCACTTTAGAAAAAACAACACACCTACAAAACACACGTTTCAATCAGAACACTTTCAAAACATTTCACCATGAAGAGGGAAGGTAAATTGAGTGGAAAACACACTAATAAGACCAGACAGAGAGGTAAATGTCGCGTTGTTCATTGTCATATGTGCCATACTGGTAATCCTTGTAAATCTCTCAAGAAGAATAAGGGTCAGAAGAAGTTTGGTTTTATTGATATGGATTCGGTTAATGAGATTGAATGTCTGGATTTTTATGATTGGAGATATGATGGAAGAAAAAGATAAATTATATTACATTATTTTGGTCAATTTAGTAAGACTTTTTACATGAATATACAAATTGTGTAAAGGATTGGAATTTTTGATCGAGAAATATTGGAAATAAACTTTAGATGTTCAATGCCATTGAATTATTTCTTAGATTCGTTTATTACAATATTCGAAAGGTTCATATGACACAATTAAAAAAAATGTATTTTCATCAACAGGTACCAGAAGAAGTTGCTTTCTATCGATTATTTCCATACCTTGATTTTCACCTGTTGATCAAAGTTATTCCACATGTTTGTTCATCATGGCGAAGATTAGTCATTGAAAAATTAGAAACTCTACATTTCTATCCGAATGTCCAGCTCCTATCTGAAGAAGAACAACCAAATGTCATGACAGAAACTAATGTTCAAACAAATCTATTGCCATTTGTTCGATACACGATCAAGTTTGTCCAATCGAATCGAATGACAATCAAATATTTATTCATCAATGGTCAAATTGAAGATATTATTTGCAGAAAACAGTTTCGTCTATTCGGAAACTTGAATCCACTGGCAAGGAATGAGAAAGTTTTCATTCCAAATAGAGCACAGAGAGAATCAATTGAATTTTTCACAAGACTGCAGAGTTTGAAAGGTGGTTACATTCCAAATAGTTTAACTGAGCCAGCTCTTCGAAGATTTACACTTAACTTGTTTAATAATGGAACATCTCCATATGGAGAACAGTTATGGGAAAGTATGGATGTTGAAACCATGGGAGAGTTGGTTAAAATTTGTAAAGATACTGAGCTTGTTTCACTTTCAAATGTAATTGGGGATTCTAGTGGGGATTTATTGAGAGATATTTTGATGAAATCAAAAATTGCAGTCATTGACAATACTAGATTGCCTCGGTACGGTTCTGGACATTTCGAATATTTGTACTTTTCAGAGAATTTCTACTTTTATGACAAGCAAGAGTTTGAATATAATGAATCACGTAATAATTTACTGGTTTGTAAAAGTAATAGAAGAGATTTTGGGTTATTAGCTAAAGAAGTGTTCAATGAGAAGAGTAGGGTGGTAGATTATAATATAACAACTGAATTCCTTGAAAGACATCTTACGGAACAGGATATTCGAAATGCGCTCGAAAAGCTTTGTAAAAATCTTGCCAATAATCCACAATTGAGAAGATTAACATTGGGATTGGAATTTTTCAAATCAAACTTAATGCAAAATATTCCATTTGATTATGGAGGCGTTGGAGGAATGATTGAGGAATTGTATATAAGGATTATTGGAGATACTTTTTCGAAAATTAGATTGGGTTCTTTCGTTTCTGGATTTGTTAATGTGAAACATTTGGTATTGGAAGATGTCAAGTCGAAGGATTGTCATCTTGTAAGAGAATCCATTTCAGGAATGATTCATCTGGAAACCTTTAGAATATCTTTTTATGAACATCAAGGTTCTGATGATGAGGTGAAATATTTCGAGTTGATTTCTGCTCTTTCAAGAAATTACAAAAACCTTTCAAAATTGTTATTCACATTCCCATACATGGAATTTCTTGAAAATGAAAGCTTGCTCAAGACAACACTTGATGAACCATTGAGAATGTGCTGGGTCTCATTGAAGAAATTACCTAATCTATACAATGAAACAATTCTTCAACTGGAGAGAATTCCAAAACTTGTTTTTCGTACTAAACCAAGAATTTCAAATGATAATTCTGCATTGGCTCAAATTGATTACGACCAAGATATCGACATTATTATAGAACAGAGAAAGGAATTTAAACAAGCTCTGCAAGAAGCAGAGATTTCTTGCCCTGGATGTTTAAAGGTTTTTCCAAGACGGTTAATAACTGGACATTTGGCAACTTGTCACAATCTACCTGATCTGTGCAAGAAAAATACCAATCAGTTGAGAACTCTTTCTGTTTGTCCTTGTTGTAAGGAAGAATATCCAACCAAAGAAGTGGAAGAACATTTACTGAACTGCACAGAGAAACATTTGAAATTTAAATTAGAGGACACAACACTAAGAGAACCACTATATCATGTTGGTTACTATCCATTGGATTTTGGTAATTGAACTGTCTATATATATGGTGGTTTTGTTTAATTCCAATTTACAATAAAAATTAAAAAGATTGTTGAAATAATTATTCTTTAAAAAATAGAAATATTATAAAATCCATCTCCAATTTCTTTAACCTTCTTTTTCTTTTCAATTGGTTCTTTTTTCTCTGGCAAGTATTCCTCTACTGGAGTTTCGTCAGTGTCAAAAATCAACATTTCCTGACGTGCTCCTTCTTGAGCTTGAATGTTTGGATCTGCCAACAGCTTTTTCACAACTCCTGATTGTAAGGCTCTAACACCACCATGAATATTAGATGGATATCCTGTAAAATAAAACAGTTCTTCGTTTGCTTTACAATGTTGGCCCTCTTTCACACAATAATCAATGTCTATCTTTTCAACACAGCTTCCACCAAAACCAAAAGAGATATTTGGCATTTTGATAACAATTTCAGTGTTGAGGGTTATTGCAGTGTGAAATCCTCTTGAATTTCCGATAACAGTGTAGTTTCGAATAACGGGCTTTAGTCTTAGCATTTTTTTAAGATTTTTATCAGAATTTATTCTTGATATTATTTATTATTAGAAATCACTTTAATATCTTAATTTAAGTTTTTGATTGTTCATAAACTTCTTTTTTAAGTTTCATTACATTTAACATTAAAACTAAAGCACGTTTAAATCCAATTAACCATTCTCAAAGTCCTTCTGTGTACCATTATTTGTAGTACTGATGAAAATAATTAAACTCCTTAGAAGAAACAGCATGCAGATGTTTTTTTCAAAATCTCAGTATCTTCATTTGTTGGACCATAAAATCATTTACCAAATATCCTCTTATTTACGGTTTTTATTCTCTCATTCCAGAAGAACTGTTTCAATTTGGAATTGAAAACTTATACAACACTCAATTCAGTTCATCAGCCACTTTATTTTCCCTTGAGAAACAAGAAGGGATAGTTTGTTTCTGTACAGTCTTTCAATCAACACGTCAACATACCGCTGTACATTGTGTGTTACCAATGAAACTAACAAGTATTCTTCATTTTTTCGAATGTGTTACAATTTCAAGGAGTAACACCAAATTAGGGACATGTTAATAGCCAATCAATCACCACAAAAAAACGAAACAACACTCATTGTTACAATCTCTTCAATACAACGATTTATTGGAATACAGAGTTATCATTAATGGATGACCAAGTACAATATTAAGAAATTCATCTCTTTCTTTAATTCCTTAACGACCATTTAATGAAAAAGTAGCATTTGACAGGTAACTTCTCATAAGACCTTGTATCATCAATCAATATTGCGTTACTCTAAGAGTTTGTTTTTAAGGAGCTATCGATGCATTGTTTTTTAACACATCAAAAAAAAAATGTCAAGATTACTGACACTAGTTGTTACTATTCTTGCACTTGCATGTTTAGCATGTTGTCAAACCAATTGTCCACATGCTGAAAGCGGTCTTACTTTGTTCAGTTCTTTGTCTGGTTTTTCAGTTGCCAACAGTCAAATTACTATTAACAAAGCTGTCAAGGTTGATAAATCTCCTCCTTACAAACTTCGCAGTATTACTGTACTATCTGGTGGTTCTCTCATTTTCGATAATGCCAATTTAACTTTGCATGTAGATTACATTCGAGTTGAAAGTGGTGCTAGCTGGATCATGGGAAGTGCCACATGTCCAATTACTAACAAGATTATTTTGACATTCTATGGTTCTCGCACTACAGAAAGTGAAATTGGTATCGATCCTTTTGATAACGTTAACATGGGTTCAAAGGGTATTGGTTTCTTATCTGGATCCAAGGTTCAAATCTTTGGTCAAGTTGACTCACCAACTTTTACTGATCTTGCTGTAACTGCAAAGAAAGGTTCTAATCAAATCAAGTTGAGGGAAAGCGTATCATGGAGAGTTGGCGACTCTATTGTTATTGCCTCATCAGATTATGGTGAAGTTTATGATTATAGATTAGTTAGCTCATCATTGGTCAATTGGAAAATTGGTAATTACTTCCCTGATCAAAACGAAGAACGTGTCATTACTCAAGTTTTAGACGGTGGTAAAACCATTGTATTAGATTCTCCACTCAATTATACTCACTACAGCAATGGTGCTGAAATTAGACCTGAAGTTGGTTTACTCTCCAGAAGAATTATCTTCCAAGGTGACAACTCATCTGATGTTTCACAATTCGGTGGTCATTTCATGGTTCGTTTGGTTACTCAATTTCAAGTTGAAGGAATTGAAATTAGAAAGTTTGGTCAATATGGCTTGATGGGAAGATATTCATTCCATCTTCACCTCCTGGAAAATACTGCACAAAACTCAACATTTGGCACTCAATACTATATTAGGGGATGTTCTGTTCATGATTCATTCCAGAGATGTTATGTGGTTCATGATACTAATTATTTCCTTCTTGAAGATAATGTCTGTTTCAATGCTATTGGTCATGAATACTTTTTGGAGGATGGTTCTGAACTAGGTAATGTGTTCAAGCATAATTTGGGAATTCGTCCAAAACCTGTTTATGATTTGACGTATCGTTTGATTCCATCTGATAGTGAAGTTGCTGTTTTCTGGATTACCAATCCAAACAATTCATTCATTGATAATCATGCTGTTGGTGGAAAGCATTGCTATTGGTTTACGTAAGTTATCATCTTTATTACTTGATTAATTTTCAAATTGTTATTAGAATGTAAGTTTTTTACAAAATATTCATGATCACCTAAGTGTTTTTAATTCTTATTTAGGCCAACTTTCCCAACAGGTGCCAGTGCCTCATTGTACGCCCCAGGTTCTATCAATCCAAGAACTGCTCCACCTAAACCATTTTCAGGAAATGTAGCTCACAGTGGACATAATGGACTATTCATGGATGATATGGAAAAAGCTGATGGCACAACTGAACAAGCTGGTTACTATCCATCTATTGAGGCTCTCATTGATAATTTCACAGCTTACAAGTTGAGAAATTATGGAATTTGGGCTCGTTGTGGAAATATCGTTTTCAAAAACTTGTACTTGACTGATAATATGAGACAGATGAATTCTCCACCTGGTACTTCATACATTACCGATTCAATCATGATTGGAGAATCGGATAATATTGGAGACTATACTTTGAGACCAAATGTTGATAAGGGAAATAGAACAAGACCAAATTTATATGCCTCAACAACTGTGGTCATTAAGGGTTATGAAACTTATGATAACGGCGGTGCTGAATTGTTGAGAAATGTGACTTTTAGAAACTTTGTCACTGATCAATATAGAAGAGCTGGTGCATTGTCCTATCTTGACAATTATTTCAAGCTCCATACCAGAAATAGATATTGTGAAAGGGTGCTGTTTTCATGGATATAGATGGATCGATCACTGGTGTTGCTGCTGGTGCATGGATTAGTGGTAATGATGCAATTCAAAACTTTGAAGGTTGTGAAATTAGATCAGAGTGGAACAACGCCTCTGTTTGTCCATTTATTGGTGAATCCTACGTTCAATTTAGAGCTTTGAATTACAATATTACTAGTTCTGTAATCATCGATCCATATGGTATTTCCCATCCAGAATATATTTCCTACAATACAAGAATTCCAAGAATGTACCTTACAGACCTCACTAGAAACATCCAAACAAGTACTGCTGGTGGAATGTCTTCTGGTGGAACTTTCTATATGCAATCCAATGTTCCATCACGTGGTTTCTATGCCATGAAATATGCTTTTGATCTTCCTCCTCCAAACCCAATGAGTTTACAAATGCAATCTTCAGCTTCTGGCGATTGGGTTGTCATGGTCATTCAATATCCAAAAGGTTCTAAATTCTCTATAACCTCTACATCAGATCCAAAGACTTTGAAATTGTCCAATTCATTCCAAGACGTTGTCAATTATCCAACTGAATATTATCATAATATAATATTCAATTCTACTACTGGTCACTTGTATATCAAATTTGAAAATACCTATTCCAAAAATAATAAGAAGGAATGGTATGGATTTGTTGATTATGGTTCATGGAGTAACTCTAAAGATATTGTTATCACTGCCACTTGTCCAAATAATTATTGTGGAACTGCCAATCCAAGTCTTCCAGAAAATCCAAGAGAAACCTACAGAGTTTTCTTGAAGGAAGATAGATTTGTTGGTCGATTGGAAATGTGTCAACAAAATTCCATTACTCCACTAGCATCTGGATCGAGTAGTGCAGTTGGTACAGTTTTTGGTTTTCTCAATTACAATGACAAGATGTTAGATTTGATTCTGCATCATAATATGAATGACAAGGCAACTCTTGTTGAAGTGGGTGTTGGATCCGTTGGTTCTGTTGAAAGAATTATTTCATATTCCTATGTTCCATCTCCATATTCTCAAAGTAGATTTGGTTTACAATTATCTCATGGTGAATGGGTTGACTTGTTGAAAGGAAGAATTTTTGTAAAGGTTTCAAGTTCTGAAAATCCAAAGGGACATTTGAGAGCCCAATTGTATTGTAGTGGAACTTGTAATTTACCACCATTTGTTATTACTACTTCACCTTGTGTTGTAAAGAATGAGTCAGAGGCCTTGTATCTGTACAATGATGGAGATCCTTCCAAGTCAACTGGATTTACTGCACAAGTCTATTCCAATTCAGGTAGTGGTGATTATGTAGTTTCGAATACATCCTACTCTATTAATCCAGTATGTGGAAGCTCATCATTCTACATGAGTTTCAGAAGAGGTGGATTACAATTGTACAGATACACTTCTTTTGCTGTTGATACTTCCATTTACAAGTATTTCGAATTCTTTGTGAGAGAAACTAATAGCAGTGGCTCTTTTGAATTGACAATGAGCTTTGCTTCTTACAATTCAAATACCAAACAATTTACAACAATCAAAACTCTGACAACTAACAGCACCTATACTCAATTCTACAAGATTGATGAAACTCGTCTCACAAGAGTTAGAATTCCACTCTCTGACTTGAGTTTTACAGGAGTTCAACAATTCCAAAGATTTTCCTTCTATTTCTCTGGTACCATCACTGCTACAAGTCCGTACAGAGATTTGATTGTGGATAATGTAAGATTTATTGGTGATCAGGGACAAGAAGAAACCTCCAGATTTATCACATCAGGTGAAATTAAGAAATGGGGCTCTGTTTCTACATGTGGTGTTTCAGAAAGTCCAGACAAGGATCCAATTAAGGTTTCCTCATTGTTCTTTGATGTTGCCACAGAGACAAGACCTTCTGCAGATCCAACTGTTGAACCTGATACTACTGTTCAGCCAGGTGCCTCCAATTCAGTGAGTGGATTTTCAAGCCCACAAGTTCCAAGAGCTTCTATTATTTCACATTCTCATTCTTTGAAGATGGTTGGTGTATTGATGATTGCTTTGGTTGTTTCCACATTAAACTTTGTTCTCTAATAAACTTTTCACACTGTTTGCATTGGAAAATAATAGCAAAAAACATGCTTGAAAATAAAATGATTTTTCCCAATAAAATTTTACGCAAGGCGGGGTTTGAACCCGCGACCTTCCGCGTGTGAGGCGGACGATCTAACCACTGATCTACTTGCGCATACATTGTTAACAAAAAAGTTATCAGTTGTATTCATGATATCTCTCCGAAAAAGGAAATTCTAAAGAGAACAAAATGAGCAAAAAAATTAATCCATGTGATTGTAGTGGAGCCCTTAAGCAAAAATGGCGAAAATATATGTAGCAGACTTGGCCGAGTGGTTAAGGCGACAGACTTGAAATCTGTTGGGGAAACCTTCGTAGGTTCGAATCCTGCAGTCTGCGTATAAACTTTTGATTTTATGCTGTAGCAGTATTGTTGTTGTTGAATATTAAGGAAGAAAGTTTTTTATTGTGTGACTTTGGAAATTAAGTTTAAAACTTGCTGACAGTATCTATTTTTGGCGGCTATTTCTTTCGAAAATACTTTTAAAAGAAAAATGGTGGCTATAGAAATGGAGGTGGACATACCACCAAAACAACATGCAAAAAGAACACTCACAGCCTTCGCTAAAATATTTCCGGTAAGGTGCCAAATAAGAAGACAATTTAACACAAGGCCAACAATTGGAGACAATATTGTGTCAGCAGCTAGATCAACGATCCTTATATTGTTCATGATGCCCATAAAAACAAACCAAAAGTTACATCACCACCAAAACAAATCAAACATACTCCAACCCTACAAAGAGCTGTTAATACCTTTCAAATCGATTCATTCAAGTATGATAAAACTGATTGCACAACATGGTCAGTTGAATCAATCAAGACAATATTACTCACTCCAAGGAATAAAGGAGGGATTGGTATCAGTAAAGAAGATATTCCCAACACAACCCTGAAAGGATATGTTTTGGAGAATGTTGTGGATGCTTTGATTAGTTTTAATGGTGATAAAGAAGCCAAGACTGCACATGCTGTCAAAGAAATTAATTGTGAACCCGTGGTGGCCAAATCTGTTGTTAGATGGGTTTTTAGTAATTTATTGGAATACAAATAAAAGATTTTAGCCTTAGTTGAATGAGACATCCCAATGTTGTAAATTCCTTGTAGACAGGAATTGTCAGTATTGTGTGATGTCTTTTTTTAAATTCATAAAAAATCTATCGCATGATTACCTTTTCACTAATTATTATCCGTTTGCAGACACAACACTCACTATCACAAAATAATGCCATCATCTCCAACAAGACTCACAACGAGCAAGTCCGATTCTTCTTGTTGTGTTAGTGTTGCTGCTGGAAAGCAACAGGCGAATAGCAATGACGGAATAACTAGTACATCATCTTCATCAACAAAATCATTCTGTTCCTTTTCAACAATCATGACTACCTCCTTGTATATTGTCCTTTTCCTTCTCCTCCTTTCATGTTTATTATTTCTTCATCATGTAGTTATCATCCGACCATCTCTTAGCCTTTCGAGTAACAATAATTTAACACCGGATCATACAAGTTTATCAAATCAAAATTCTATTCACCAAATGTATAGTAACAAATTAAAGACAAGTCTGTTTAGAGATCGATTTACCACCCCTTCTAATTCACTGCCTTTTCATTACGATGATCATGAGGAGGAGGAACATCAGGATGATGATAATTACGATTCATTCATTCACTCTCGAAAAGGTGCAGCAACTTTTAAAATTGGAATTGACGAATTTTGGAAAAATGAATTTACAACAATGGAACACTTGGTATTACTTGATAATTCTTCAAATAATAATGGAACAAATTCAACTGATCCTACCATGGATTTATTAATGATGAGGATAGCACTCTTGGCAAGAGTGTGCTCCTATTTTGAATTGGTGTTTGCAGCATTAAGCTTTTGCTTTTGTATCATATTGATGGTGGCCTTTGTTGGACTTGCTGAATTGAGAGGTAGAAAGAATTTTGCTCTCATTATGGCTTTTCTGGCCACTGAAGCTCTCAGTTGCGTGAAACACTTTCTCATATTGCTAATTTTACACTTTCCAGAGACGATCTATGAACCAAACATGTGTATAGTTGTTGCTATATTCGAATATGGATTTAATTTTTGCTCATATTGTTATGGATTTTGCATTGTATTGGATTTACTCAATGTTGCTACGAATCCCATCAAGGGAAATAAGAAAAAACACATCATGTATCATATTTGCATGTGGACACTCACCATTCTTGCAATTGTAGGATCTGTAGTTGAGAGTACACTAACACAAAACAATCAGGCATGTTCAATTCTTCCTGATGAATTATATATTGGTTATGCCATCTATGGTATCAATGGTATTATGGCCATTATAGGTATTGGTATTTGTTTATATGTTTGGTCAAGTTTGAGAAGAGGTTTACCAGGTACTCAAAAATTAAGAAATGGTATCATTATTAGACAATGTATTTTCAGTGGTGTTATTGGCATTTCTTTATTGGGAACTTTACTTTCAAGTGTTATTTTGAAGGGTAAGATTTCTGAATTGAAACAAAAAGGGGAGGACTTTAGTGATGCTGGAATTACTATTTTCACAATTATTGCTCGTAATATTTCAATTATTGTATCGAGTATTGAAGGTCTCATTTTGTCACTAATCTTACTTTCAGATCCTATCATTTTGAGACATATTAAGAAATTTAAGGACTTTCTTTGTATGCTTACAGAAAACGATGAGGGACAAAATATTCTCGATAGAATCAAGAAGAAGGGTGTTATCAAAAGCTCAACACTCTATACTTCCATTTTAGCGGAAGGTGTTGCTGTGGATGAGGAACTCGATCTTCTCTCTAGAAGAAGAATGGCCATTGAAAAAGCTAAGGAATCACTTTACCATCAAAGATTACTCTTCGAAGGTATTATGGATGAGGGTTCTGAAGCAGACCAAGAACGTTTCTTGAAATATCTATCACAACAAGATCAAAAATTCTTTGAGGATTCTCTTTCAAACGTTGCCATTGACTATATGGTCAGAAGAGATTTGATTTTTTGTGTCTTGTTGGCTACTCAACACTGTATGAAACAAGCTCATGAATGTGAAGACATTATCAAACAATTCAATTATTCAGAATCTGAATTGACCTCTCATAGAAATACTCTGTACGGTTCTCCACTAATGAAGAAACTCTTCCATCCATCTCTGAGATCCAAAACACATCCTGGACTTTACAACCTTGTTACAAAACACAAGATTAGTGTCACTGAGTATTATCCAACAGCTTTCCATCACTTGAGAAGCTACTACTTTGTTGATAATCTTACTGGTTCAGCAGATATTCATTCTATTATGGAATCTTACAAGAGATCTTTTGAACCAACTTCTGTAGTGTTGGAATCTGTGAGAAATAATTTCAGTGAAGGAAAGTCAGGTAGTTTCTTCCTATTCACTTACGATTCTCAATTTATGATCAAGACTATTAATGATGATGAATTGAAATTACTATTGGACAATATTCAATTCTTTTACAAGCATTACACAACATTTAGAGATACATTTATTGTGAAAATATTTGGTATTTATGAATTGAAAATGACAGCCAACTTTAAAATCAAATTTATTGTCATTAACAATGCTTTGAATTGTAGATTAGCAAAGGATCGTGGAGCACAATATGATCCAATGAGTGTCTATACCAAGTTTGACTTGAAAGGAAGTTGGATTAACAGAAACAACCTTCCTACCTTTGATGGTTATGCCAATACTCTTAAATTCAAATCTACATCCAATGCTGAGGATGCATATGCCAGTCATGTTCAAAACAGAAACAAGTTATTACTTGATAATGATTTTACTAGAAAGCGTAAAATAATTTTTGAAAATAAGGCAATTTATGAAAGATTCAAACAACAATTGACTATTGATTCCAACTTTCTCAAATCTCTCAAGATTATGGATTATTCGCTCCTTCTAGGTTTAGCTGAAGATGACCCAGCTGTTATTAGTGTGGAAAGTTTACCAAATGAGATTAAGTTTTATGAGCCATTCCACAAAACTTATAAGGGAGGAATTCAAGTTATAGACTTGGATTCTCCTTACAATAGAGCAGCCATCATGTACTCTTCTGTAATTGATATTTTGCAGCTCTATGACATGAATAAGAAGATGGAAACTTTAATCAAAACGAAGATTTTAAGAAAAGATCCAAATGGTATCAGTAGTGTGGAGCCAATTTCATACGCTGAACGTTTCCAAAATAATGTCCTTGCCAAATTCACATCCAGGGAGGACTTTTACAATAGTCGATCTTCCTCTATTTCACATAATACACTTAGTAATAGAGGTCTTAGTTTTTCACACCCTAGATCTTTCATGGACGAAGAATACTCAGATGATCATGATGAACAGCAAGATATTCAAAGAGAGAGCTCACCCCAAGAAGCATTGTACTATGAAGCCCAACAATCTCAAAATATTGTCACTCACTTATTGGACCATGTTGAATTTAACAAGAGACATCAAGAACGTTTATTAAACGACTGTTGAGTTGTTATATTTCTTGTAAAATAGATTATTTTGAATTTTGTTTTGTTGCATTGTTGACATTTCCCGCCACACATTGTTGTGTTCTTGTGTAGTCCTCAATCATACCTTAAAAAAAATATCTTAACAACATGCCTCAAGAGACTGCTGACAGCAACATGAATAGTCAATTAGAAAAGGCTAGCCTTTGGAAGAAGAAGTTGAGTATTGTGGAGCCTACCTCTGTTTATGATAATGATGAGAGGATGGTGGAAAGAAATTCTCCTAAGGTGAATAATGAAGACAAGGCTAGGAATGTGGAAAGCGGAAAGGAAACTAATCAAGTTGAAATGCCTCCTCCATCAAGGTCTACCCCTAGGGAAACTTTCAAACAGAGAGCACAACAGAGACAAAGAGAAATTGATCAAATGAAGATGATGTTGCGAGTACACCAACCCTCTCGTGTTGATGGTGAATTTGTAAACCTGAATGAAAAGCAAGTGGACAGAATTCAAAAGCCTACATCAATGATCGAACAAAGACAACCATTCGATTTTGAGAGAATGGAGAAGGAGCATGAAATTGATTCAAGATTTGATCAATTCTGCAAAACACACAACAGATTATCAAAGAAACAAACAGGTTTATTGAGGGCAAGCACATTACAATATGAGGAGAATACTAAGCGTAGATTTCAACCCTCCTGTAAGAGTAGAAGATTACAATCTGAATCTGGTTCCTTATCTCTTGTATCCAAAACTCCTCAGCAACTCCAGAGAATACTTGGCAGCCTGGATGAGCAGTGCATACCAGCAACAAAATTGGATGATGTATTACTGAATCATCTCCAAGATAACAATGTAGTTGATAGTCCAATGGTTGAAGATAGTTTCTTTTTCAAACAACCATCCTCATTTCCAATTATTAATCATCCAAACCGTATTGATTTTGACGAAGAACCATTTAATAACAAGAAATCCTACACAGTTATGAAAACAGGCAACTCCACAATTCAGTTTTCACAGTGGAAAAGTGTTTTCAGTAAAAACAATAAATAGTTCACTTGATTGTACATTTTCAGACTAGTCAATATATTTATAATTTAACAATTTCTTCTTCCAATAAATTAGTTTATGGTCTTTCCCATTGTGTTGTGTCCGTTCTTTCATTATGATAATAATATTTACCAGTTTTATCATCAAAGTATTGCTTCCATCCACTTGGTAAAGCTGGTTCAATATTATTATTATTATTATTATTATTTTGATATTGTTGTGTGTTGTATTGTTGTCTTTGAACATTTGAATCCACTCTATAATCATTTTTATAGCCACCATACTGCTGATCATATCCTCTAGATCTATCAGCATCATCCTTTCTATAATCATTTTCATATCTATTATTGTTATTAGTATTGTTATATCCTCCACCATATGATTGTGATTGGTAATTTCTTTGTTGGAAATCAGAAGAATTTCCACTATTTCCCCAGTTTGAACGATCTTGGAATTGGTTGCCACTGTTCTTTTGATAATCGTTGTTATATGTCTTGTTGTTGTTGGTATTATTATTATTATTGTATGGACGATTATTGTTATATCCTTGATTGCTGGTACTATTATTGTTATTACTTTGATAACTTCCTTGATTATTATTGTATGGCTTATTTTGATAACCTCCTTGATTATTATATTGTTTTGAATTGTTGTTTCTAAAATCTCCTCCACTTCTAGTATTTTGTGAATCCTTTGATAAGAAAGCAGCTACTCCTCTCACTTCAGACAATGGTTTTTCAGTGTTATCCGCAGTAGTACTACTTGTGGCAGCTGGTGCGTTATCTTCTCTTCTTCTCTTATTATCATAAGATTGATAATTGTACGATTGCTCACCATTGTAGTTGTTATTATTGTTATATCCTCTATTATTATTATTGCTACTGCTACTGCCACTGCCATTGTTGTATGATTGATAATTTCTCTTGAGGTCATTTGAGCCTTGGTTGTATGAATTGCCTTGGTAATCATTGTAGTTTCCTCTATTGTTGTTATAACCTCCATTTCTGTTATTATTATTGTTATAACCTCCTCTGCTATTGTTATTATAATTATTTCTGTTATTGTTATTATAATATCCTCTATTGTTGTTATTATTATAGAATCCTCTTCCACCTTTAAAGTTGCCTCTGTTATTATTATTATTGCTGTAATATTTGCCGGTGGTGTTGTTTGACTTAGTGTTTTCTTTAGATTCATTCTTGCTATCCGCAACAGAGTTATTCGTACTAGGTGTTGTTTGTTGTTCCTTTTCTCCTTCTAGTGATCCTGTTTGATCATTGTCCTGATTATTATTATTATTTGTCGAATCATCTTCTGCAGTTACATTACTCTCAACATTCGAATTATTATTTGACGATGATAACACATCATCATACAATGAAGCAGCTTCATCCCTAGTTATATCTTGTTGATTTGATGTTGAGACTGTTTTATCATCAATGCTAACAGTCTCCGGTTGTTCCTCTTGTTGTTGTTCAACAGGTTCCGCTTTCGGTGTGGTTGTTGAAGGTGGATTGTCTTGCATTTTTTTTGTAATGATATTTTATTATCCATTCAATTTGTTCATACAATTACTTATTGTTTTGTGGTGGTTTTTTCATAAAGAGGCAATGATAAATATCACACAAGTACAATGAAACCACACTGTTTTACACATCTATAAGAATATCAATAGAATACAAATGTTTGAATGTAGCCCGTCTAGCTCAGTCGGTAGAGCGCAAGGCTCTTAACCTTGTGGTCGTGGGTTCGACCCCCACGGTGGGCGAATGAATTTTAGTTTTCAACACAAAAATAATCGATTTTGTTATTTACACTGGAGTTTATTTTCTAAGGTTTCTTGCACATGCCTTCTTTAATTGATCAGTTGTTGGAGGTGCAACTGAAACCGAACCAACAGAGAACGGGTTGTCAGATGCTCCTTCAGCTTGGAATGCATTGGTAGCTGTTGAGTACCAATTTCTATCAACTGAAGACATTGATGAGCATGCCAGTAGGGCTCCAGTCCTGCTTGAGGAGACTTTGTAATTGTGGACTTGTGGAACCTTGGCTTCCAATGTTAATTTATGAACGTGAGCAATCAACTCTTCTTCTTTCATTGCCTTGGCATTCTCCTTTCCAAGCTCTTTAATCCTCTCCTCAACAAGACGATCCATTTGTTCATCTTCAATACATCCATTGATAATCAGATTTGGAATCTTATTGGCCTCAGTTAATAACATGCATTTTCCATCTGTCTTGGTAGCCAAATAATCCATGAATAAGGATAATTGTTGATCATTCTTTGATCTTCCACAAATAATGGAATAGAATACGACATTCTTTTCCTGCAAATGAGAAGCCAATTTGATCCAATCAATGATTTCTCCCTGTTCATCCTTACATCCATCTGGGAAGTAATCTCCACTTGCTCCCATTCCATGAGGTGGAGCGTCTGCAATCCAAATACATATCTTTCTACCCTTCTTATTGAATGGAATTTCATTGACGACCTTTAATGCCGAAGCCAAGGCCTCAGGCATGTCTCCTCCCCCTTTAGCAAACATTTCATTGACATAACCTTTTGCTTTTTCAACATTCTTTGTGAATGGATATTCCTTCACAACATAGTCATCGGTGTGGTCTCTGTAACTAACTGCTGAAAATCTCAAATCTGATTGAAAGTGGTCGTGCAATGTTGTAATGATCGATTGAACTGTATCTTTGGCAATTTTGATCTCGCCACTCATTGATGAAGTATTGTCCATTACAATAACCAAGTCGACAAGTTTTTCACTCCAATCAACCAATTCTTGATCATAACCAGGCTCCTCCAAGTGATTGGCTCTGATCCATTTACCTTTAGCTAAACTAGTGATATTGAATGACATTATTTTTTTGTTTTGAAAATGCAAGAATTGTTTGGTCCTTGTTCATATTTAAATAGTTTCTTGTAAGGAAGGTAGTTCCAATTTCCAAGGAGAATGTCATTGAAGAGGAATTCATTGGGTAGTAGTACGTGTTAAAGACTGATCTTCAAGTCCAAAATGCTTTATTTCAAAAATCATTCTTTCAAATTATGAAACCAAGAGTTTGAAACCATGTAAGTTTGTCAACATTTCAAGTCAGTCACCAACAGGTAAATAACGAATAAAAAAATATGAAATGGTTGTTGATTTTTATGGTTGAGTTCACTCAATCATCAAAAAGCAATGACCTTAAAATAGGGCCAATCTTCTTTACCTATTCCTCTCTCGTTATATTATTCAAAATTGTGGCTTATTAAGCAAATATTCTTTGAAAATTATTGTTTGGCTTCACCATAATGTTTTTCCATAAAGTGAACAATAAATTCAAATGATAAGAACATGATAGCAGTTGTTGGAACAACTCTAACCAAGTGAGCACCCATTCCAGAATAGAGACCCTTTGTTCCTTCTTCTACAGCGATAGTTTTAAAGGCATTAATCATACCCTTATCATATCTACATTTGCCATTAACTATTTCTCTCATTCTTGTTCTCACAACTTCGTGTGGATAGGTCAGTGCACTAGCAATAAGTTTGCAACTTCCACTAAGTGTAATGTATGTGAGAGGTGTGAATTTCTTGTCCTCTCCATTTGAAGATTTCTGTGCAAAGGCCTTAACTTGCTCATAGAGAACAAAGTAAATGGCTGTTTCAAATATTCCCAAGAAGGATGCAGTGAGACCCTTATAAAAACCTCCAATTCCTTCATTCTTATAAATTTTCTTAATACAATCAGCATATCCATTATAGCCAGGAGTATTGCTACCTGGAGTTTGATTTCGGGAATGTTGATCTAATTGAATTCTAGTCTTGACCAAAAACATTGGATTCATTGTACCTGGGACCACAACACCACAAGCAGCAGCACTTGCAATGTGAACTATTGGACTCTCTGTAGATAAGGAGGTATATTTGCTGAAAAAATCCTTAGCTGCTGAATATGTGGCAAAGTAAATAGCTCTAGATGGGAAAATACCAACAATATTTGGTATTAATCCTCTAAAAAGACCATGCATACCTTCATTTCTAGCTGTTACTTTGAGGGAATCTATAATTTTAGTGAGGAAAAAACGACTTTGGGCTGTAGTTTCATTGTAAATTCCTGCTGAGCTTTGGAATCTTGTTTTAAGCACATCTAGTGGTTGGGTTGCAACAGCAGCAATGGATCCCGAGATACCTCCTGCAAGGAAATTAATAGTATTCTTGTTTGCTGAGAAGAAGGATGATTGTTTAGATGGTTGTGGTTCATGTTTGATATCCGATTCTGTTATGGTTGTTGATGTATCTTCAATATCTATGAGAACTTCTGTAGAATTGGTTGTTTTGTTATTGTTGTTCATTGTGTTTAAAATCCAATTAATTCGAAAAGGTCTTGTCGGAAGTGATTTATAATGATGATATTCTTCAGTTAGAAATGTTATTGATGCTGTTTTTCTTGTATTTGCTTGATGAACAATTTAAACAGACTTCCTTTAAGTTGGTGAGGGTGCTTGCAACTGTATAAAGTTTTTCTCAAACTCTTGTTGCTCTATTTTTTTGATTGAAAGTGCCAAGCTCTTCTTTGGCCACAATGAAAAGAACAATTTTATCGAGAGCATTCAGTCAAAATCATGAAGTTGGTCCAATGTGGTTGATGCTAACTATTTAGTTGAGGTGGTATACCAGCTCTTCACCACACACAGTATTAATGTTCAAATGAAATGTAATTGTTTACAGTAAAGTGGCGATTATGATTGGAAGAGATTTTAAATCAAAATTTAATGTTGTGTGTTATGAATGTATTTAAGAGTTTTGTTGTTGTATTAGGGATTGTTATTATTACAAAATAAATAATTAGAATTGGAAGAAAGATCCAGCCAATTCTGATAATTGGTCTCTGGCCGATTTGAAAACTTGTGTGAAGGTTTCGGCTCCTTCAACTGCTGTGTCTGTTCCAGATTCAACAGCAGCAACTTTTTGAGCAATAGCTGTAGCATCAATTTCTATGATTATACCATCTTCTAAAACTTCGTCTAAGGATAAGACGATCAAATCGAAATTTTCGAGGAATGTTCTCTTATTTAATTGATTTCTAAATAACATTAATAATCCATCAATAAATCCTGATAACACTTCCGATAATACTAATTCATTTTCATATCCAGCTCCAACAACAAAAAAGTATACATCTTGAACATTTTGATAAACAATATTATAACTTTCAATCATGATGATATCAATATCACCAGTTGGTTGTATTTTAGATTTAATCGTCTTACTAGAAACACTTTCCTCCAAATTTAATTGTTTGGACAAGTTACTCTTCAGATCGTTGGAGTAGTATTTGCTAAGCAATCGTTTACCCTCCTTGTCCAAAATAAAGAGTCCCTTGATCTGATGAATGAATGCTTCCATTTTTTAATAATAATAATTTTTAGATTACATCGTCATCAAACATGTAATGTTCGTCACTGCTCTGACTACTTGGTTTGCTGTCTAACTAGTTGGTGTTAACTTTGTTGTTATTGGCTCATAGTAGTAATAGAAAAGTTCTATCATATTCTGGCTACTATTCTAGATGTAATTTGCATCTCCCGAAGATTTTTTCTTGCTCACATTTTATGTGAGGTTTTTTCATCACACTCCAATGAAACAACCATAAAAACCTTCAACAAACTTCTCACAATTCTTCTTCTATTACTATTAGAACAACAAGTATACAATATTATATAATTAATTCTTCTAAAATCCAATCTAAATTGTGCTCTATTCGGTGTTGTAATTTTAAGAAGAGTTGTAAAAAAATAAACTCGAAAAAAAAATGTTGAGTAGAATTGCCTCCACTTCCCGCAAACTTAGACTCTCAAGAGTTTCTTCTTTTAAATCATATCATACATCTGCTTGTAGATGCGAAGAATTCGTTGAAATCCCATCAAAGGGTAAAGTTGTTCTTCCAGAAAAAGTTAAGAAAATTGGTGATGATGTTTTGTCTCTCAATGTTTTGGAAAGTATAATGCTTCAACAATATTTGAGAGTAAGTAGATTCATACCGAAACGAATGATAGAGTATCAATAATTAATTAATAATTATCGGCAATTTTTCACGGAATATTGTTTGCGCCTTTAAATGACACAAATTTCTCTAACAATATAATAACAATGATAACACACAACAACAACAACAACAATAACTTTAATAGAACAGTGTTGGTATTGATATTGATATACCTAACCCAACTGAAGCTATGCTCAAGGTTGGTTTGGGATTGGATTTCGGACCAATGGGTGGTGGCGGTATGATGGCCATGAACCCAGCTATGATGCAAGCTATGGCCGCTCAAGCTGCCCCAGCTGCTGCTGAAGTTAAGGAAGAAGTTAAGGAAGAAAAGAAGGAAGAAGTTGTCAAATCTTCATTCAACGTTAAAATTGAAAAGATTGACGAAAAGGGTAAAATCTCAATCATCAAGGAACTTAGAAAGATTGATAAGAACCTTACCCTCAAGGCTGCTAAGGAAATGGTTGAATCTGCACCAGTTGTTATACAAAAGGACGTTCCAAAGGAAGAAGCTGAAGCTCTCAAGAAGGCTCTTGAAGAAATGGGTGCTGTTGTTGCTTTGGAATAAACCCATAATTTCCGATTTGACTAACATGAGACTAGTTTTAGGTTTTGGCTAAATTACAATTCCACTAAATTCGATTATTTAAATATTTAATATTACACTTTTTTATTGAATACGAAATTCCTTCTTTTTCACTCTAACTTCTCCATCTTCTAATTGGTAAATGTAATTCACAATAGTTCCTCCTTGAATATCCATCAAGACAAATGTTGGAACAACGTTTTCTGTTAATGGAGAAAAGGCTCCAGTTGCACTACCTGGATTTACGTAAAACTTTCCTTGATAATCAAAAGCTTTGTGTTCGTGAGTATGTCCAGAAATTAACAAGTGAACATCCAATTTTCTTTGCCACATGGAAAGTGATTCCTTATCATTCCATGGAACGATTTGATGACCATGAATGAGACCAATTTTAACTTGTCCAATTTCTATAATTTCAGATTCCTTTGGTGGTGAAATTCCTTTGAATTTTTCATCAAATTCTCCCTTAACAACATGAACATCAGGAGCAATAGTTTTCAAATATTCATAAGTTTCCTTTGAACACAAGTTACCAGTACAGAGAATGTGTTGAATTTTACCAGGAACAAGCAAGGCTTTAAATTGTTCTGGAAGATCGTTGGCTCTGTGTGGAATGTGGAGATCTCCAATAACTAAAACAAGCTATTATATTCAATATCCGATTGATGATGTTATTCACATTTTGATGATGACAAGTTTTTCATATGATGATGATTGATGAAGAATAATTATTTCACAAATTATTGTTTTTCATAGGTCCAATATTATTATTAATTTAATTCCACAAATCGTGATCATAAAGATTTTTAATATATATTGTTTGATATTTGTAGTTTTACCAGCACATCATGATTAGATTCTCGTTCCTCCTCAAGCGGAGAGCAATTTTACATACCACCATTTTAAAAGATTTTTTATAAAGTAGATTTTGTGATCGAAAACCTGTGGTCAAATTTTGTTCTTCAGAAGCAAATGATTACTATGGTAAAGATAATCACAATACATTCATATAATCAAATGGATTGGTGGCACGATTCTAATATATTTCAAACCTTAATTGACTATTCTAATATTATTTCATTAGTAATGGATATGAATTGAAATAAATTCTCTACAATTCAACACATTTCTCAATATAACAAATAGCATCCTGAATTGTTTTCATCATGATAATACCTTGTCTCCTCTCAAATCTCAAAACCAAAAAACAATTTGAATAAATCTGAGACAATAAAAGGGCCTCTCTCTGATGCACAGTTGTGGCAATAATCATATTTGAGGAAGGTCTCTGAGTGATGATAAATTTGGTATTATTAAATTGAATGCAGGTTTGATGATTGTTCATCATTTCTCCATCATCACGGAAGAGAGCATCAGAGAGTGATGGCTCTATCGAGTATTGTTGTTCCTTCTTGCTGGTCAAGAGTTTGGAATTGTGGAAGATGATCAAATCACTCACTAATTGATTCGTTGCGAATTTATCTTGTATTTTGTCAATGAAGGAATTGATAGAATTTGCATGATCCGATCCATTATTGTTTGATGTTGTATTATGATGCAGAGAGGGGGTTGATGTATCACTATCGATTAGATTGAAAAACATTTTTTTGAATAAACTTTCTTTAAACCTTCCCAACCTATTCGTTAATATTAATGTACTGCTCAATAACTTCACAGAGCTGGCTCAATGTCCATTGACACACAATTTTAGTGCATAACCAAATCTGGAAGGATTCGTGTGTATGGTGCAAGATTCAAGTACCATTAAGTGTGTTAAATCTAACAAATTTCAAAATTTATTATTATTGAAAAAGGAGACAACGGGATTGGTGTTGAACGAAAAGTCTATCCAAGATGTATTTGAATAGTGGGAAAGATGGAAGTGTAAAGTATACATGGGAAAGCTAAGGTTTTGTGGTATTAAAAAGGTGGGAATTTGTGAATTATTCTTTCTTATCTCCAGTCACGTGGCTTCCGAATCTTCTTTGAGCGATTTCACCCTTCTTGATGGTATTTGGAACTGTTTCACCCTTGTTTTCAGCATTATTCTTCTTCATGACATAGTCAGCAGAGTCAAACTTCTTACGATCCTTCTTAATAAGATATGAATGTTTAGTATTCTATTGTTATTATTATAATAATTTAGATAATTATTTTGTATAAATTCCAATCGTAATTGCAGCCAATTAAAATCATTATTATAATTAATTATAATATTATTATTATACTAGTAAGAGCTTGTAAACTAACCTTCAATTCTTCAGCACCGCGCATTTGTTTCAGCTTGGCTTCTTGATTCTTTTCCATTTCTCTCTTTTCTTCCTCAGTCATTTCGACTTCTTCGTCAGCATCGACTTCATTAATTGGTTGGTCTTCTGGGTTTGACATTTTATATTATTGTATATTGTTAAAGGGTGTTTAAAAGGGCGGTGTAGACAAGATAAAATAACAAAATTTTTCTCTGTGATGGAAGTAAAACAACTCTAAAGATGATGAAGTTGTTATTGTTGATGGGATTTTTGATTAAAAATAATCGTCTTTTTTACTACTATGAAAAACTACACTACTACTAGAGAAATTAGAGAGAGCGTGCAGTTGTTATTGTTGTTCGTGCAAATAAACGTCGTCGACTAGCGGATTAGTAGCACAACACAGTCTCTTGATTTTTTTTTTGGAGGGAAAATTTTAATTCGAGTCACACAAAGGAAGGAGATGAGTCTCGTTCATTTTCGGTGAAAGCCTCAAAAAAACCAAAGACATCAAAGAGACATGAATGGTTGGCTCATTGATACGAAAATGATTGAAAAATTCGATGTTTGTCAATGTTAGAGGTAAGATTGGGTGCTCAATATGAAATTATTGAATCCTTACACTTTATATTTATTCAAAAAGATTGATGAGCAATCAAAATTGAATTGCTGGCTAGCTTGTTCTAAGAATGTTCTGTTCTAGGGTCACATGTAGATTGGAAAAGAAGATTGGAGACCGAATGGATTGTTATTAATATTTCATCGTTTGAGACTGAGAGTTTCATGACCAACGATTAAATGACCGAACTCCGGTTTACAAAAATCATGCTTAGAAACAAATTCAGCAGCATACATGAAAAGAATGTGGAATAATAATAGTTTAAAATGTTGAATTGTTGTAAATTATTAAATAATGAAAATGCATTTGACAATAGCAGTCATTTTCAAGCAAGGTCTTTCTAAGAACCAACATGATATATCACATCTAGCTACTAAAAGAATCCCATGGACAATTAAACAATTTCTTTCCTTTTAAGTTTCAATTGTCTTTTTGAGAATTTGAAACTACAGTTATTTATTGAGCTCATTTTGTTCATGATCAATAAATCTTTGGAATGTATCACCTAAAATCATACCCTTTACAATGGTTTCTAGTCTATCAAAGAGAGAAAGTTGTCCATAACCTATTGAAATTTTCTTATACTCTGTTTCTAATACTTTTTGTGAAACATTGAGTGGGAATTCACTATCATTTTGCAGATATTTCTTTGTAATTGCTTCTTGGAGAATGGCTCTTTCCTTTGTGGTTGGCAGTGATTTGTAAACTTCAATATCTTCCAAGAAGAGGAAGTTTTCAACGCTTTGTTCCTTTTCTGCAAAAGCTCTGAATCGTTTTCTCATATCTTGATCATTCATCATCTTTTCAAATTTGGTAATTTGTTGGATTTGAGAAAGTTTCTCTTGTTGAACTAGATTTCTGAAATCCTTTTGTTCGGAGAGGTTTTTCATCACTACAATGAAAGCTTCTCCAACTTGTCCCTCTCTGAGTGTCATCTTGGTCTTATTTACATTGATAGAGACTGGGTACTTGCTACCTAAACCTGTTGTTACCATTGTATCAAAATTCTCCTCTGTATGTGACAATTTGTCCAATTTTTCCAATAATTGTTTGTTGTCAGAAAATTCTTTGAGATATTCGAAAATATCGAATACTTCCTTATTATCATCGCTGGTTACTTGTTTCTTCTTTAAAACCTTATTTTCAAATGATGAGTTGATGCTCACAATCAAACCAGTAGAACACTCCACAGTGGCAATAAAATCCGTAATTGAATTCAATAGACAACGACTCTTTTCTTCTTCGAGGGCTGTTCTTTCAAGAATCTTCTCCATTAAGCTATTGTCACGAGCAAGCTTTTCCTGTGAAAATTCCAATGCTTCCAACATTTTGTTAATGTCACGAGACAAATTTCCAAGCTCGTCTCTTCCCATCTTTTGAATTCTCTTTGAAGTGTCGCTCTCAGTGGTAACATTTCTCACAAATGATCCAATCTTGATTACTCTCCTCAAGACTACAAATTCCACAAATAGTAAAATTGAAAATGTCAAAATAATAATCAACACGAGGAATGCAATAATTGTATAGAGGAATGAATACCAACCAAGATTATAGATATCTCTTGGAAGATCTGTTCTCATCACAACTCTTCCCACTCCATTGGAATCTGACAAAATTTTGAATGAGGAAATTCTCTTACCTCCATCATCATCACTAACACATTTTCTTTTGGACGTGTCTTTCACTGAGCCTGCCAACATTTTGAAAGGTCCATTAAATGTCCAGGTATCATTTGGACTCACCATTGAAGATGCTTGTAGGGAAATATATTGATCCAAAGTTTGTCCACTTGCAGGAGAAAAGTACTTTTCCAAATATTTTCTATCCTCTGTATTATTGACATTGTAAAAAGTTGCACACAATCTAACTCTCTTTGATTCTTCCTCCAATAGTTTCATTGTAATATAACTTGCAAAGATTGCCAAACCATTAGAAACTGTATTATCAGTTGTTTGAGTTGGTTGTACAGTGACCATCAAAATATTGGTACTTGATGATGTGGAGGGTCTGGTTTGTCCACTCTGTTCCAGTAAATCCTCAACAGTCATTGTTGGAATCATGTACGTTCTCATCCTTGTTGTGGGTGTGTAAACTTGAGAAAAAAAGGATAGATCCAAATTGGTGAGTTCTGTTGGGAAGACCGATAACTCAACTTGATTATAACATCCAAGTCCAGTAAGAAAGCTTCCATTTGGCAAGTAATACATGGCAAAATTCAAATTTACCCTATCCATGTATTCACAGGCGAAGAATGACTTGAGAAGATCTTGTGCTTTTGTTGCACTCTCTTCCTGTAATACATTATAAACATCATCCCAAGCAGCATATTCATATAATCGATTGGCTAGAATTGTGTAATCATCTTGTAGAGCTTTTGATAGTTTGAGAATTGAATCGGTTGCCTCTCTCTCTTCCACACTCCTAAAAGACGAATCAAACGAAATGGACAATCCAATAACACACAAGGCAATAATCAATAGAAAGGTAATAATCAGAGCAGTCATTGTCTTTGATCGCAAACCAAGTAACTGTACTGGAATAAGCGATTTTTGTGAAGAGTCATCATCACTAACAGAAACACTTCCATCTCGTTGTTGTTGTTGTCTCTTATTGAAATCATTCTCAAAGGCATGCATTTTCTTTCCCTGTGTCGTATTCGGCAAGGCTAATGGTGATGAAGGACTCGATGGAACAACCGAGGTGAAGACTCTCTCGTTCCTATTGTTGCTCTTTTTTGAATGGTGATTATTATTGAACGGGTGAACGACATCATTATTTCTCTGATGATTCTGATGATTGTTCGTATTGTTCTTGTTATTTGATGAGTAGTAGAAATTATCCTGAGGTTGATCCTCATCATCTGTACTTCTCTCAGATCGAGAGATTAGTAAGGAGGGCAACTTTTTCGATCTATTGTTTTGTTCAATGTTTATGGTTGGTGTCGTTGAGGTGGTTGAAACACTCAGTACTCTCTTGTTTGTTTGGTTGTTATTGTTGTTATTGTTTTTAGAAGATGCATTGCTCGTCGTTGTTGCTGTTGTTTTGGAGGGCAATGTTGATGACATTCTTTTGGTGTTGGAGATGGAGAGAGTAATTGGCAGTGTGTTTGGAGATTAATGGTCTGTGATTGCAGGAATTACTAATTATGAAATTTACAATTCGATATAATCTCTATCCTAAAGTATGTGTTGAAGTAACTTGTGTGTTTCTTGTAAAGCTATGCTGAATGGATGTTTCGCGAATTGAAGCTATTTAGGTTTGTTTTTTTGAGAGATGCAACACCACTTGTGCTTCACAGTTTAACATTCGAGTAACAATTATTGCATGCTCACGCTCAACAAATGAAGTCACCCTTAGCTTATTGACTTCTTCAAAATCCCCATAAAAGACCAATAGTACGGAATGAGGCCAAACTTGTCTTAATTTGATTCGTTCAGTTTCGAATGGTTGTTGTAAATGTCTGAGGTTACCAGTATTTTCATATCATAATGGAAGGTAATCAAAAAAATGGAAGTTTTGAATGGGGATGTCACTCATTTAGGCACTATTTGCGTTGAGTTTATCGAATTTATTCATATATTACACTTCAGCAACATGTTACAATTTTCCAATGGGTGATTTACAATTCCTCCTCTGATACATTTATTTTCATTATCATGACTTTTTGCAAAATCAAACATTCAGGCTTGATTAGACGTTAGCATATTTTAAATGATAACACCATTAAATTGAATGAGCGAACTTGCCTTTATCTGATCTAGAAATCCACTTCTGAAAATTGTATTGCACCATGTCACCACACATCAAGAAGAACACATAGAAAAAAAATGTCCTCACCATCTCGAAGCTCCTTCTTCTCGAGAGTACGGTCATCGTCGTCTTCCTTGTCACCAGCCACTTCCAAATCATCATCATCATCAGGATTGCAAGTCTATTCGAAAAACAATCCTCCAAAATATACACTCAATGACCTTCCACCGGATACAATTTATTTGATAACTAGTTTTTTAATTCCACGCATTCCTCAACTCAACCCTGAAAATGTTCAACACTATATAAAACAAATGATTGAAATTTCGTCCATTAGTCGGCAATATAGAGAATGGTCTGAATGTGAAACGGTTCAGAATAATTTCTGGAAAGATTTTTTATTTCAGCAATTAGCGAGATGGAATGTGAGATTGAGTTTAGTGCAAGTTTCTTCAAAGGATACTTTGCAATTTAGTTCGAATCAAAATTTGATTGTTGGAAGTGGTGCTTCAACTAGCAATTCGAGTTCTTCCAACAATAATAGTACTATAGTTTCTAATGGTAAAGAGGATTGGATGAATGGAGCTTTTATTGGATCGAGTTTTTCAGAGGCTGGATATTGGGATGATGAGGATGATGATTATTTTGAAGATGATGTCAGATATCAAACCAATGATGTAAATAGTTTATTGAGAAGAGGTGATTATTTATCTTATACTAATGGTGGACCTGCTGCAACTCAAAGAATTTTACTGAAAATTGCCATGAATCCTGACAAGATCAAACACATGTTATTTAATATGTGGACCTATTTCCATTATGAACTTAATGCAAAGGCAAAGAAGGGATTAGGTCGCAGAACTGATCCATTCGCTAGTAGAAGACATGCAGGTCTAGATTTATTGTAAAATATCATGTAATATTAGAAATTAATTGTACATAAAATTTGATTAGTGAGATAGAGCAGTAGAATTTATTTTACAGGTGGTATGGTAATACAATTATTTCTTTTCTTCGTCTTTCTTATCCTTCTTTAAAACCTCATCAGAGTTAACATTCTTACCTAAGCCGCCAACAAGATCTTGCATGAATTCTTGATCTTCTACAATATCATCAATATTTTCGTCATTCTTTTTCGATTCTTCCATTGACATTCTAAGGGCAGCTTCCAAAGCAGCATCTTCGTCCATTTCTTCTTCTTCTTCGTCAGCCATACCAGCTTCTTGCTTTGAGAGAAGGAGAGCCTTTTCTAAAGCTTCATCATCTTCCATTTCTATGTCGTCATCATCAGTTGGTTCAGAAGCGGCAGTAGTTGGGAGAGCACTAGTGGATTCAGTTGTAGAAGATGATCCAGCAGCTGGTTGTTGTTCAGTTGAGCTGGTTCCAGATGATTGTTTTTCTCTTTCTTGTCTTCTCTTTTCTTCTTCCAAAGACAAACGAATGGCCATAGCCAATTCAGGATCAAGACTTGGATCAACACCAAATTCAAAATCACCACCACCTTCACCACCTGTGGCAGCACCTCCAGTACCACTTGGTGAGGAAGATACACCAGCACCTCCCATTCCAACAATTGGTGATGAAAGTAACATATCGGAAAGAATATGTGGTCCAGGTGGAATAGTTTCCATTCTCGAATTATCATCTCTGTTGACAGAACTGATGAAAGCTTCCAACTTGGCTGTATTTTCATGAACTTCTCCAAAGTTGATCACATCACAAGCAACACCATTCTTCTTCATACGAAGACCCAATTTAACCAAATCATCCTTATTTTCTTCAATTGGGCTACCAACAAAAATCACAAGACGTCTATTTGGTGTACCTTGCTCTGGGGCTCTATTCTTTAAAACGAGATAAGCAATTTGGAGTGCTTTAGAAAAGTGAGTGTCTCCTCCCACACTAACTGATGAAAGACTGGAAAGAAGTTTACCCAAATCTGTTGTTGGTGCAACCTTAACTGATGGATTTGAGTCGCCCATTGTGAGTACACCTATTGTTGTTTCTGGATTACTTTGAGTTTTACTTCCGCAAATAAGATTGGCTGCTTCAAGTTGAGCATCTAATCTTGTTGGTGCATAATCTCCGTTTCTCATCCATTCAGAGTTATCTATACAGATCATACATTGTTCCTTCATTTTGATTTAAGTATTATTAATCGGGTGATGATATATACAACAAAAAATCCTATTTAAATTTCTTGATCAGATTTTAATCCTAATATTATAACAATAACTAGTTATCAGTACTTGTTGATTCTAAATAGTTGTCGTCTATTCTACTATTAATATTGTTTAAACTGATGTGTTTGAAAAGCTTTAATACAACAAATAAAACAATCGAAAGAAAGCAATAAAAAACCAAGCACTGTGTTTTTTTTTAGAGTGATGAAGACAACAAATTGAATTGTTGTTTGAAGGAAAGCGTTCTAAAAATAAAGCCTAGTTCCTCCTCGATAACGAAAAAATAGTTTGAATGAAAAAAGATAAGAACGTGGATAAGACTTAATATTAAACTTAAGTGCTTACAAGTAATGCTTAGATGCTATTAGGACAATGGAGTTTAATCTTATTTCAATATTAACAATAGAAAATTGATAAAGATAATAAACGGATAGCCGAGAAAAAGACAACATCTTGCGCTTCCAAAACATACGAATACAATTAAGAAAGTTCAGTAATTTTTTTAAACTTCAAGACATTACAACAATCTGACAATTCATTCCGTTTTAATTTCAATGATCGCCCTCCATTCCACTCACTCCCCATAGACACATGCAACCCTCTTTATCCCACAACACAATCGAAACTTTACAATAATCAAAAGAGCACACTAAAAAAAATGATTCCAAGTTGTGGTCTCTCGGGTGATGTTCTGGTTTCTTCAATCATGATGGAACACTTTGATACAAAGTGGATATTTACTTGTGGCAGATTGGTTTGTTCGGAATGGAATGAGGCCATTCTCTCGAGTCCTCTCTCCATTTCCATTAATTTAGGATCATTGAATAGGGAGAGAATTGATCAGTTTATGGAGAGTGGAGTGAGTGGTGTTTTTAAAAGATTGGACCGAGTTGCAATTATTGGTTTGGATATTGATGCAATGCATCTATCGTTGGTTCCCAGAGATTTGACCAATTTTCATCACCACAAAAAACAAGGAGTGCTTGCTTACTGGTTTAATTATGGAGTTGAGGTGATGAAGAGTTTCACAAAATTGAGTTTTGAGCATGTGCATTTACTGTCGTTATTTGATGGATTGTCTGGCTTGGAATTGAATGGAGTTGGTGATGAGGGTGTTGACTATTTGATTAAACACAAAAAGTTACTGGACTTGAAGGAGCTTTGTCTCTCAGCAGACAATACTAAAATATCACAGAGAATAACACAGGAGGGAATTTCAAAATTGGACACTCTAAAGTTCAACAATTTGAAGATTCTGGATTTGAGAAAAAATATGCTTGGTGTTGCTGGGCTGAAACAATTATTTCAATCTCAAAGTTTTCCAAATTTGACTAGTCTGATTCTTAAAGAGTGCCACAAATTTGAAAAACGATTGGATGAAGCTTTCAAGAGTTTTAATAGTGATAATTTTTCTTCAATGACGTATTTGGATTTGAGTCTTTGTAAAATTGGAGATGATGGAGTGAAATTCATATTTTCACAAAAGTGGAATAGTTTAAAACAGGTCAATCTCAATACTAACTATATTGGTGTGAACGGATGTAAATATATAGCTGAATCACCAACTGAAACAATTGAACATTTGGAATTGGGATGTCAAGGAATTGAAGAATCGGCCTGTATGGAACTATCAAAAATATTATCTTTCAAATTGAAATATCTCAATCTTGAAAAGAATAGAATTGGAAAAGGAGTAGAACATTTATGTAAGAGTAAAAATTTGGAACATATTGAAACACTGATTCTCAATAATTGTGGTTTGCATCATTCCGCTTGTGAACATATTGTGAATTCTGCTTTCAATTCGACGCTAACTTATTTAGATATTGGTAGCAACAGCCTAAAATTGGAACGTTTATTTTGTGGCTCTCTTACAAGCTTGAAAACATTACTGGCAAGTGGGCGGATTAGAGGTAATTATGTTTTTGAAAACGTTCCAATACGAAGATCAGAAGCCCTTCCTTCTATACAATCTATTGACCTAAGTTACAATACCCTCACCTCTAATTTTATAGAATGGTTATCAGAACCTTTCAGCACATTAGAGTTCCTCAATTTAAGGTCTACTGGAATAACAGATCAAGAAGTCATTCTACTTCAGAAAAGTAAAATCAAAACGGTAGATATTTCAGAAAATAGATTAGATTTATTTCAGCATTACACATGGGTTCGTTAATATAAATTTCTGGAATAATTATTTTTAATAATATTGGCTCCGTTTATTGTAAACACTTCTAGAAGAATTAATCTTCGTAGTATTCTTCTGGCGAAATGATGAACTTTCTTGTTTCTTCAATTTCTTCCTTCACTCTTTCAACAAAGGTCCAAATTTCTGAAATTCTAGATCTATTTCGTTCATGTTCATCCTTCTTTGTTTTTTCAACAGTAAATAACATTCTATCCTTTTCGTTTTGGATGAGTTTGAGTTCTTTTTGGCCAATAATCTCTTTGTGTGCTTCCTTGGAACGTTGAACAAGAGTGAACAACTGATCCTTATCCTCCAAAATCTGTAGGCAACATTGTGAATAGAGTTAATAACTTCAAAATAATGGAACTTACATCTTTAACTTTCTCATTAGTATCCTCAGCAATAGTTGTAACTTGATCCATCAATCTATCTTTCAATTCAATACTATATTTGTCTTCAATTTTCTTCAACTTTTTGAAAAAGTTTTGAATCTTACTTGTACAGTCCATTTCTCTGTAGTTTGGTAGGAATTCTTCAATAACTTCCCAGAAAGCTTCAGATTGGTTGACTTCAACTTCAATGAGTTTTTCTGCCAGTATGTCCAATTCTCTATCAAGCAAATCAAGTTGATGCAAATCTTCCTCTTCACTCTCAGCAGTCATTTCCTTTACATTGCTAATAATTTCCTTCTTTTTCTTTTCGAATTCTTTAATGAGAGTTTTTGAGCTGGAGTTTGTTTCGTATTGACTTTTTTGTAATGTTGAATAAAGCTCTTCAAGCTCATTATCCTTGTTTCTAGAGGAGTTGATCATTTCCATCTTGAATTCATCCTTCTTGTCTGTAAATTTAGTTCTATACTTTTCAATGATATCCGCAGTACAATAGTTGAATATTTTGATTGTTTCGTCTGCTTCACATTCGAACATTTCATCGAACAAATCATCGATACCAGCGATGTTGGCCTTAGCTAACAACTGTTCTTCTAACAGTTTCTTTTCATCTTCTTCTTGATTTTGTGCATATTGTTCTTCATTGTCACTAACTTTCAGCAATTCATTGTGGAATCTCTCTTTGGCAGTTTGCACTTCTTCCTCTTCAATTAAACGATAGTCCAAGAATTTTAAATTTCTCAAAAAGGCTAGAACCATGTTTCTGAAATCTCTTTCTTCACACACTGGATTATCGTACAAAGTCACCATTCCTAGTCTTGGGAACATTCTTAGGTATTGAATCTTTTAATAAAATCATTTATGAAAAAGTTTAACTTGATAAGTACTTACACTTGATTTTTCCTTAATTTTGTTTTTGGCAATTGAAAAACTCTTCAATTCCATTAAATCTTCCATTCCTTCAATTTTTTCAATATCATTACTAAAGAGAGAAAGGTATTTCAAATTCTTCAATCCCTTCAATCCTTCAATTTTTGTTATCTTATTGAAAGATAAATCCAATTTTTCTAGATAAACCAAGTGGGATATCTTTTCAATTTGTACAATATTGTTATTATCCAATTGTAAGATGATTAATTTATCAAATCCCTCCAAGTTTGATATTTTAAAAATGTCTATTTTCAATTTGATATTCAAAAAACAGTCATCATCTGTACGTACTCTTAAATGAAAAACTCAAGTGTTCGATAAGGGCAAAATCCATTGTGTCTCTCTTGAGTTTCAAAGCCCTCATTGTTTTACTTTCCTGATCCGTTCCGTCATCATGCTCTATTTGTTTTAATTGAATACAGGAACGAATGAGCTGATCATTAATGACGGTATATTTTGCATGAAATTCGTTTTCTTCCCCTCCATCGGTAGCAGGCATTGATGTCATTCTATTTTTTATTATTTAAAACTTGCTACAGTTTTTCAAAATTGGCGGGAAAGAATTGGTTTATCATTTATCATTTCGTTACTATTATAAATATTATTAATACAATTGTTTTTCGAAATATATTTATTGATTCCTGTGTTTATCAGTGGTAGCAGATCCACTAATGAGTTGGCACAAGACATCTTTAGTGTATTTGAGTCTCTTGGCAATTTCTTGACTTGGACTCTTGACAACCTTATTCAAGGCATAGGTAGTTCTTACACCTTGAGGATCAGTATATGAAACAAGATTACTATCTCCAGTGAGTATGATTTCAGTTTGATCGTGGAAACAAACTTGAACTATCTTATTGCTGAGGCGGAAAATAACTGCATGTGAGGTTCTCAACCATCTCTTTACAAATACATCATCAAGTCCAGTCTTTTGAATGAAAACATCATCCTTTGGTCTATAACTACATCTGCCAGTATCAGAATTAGGAGAAGAAACCAAATTATGGTCATTTCTCTTCAATTTGCTCAAAACGTCAGCAAAATACTTGATAAGGGTAACCTTCTTATTCATTTGAGGAGGAAAATCAGATACAGTAAATGTAGACCTTTCTTCATAAATATTATCACCAGTAGCTTTTCTCTCGTAGTAATTAATTTGTTCAGTTGCAGGCATATAGGTCATCTTTGAGGAATCATTATAAACAGCACCTACACAACCATTGCTCATCAAATATGTAAGACCGTACTTTGCAGAAAAATCAGCCCAATGAGTAATCCATATTGGTGGTAAATCATGAGTAACATTATCATTGGTTGTATCATCTTCGTCAACAGTCATTGGATCTAATACATCATAAGGTGAATATGGAGAAGAAACAGTGTTGCGAACCTTCTTGACTGGTGGTCCTTTTGATCTGCTAGTTTCTAAAGATGATTCAGAAGTTGGTGTTTGAGGTTTAGATTTTCTTTCATCTTCACTAGGAGATCTTCTCTTAGGGGTTGGAAGACGTGAAGTAGTTTGAGTTGTTTGTACAGAACGTTGGGAGCCTAGACTTGGGGAGGATGTAACAGAGCTAGCTGTTACGTGTGATGGGGAATTGGTTGTAGAAACTGATTGGGTTGTAGTTGTTGAGGTGTAGTGAGTTTGTAAAGTTGGGTGAACAGGTTTTTGTGGTTGTTCAGTTTGTTGTTGAGGTGGATGAGAAGGAGTAAACAATGGTTGTTTGGTTACAACTTGTTGGGAATTAGGGTTATAATTTTCATTATTAATATTGGTATTCACTGTGGCAAGTGGAGGTCGCATTGTTGAGGTTGGAAAACCACTCATGAGTGGTTTCTTAAGTCCTGTTTCCACGGTTGGTTGAGCTCTTTGATGCATTGTATTATTATCAATTTGTCTAAGTGCTCCACGATCTTGTCTAAGTTTGAGCATTTGTTGTTGTAATTCAGGATGTTTCAAACTGTATCCTGGCATTGTTTCTTCAACATCAGGAATCTTGAGAGCGTGAGTTCTGGCATATTCTAAAAGAGTAACTGGACAAACATCCACTGAATGTCCAGCAAAGAATGGATCACTCAAGATTGTCTTGATATCTGGTCTATCGTCTGGGTTACGTCTCAAAATACTTCTAATAAGAGACTTGGCTTTTGAACTAATTTCAATATCTGGAGGGAAGTTATAATCGTTATGTTTGATTTTCTTATAGGTTTCCTTTACATCCTTTGTTTCAAAAGGAGGAGTACCAACAAGCATGGTGTACAATATTACACCAATAGACCAAATATCAACTTCAAAGCTGTGTCCCTTATTGTAAAGAATTTCAGGTGCAATATAATTTGGAGTACCACAGATTGTCTTCTTTCGTTCTCCATCGAATTCAACTTCTGTTGCAAGTCCAAAGTCTCCAATTTTGATCTCCATCTTATCTGTAAGGAATAAATTACCTAATTTCAAATCTCTATGGATAACTTTCTTCTCGTTCATATACAGACAAGCTAATAAAATTTGATGAAGGAAAAACCTAGCTTCTTGTTCTGTTAATCTTGTCCTGCTCTTTAAAAGATCCATCATTGAACCACAATTGCAGACTTCTAAGAGAATGTATACATTATTAATATCTTCAAAGTATCTAACAAAATTAACAATATGTCTATGGGAGAGAGAACTGTGGATTTTGATTTCAGAAAAGAGTTTTTGCTTTACATTTTCCTTCTCGAGAGTTTTCTTGTCAATAATCTTGGCAGCATGGAAAATATTTGTACCTACTTGTCTGAACAAGTAGCACTGAGCAAAACCACCTTTACCTAAAAATCTTTCTTGATAATACTTTCTATATAGCACTTGTCTGTCTTTATCTACCTTTTTATGATACTTTTCCTCTATTATTATTCGGGGCGTAGATGATGTTGGTTGAAGTTTGTTTTGCGAAACTGTTGGTGTAGGTGTTCTTCTGGTGGCTGTAACACCAGAAGCAGTAGCTGGTCTTGTAAGCTTTTGAGCAGCAGCATTGCTTGTCCCTGATGAAGTTGTTGTTGATGACGAGCCAGGCAAGCGATAGGATGTTTGTGGTGTAGCAGACCGTGTTGAATACATTTTTTTTGGCGCTGATGATGGTGAAATTTTTTCAAATGAATGTAACGATTTTAATAAAAGCGGGAAAGAATTACAAAAATTTTGGAGGGAAATATTTTTAGCGGTTTTTTTTACTTATCTTAAGTTTTAAAAGTACCACCTTAGTCACTACATAAAATTATGTTTGCAATTAATTTTTTTAAATAAAAAGTAAATATATAATAAAAGGACAAGGTTAGAGGGCTATTCCTGTAAATATTGAGTTAGCTTAAATTGATCTCGAGCAGCCCCGCTAGCTCAGTCGGTAGAGCGTTGGACTTTTAATCCAACGGTCGTGGGTTCGAGCCCCACGTGGGGCGATTTCTTTTTAATTACCACACTGTATGAGATCATTTCCAGAACATGTCAACACATTGACGACATAATTTTAAAAAAATGGTTTATTGGGAACAGCTCTCTTCCAAACAACAAGATCAAATCACTCTGGGTATGTGATCAATTTTTTAGTTTTATCAATTTTAATTTCTAAACACTGTGCAGCTTTCAGACAATGTGATACTGATAATGACAAGATGATCGATATTGTTGAATTAAAAACTATTCTTCAAGCTTTAGGAGAAGAAGGAAACGAGTCCCAAGTTAAGGAAGTCATGAAGGAAATCGACGCCAACAGTGATGGTCAACTTCAATGGGATGAATTCAAAGAAGCCATGGCTAGCTGGATGTTGCCATAAGTACAATAAAAATTATTGTATCACATCAAGATTTTCTTCATCAAGAAAAGGTTTTATGGGCTCACCAGCTTTCTACTTTAAGAAAAAAATTCACAACTTTATCTAGGTGTGGATTTTTGAATAACCAATTACGAAATAACAAAATTATTCCAACCATGCTTTCAGCAAAAAAGAGTGAGAGAGAGGCTGTTATCAAAAAAATCAGAAAATTTCCACGTTCGATACCCGATGAATTTAAGAAAGACAGAGAAATAGTATTGATAGCCGTCAAGGAAAATGGTCTGGCACTTGAAATTCGTAGATGAATCATTGAAACAAGACAGAGAAATAGTACTGGAAGCAGTTAAACAAATTGGGAGTGCCATTGAACTTACCGATGAATCATTTAAACGAGACAGAGAGTTTATATTACAAGTTGTTAAACATAATGAGAGCGTACTTGTTTTTGCAGATAGATCATTGAAACGAGATAGAGAAATTGTGTTGCAAGCTATTAAACAGAATAGAGTGGCAATTGGATATGCAGATGAATCATTACAGAAAGATGGAGGATTTTTATTGGAATCTGGTATCAAGTCAAGAACGGATAGAGAATTTGTTTTGGAAGCTGTTAAACAGGATGGTCTAGCTCTCAAATATGCAGATGAGTCTTTGAGAAGAGATAGAGAAATTGTGTTGCAAGCTGTTTTGCAGAATGGATTAGCCATTGAGTAGACCGAGGGAGGTGAGCTAAAAAATGTTACATCACGGTAATTTCGCGCCAACCAATAACCGCTGCAAGTTGTCTGTTCTTACCGTTAAATATTCAACAAAAAAAAACAACAAACAACAATTACTCATCATGATTTCATCATCACCCTGCTAAATAGGTATATTGGTTGGTATTCCCACCTTCAGCATGCTACCTTGAGAAGCCACCATGAGGAGAGTTCTCCCTTTGCTTCCTTCCTCACCAGCCATTACTACATTCACCTCACCAAAACATCATCTAGATAAGTGCCTGCCCATTTACTTGAAATTGTTGGTACATTAAAGCGAAGGTTCATGTACAAGAACCCAGAAGTACTTGTTTCTAGAAGAACAAGTGGTAATTGATACTTTGAACACACTGTCTCACTCTTGGTCCAATAAACCTTCGGCTCGACTTTAACAAATTTTTGTTTTTTGAGTGACTTCTAAATTTTTTATAAAAATATTTGTCAATCCTTCTCACCTCCCACGGTCTACCATTGAGTTTGCAGATGATAGTTTATTGTCCGATTTGTCATTTCAGTACTCACTCTCACAAGTTGATGAAGAAAAGGCAAAAAATAGTAATTCAAAATGGTTTGCTGTATTTGAAAGATCTAAGAACGATTCAACCTTGACCAAATTATCAAGAGATTTAATAGGAATGTACTCTAATAATTTTGGTGATGAATCCTATTTGTACTATTGTTTACAATTACGAGATACATTTCCCAAATCTATTACTTCAATATTCAACCTAAATCAAAGATCGTACTCAATCCAATTTATGGAAAAGATGATTATTTTACAAATTCTGAAAAATCTGTGTTCTATAGAGCCAACTGTTAATCATTCAAGTAGTGCGATCAAGACAATTGATTACTATTTGTTTTGTTTTAAACTGGATAGATTTTTAGAGGAAAATCAATCAACCTTAATGAAACAAACCAATTATTCCAAGATTAGAACAATAATTCAGGATATTTCATCCAAGTTTGAAACATTAAATTATTTCACTAAAGAGATTGGAACAATACTTTGCTTTTTCAATGAATGGACAAGCAATGCCAAAACATTTGAAGATCACAAACAAGTATTAACAAAGTACAAACAACTTGGAGGAGATTTCTCAAAAATTATTAGAGTAATTACTCAATTCGATTACTACTCCAACAAGGAATATGATATGATATCAGTATTAGGTCATGGAGGAGAAGGAGTTGCATTAAAAGCATTTAGTAAGAAGATTAATGAAATGATTGCCATTAAAATCAAGTTTGAGAAGGAATATGATGAAGTGTCATCTCGCGAACGAATTCAATTTATCAGAAGAAATGACATTGAAGGAAAAATTAAGTGTTATGAATGTAATTTAATTGACAATTACATGTATTCGATTATGGAGTTGGGAGAAGAAACACTTGCAGACTATATCGATAGAAAAAGGACAGTACATCAAAAACAAGCATCCATTTCAAAAGGAATTCTGATTGAAAGGTTGACTATATTTACTAAAGTTTTACAAGCAGTGAAATCAATTCATGACCATAACATTTCACACAGAGATTTGGATCCTAAAAATGTTGTGAAAATGAAAGAATATTACAAAATTATTGACTTCGATATTGCCAAAGTGATCAAGACTGGTAACTCAATCACGTTAACAGTTGGAAAATTTGCATACATGTCACCTGAAGTTTCACATGATAATTACGAAGAAATGTTACTGGATGGTGAAAAACTTGCTCACAATATTGGAAATATTACCACTTCATGTGATGTATTCTCACTGGGATGTATGTTATTGAAACTTTTGACAGATTGCAGTTTGAGGTTGGACAGAGAATTCTTGGAAGATTCTAATTTTCAAAAATATGGTGGAGAGTATCAATATTTCAAAGATAATGGAAGTTATTTCTATTTGGTATTGACAGATTTATTGAGGGAAAAGAAGTTGCATCATGCAATTCAAAAAGAAATTGATCAACATGTTGATCCTGAGTTGGGAGTGAATGTTGTTTTAGTGAAATGTTTAATTACCATGATTCAAAAAGATGCATCCAAAAGATTGAACTGTTTCACACACATGACTATTCTATCCAAAGTAATTGGTTTTTTGAAAGGTGACAGTATTCCAATTCATCAAATTCTTAAGGAAATGGATAATTACAAGGATATAAGTGAGTTAAAGGATATTCCTCAAATTATTGAAGAGAATGAACAACTCAAACACGAAATTGTGGAATTAAAGAAAAGAGTCAAGGAGTTGGAAGAGAAACTCAAAATAAAATAAAGTTGTCACAACTAAATAACAGAGTGTAATGGGTATAAAGTCAAAATTGTTGAAATTCATCTATTACGTACATGTGTAGTAGAATAAAGCTCATTATTTTCATATTTATTGGTGTACACTGCTTCTTAGATCAAAATATCTATTCCAAATCTAACTATTATCAATGATCATGTGTTTCTGAAGAAAAAGCTTTGAACATCCTGTTCGAGTGGCGTTTGGAACTTGTATATGTCTAAAGAAAAAAATATTGAAAATCGAGGAGGCTTTCAATTTTTTACATTTATATAAAAATAGCTCGGCAACACATGTTCTTCTAAATCTGTAACAAAAGAACATATTCATAGTGCAATAGTAATAATTATAATATTTGAAAGAATTTCTTGTAATAACACATTGATCAAAATGATAAACCAATTTTTCAATAGTCCTGACAAGAATCAGAAACAACCTCTCAACAAATCCAACACGTTTTTTGATGACAAATTTGCCAAGGATTTGTTTGCATCCTTCACTGATATGAAAACACCTGCAACATCAACAACAGTTAATGATGGTGGAGAATTAGATTTATTCAATGATCCGATGCTTGTTTCAACACCTACCCCAACTTCATCGGGATCATCCAGTACTTTCTTCTCAGCAATGATTGCTAGTGATGACTTGAATGCTAATAATTCCAATCACTCGGTGGATGTTAATAGTAGTAATGCCAATAACAATTCCACACCATCCTTTTCCTCTCACATGAGAGAGAGCATGGGCAAGAAACAAATTATTGAAGCAAAGGCAGAAGAAATTCAAAACAACGTGGATAAACCAAAAGGTAAAATTGAAAAGAAGAAGAAACAAAAGAAATTCAAACCAACAAATTTACTATTGAACGCTACCAAGGCAGAAGTTGTTGAGACGAAAGCAGAAGAACCACTGAAACCACCACCTAAAAATGATGAAGGCACTTACTCCCAAGTAGATTATGAAATAACTGCCTCTGGTGCTTTTTGGATTGATGATGTTAAAATTACAGAGGAGGGTATCACAAATATGCCATCAACAATTTGTACCCAAACACAATCCCAATCACCATTTAAAGCTACACATCATTTGGAATCTATCACCTCACCAACAAAATCCAGTCGTTTCATGAACCAAACCAATGGTGCCAATCTGTTACATTTTGAAAGGAAGAAACATGGCCAAAAGAAGATTACTTCTGTGTCATTTTCTGATTTGGAAACTATTAAGAAACTCGGAGAAGGTGCAAGTTCCACAGTTGAATTGGTCAAAGATAACACTGGAAAATTATATGCCAAAAAGATTGTCAAATTAGCAAAGGATATTCAACCTAAATTAATTTTATCTGAAATTACAACTTTATATAATTGTGTTGAATGTTCGAACATTTTGAGGCTCTACAATGCCAACTTTGCAGATAATAAGATTAATATTTTATTAGAGTATATGGATGGAAACTCCTTAGAGTCCCTTGCTGGAATTAAAATTCCAGAAAGAATTTTGGAAATGATTACATTCCAAGTGCTGAAAGGCTTGTATTTCTTACATTTTAGAAAAAAGATTGTACATAGAGATTTGGTATGTAATAATTTTATTGAAATTGTTATTTAATTTATATTGAAATAGAAACCAGCAAATATCCTCATCAAGCTGAATGGTGAAGTGAAAATTAGTGATATGGGTTTGACAGGTATTTTTAAAAAGAATAACCAAGTAACCGAAGGAGGAAAATACGGACTAAGAAATCAACACGTATGGAATACATGTCAAGGAACAATCATGTACATGTCACCTGAGAGAATTAATGAAAAACCTCACTCCTACAATAGTGATATTTGGTCTCTGGGTGTGACATTGGTGGAGTTAGCATTGGGCGAATTCCCATTCAAATCTGGTTCCTATTTCGATGTAATGGACGAAATTAACAATGTAGAAACGAAGAACCCACTCGAAGGAAAGGGATATTCAGAAGTATTTGAAGACTTTATCAAGAATTGCCTCAAAGTATCGCCTGAAGATAGATACTCATGTAGAGATTTATTAAGTCACGCATTTGTGTTCAAGTATCTCAATACCCCAGACCAAGAAATTTGTGAACAAATTGCCAGATATATGGCTGATGTTGCCAAACAGAAGAACCAAACCCATTAACTGGACTATCATTCTTTTTGTGCTTCACTAAGGAAAACAAAAGTAATGATATGATGGAACTTTATTGGAGTAAATTAGTGTGGAGAAGTATTAAACTGGAAACTATTTTACTTTGTAACAATTGTACATATAAATCTATCGAGTAATACATTATTGCAGTTTCACACTTCTATTTATGAATCTCTTGTCGTTGTGTTGGAGAATCAGCGCCACCAACGTTAACACAATGACCCTTTTGAATGAAATGTAACAATACTGGTGTTCACTTTGGGTATGCATTTGTCAACACTATTTAATATTTTGTAAAGATTTAACAAATTTAAAAACGCTAGTTCCATCTTCAGCAGTGAACCTTACATTAATAGAAATGACGTGCCAACACCTCGGAACCATTTTCCAGCACGTTATCAGTTTTCCATTAAAAATAGAACAATTCATTGGAATGAAAACAGACAATAACAAGCAAAAAAAATGATCAGATCAATTACAAGCTATAAAGTGCTCTTTGTAGATGGACATGTCATTATTGAAATACCACAACATCAAGACGACCCAGTCTTGTATGCATTGATTGATACAGGTTCTCCTGTTACTCTTTCTTCGTCTCATAAGAATCTAGAGCTTGGTGGGTGCACCTTCCTCAGTTCGCAGAGTCCTGTTTTTGGTGCATCAACACATAAAATTGGAGAGCTTATTGGTCATGGACTTGATTATCTTATTGGTAATGATGTCCTGTGCAATTTCAGCTATGAGATTAGAAAAACCAAAATGACATTTTACAGTTCTCAAGTAACAGAACCAGAGTTGTTGGAAAATCATAACACTGCTAATTCGATAGATTGTGAAATGGTTAGCTTTCCACTGGAGAGAATAATGACACTGCCAATCATGCAAGTAACAACTCCATTCAAAAAGGTGAAAATGTACTTTGATACTGGAGCTAAATTATCATATGGATCAGAGAAGTGGTTTGATTCAATTCCAACTGATGGCTCCACTGTGAATGGAGTGAGATATTTGGGTGAGGAAGACGATTTCCATCCATCAATTGGTAAATTTGTTGGACATTTCTACTCTCTTCCAGTAACTGTAAATAGCGATTCAAACTCGAGTGAATTATTCCAAGGAACAGCCAATCTTACAATGAAATTTGGCATCTTACCTAGTGAGCTCTCCTACATGGTGACTTGTTTTAAGGGTGTTGAGGGAATTTTCGGATCTGAATTATTGGACTATTACAATGCCGTTTTCATAACCACCAACAGAATGTACATTTATTAAACTAACACATAATACTTTATCACGCTTGCGTATTTCCTTTTAAAAAAAATGATGAGATATCTCGTCCGAGGAGGTGGAGAGAACATTCAATTATCTTTGAAAAGTTATTTTGTTTTAATATTCGTCTTGATGATGGCAATTATCGTCATGTTATTTAAGGCAGAATGCTATTCACCCTCTATGTTATTTTATCAACTGTATCGGAATGAAATTAGGACGATCAATAGGAATGGACGTGATCATTCAACTGTTAATATGTGGAGCGAGAATAAGTTCTTTGAAAAAGGAAATCATTCTTTGAGATCGATTGGAAGTAACTTTGTTGATTGTGTGAATGTGGATGAAATCTTGATGGATAAAAGTAAATTTGCTAATGAGGTTATTAGAAATTCAGAGTATGGAGATTTCAAATGTAACGAAGTTAAAATATCGAGAAGTTATCACGTTCCAATCTCTCATATTGGTGTGCTTTCTAATCTATATGGAGAGTTTTACTTTACGCCTTATGGAAAATATAATTTATGTGAAAAGATTAAATTTTGGGAGACGAAACTGAATATAACTTGTGGAGATTTGCTGTTCAATTCAACAGAAAATGATATCATTTCCAGAATTAATAGAATTACTAAAAACCAAACAACTATTTATGAGTGGATTAATTTCTGCAATTATTGCAGTGACACCCCCATAAGGAATTTGGACACTCGTTCAATTGTGGATCCAATAGTTCAAAAAATGATTAGATATTTTCCATCGAGTATCAGTTATTGTGGATTTGAAGAGCTGGGACTACCAATAATTGTGGACACAACATCTATTCTTCCAAATCAATATTCAAGCCAATATTGCTATATTTGTAATTGTGTTGGAAATTTAAACAATGAGTACTTCTCTTTCAAATGTAACAATAACTATATGACTTCTAATTTCAGACTTGGTGTAAAGTTTGCTTACTTATTCTTCATGGCTCTATTTTTTATTATAACAATTGTTTTGATTTTCCTACCTAAACTCAAAGATTTAAGGAGACAACACATGAAAATACTTACTTCACTCTTCATATGCCTGACAGAATTTTCATATTTAATGGCCAGTATGCTTCTCATATTTTCAGAGGAAATTTATGTCCTTGTTTTTACGAGTATGGCTCTGATTTTTATCACACAAACCTTACTTTCAGTTGTTTTACAATGGCTGAGAACAATTTACTCGTTCAAGTACAAAAGGATACTCTCTCCTTTCATCACATATTGTGTTTTAATTCTTGCACTCGTGTTGGAAGTTACACTTTTTGTAATTATTATAACTTCAAGTACTGATCTACTCGATAGGTACAGGAATCTGTCAGCCTTCTTATTTGCTGTTGGAATAGCCCTGCCAACAATATTTGGAGTCTTTATAATTTTCATTTTCTTAATGTTGAGAAGGCTGACAGAAGTGAGCCTCTTCCACTCTAGTGTAAGTTGTTAATGTGTTCAATATTTAAATATGTTAACACAATCTGAAGAGTTTGAAATTGTCAATTCTTGGCATGAGTTGTTTATTCCTTTATAACGTTGGAATTATGATCATCAACCTTCTAAATGTATCCCTGGGTGAAATTGGATTCTTCTACTCTGTCATTCACATGTTTTTCATTCATTCTTTCTTGTTCTGTTTGAGTTATGTTGAGTTTGATTCAGAAGAATTCTCTAATTTCTATTGTTGTTGTAAAAAGAAAGAGACACACTCCGTTTCTAATTCAAATAAGGAATCTCTCTTATCAGATCATAATAATTCCTCCTCCGATTATCAAATAGTTAATAATTAAATAATTAAATGTTATTGTAAAAAAATGGCACGATTGCTTTCTCTGAATATTTACATACCGTTCGGATTTGAAAAGGAATGCATAACACAAAATTCAAAACTACACATTGTGGAAGGAATTATCAGACAACCGAGTGAATCAATTTTGGATGTTATCATTCAAGATGCAAAACCATTACTTGCTTCATCAGAAGAAGATTTGATTGCAAATAGTGATCCATCAACTAGTATTGGATATTTACATCAGAGCAGTACTACCACTCCTAAATTATATCATTCAAAATTCAATTTTACTCTTGAAAATTCGAGAATAATTCTCACTGATCATTCCGATGATTATTCAATTAATAATATTTATTATATTTATTATGATAGGAATACAAAGTACAAATATTCTTTGGATCGTGATGAGGAGAAAACTTTGTCATCACTAGAACATTTAAATAATGGAAATTCCAAAGCGAGAAGAGAAGCAATAGAATATTCACTATTTAACACTCCTATCAATTCGAGTATATTGAAGAAACATTTGGAGAATATTAGTAGGATTGGAATGTCTTTTAATATGATTTTAGATTTGATATTAGGATTTTTGATAATCTATCATGTTTGGAAATTGGATGAATCAACATTAATTGATTTGAAAAAACGATTTATTTCTCTCTACAAGTACATTTTAATTAACATGTTTCAACACTTTGAATGGTTGATAAAGGACAGTAATCCAGGAGGTATTAAATTGAACAAACAGTTGAATATCATATTGGGACAAATGGCACTCGGAGGATTGAGATGGTGGCAAACTCTATTGAGTTTTGGTTTTTACTATCTCTCAGATTTTTTCACAGTAGATTTGTTTAGAGTTTTAATATGGTCTATATCCTCCTCTTGCCTGATGGGAGCATCGACCATGTTGGCACTTGTTTGTGATTTGCTACTTGTTGTATCGATCAATATTTTACTCTTTTACAGAATAATTTCAAGACTCTACAACCAACTCATTCATTTGATATTTTCATTGTGGAGATTATTTAGAGGAAAGAAGGCTAATCCGCTCAAGAAGAGATTGGACAATTGTGAGGACTATTCTAATGATCAACTCATTCTAGGCATCATTCTCTTTACCATTTGCATATTCCTCTATCCAACTGTTGCAGTTTATTACTTGAGTTTCTCTTTCCTCTTCTTTAGCATTGTTTCCATAAGAAAAATCATCACCTCCATCATGGTACTCATTCACAACTTTCCCATTAATCAATTACTTAATCTAAATGGCTGCAGAAATGAGGGAATTAAATTCACAACCCTCAAGAATGGATACAACTATCTCCATATTCACAGTAGTAAGATTCCTCTCTCTCAGGTCATTTCTAACTCCCTACAGCCAGTCATTAGACAAATCTTCCTCTCCAATACTCAACCCCTTAACAACACTGATACTGGATTGGTGGAAGAAACTAGCTCAAACATTATCCTTAGACTAATCTACGGTTATTCCCTCTTCTACAACAAATAACTTGATTTCCCAACTCTCCATTTAAGAATTCAGAACATATTCATTTGTCTTTTTTACAAAGTGTTCCATAAAACTTCTGCGAGTTCAATCAAGGAAAAGAATCGCAATTCCCATCTCTCAAAATAGCACAAAAAAAGGAACAAACAATTTTTAAATTTTTAAAAAATAAAAAAACAACAAAAGGTTTCGCGTGATGATCAGAATGAAGCTAGTACACCGAACTCCGCAAATAGCCAACAACGTTTTTACCTTTGATCCAAAAAATATTGACGAGATTCCAAATTTAAAACAAGCCTCACGTTGTAATGCTTCTTCGTCCGAAAGAAAAATGAACACAAAGCAATTGAAAAGAAAGAGAGAGCATAGAGAAATGAAAGAAGAATTGAAAGATAGGTCTGTTGTGGTGCAAGATTCTAAACGAAAAAAACAAAGTTTGATATTATCTCATTTGAATGAAGTGCCAGATGAATTGTTTTATATGGAGATTTTTTCGTATTTAGAGTTTGAATCATTGGCCAAGTGTGCAATGGTTTGTAAAAAGTGGTTTAATGCTTCAGCACAAACAGCAACTAGCCTTTACCATGATACCATTACTGGTATGGTTAAGAATACAAATTACTATTGTGTACTGGTAGCAAGTGTTTGTAGACATTTCACAAACATTCAAGAGCTGAGTTTGCATGACTGTGGATTTATTAATATTTTCAATGAACAAGAAAATGCATACATTGAAACAGTAATGGGTAATTTAAATAATATCAGAAAATTAGAAATTCATGGATTGAGGATTACAGATTTTGCATGTAGGGAATTTTCACGAACTCCAAAACCATTTTTGCAGGAACTTAAACTGGATCATTGCATGATCAGTGATTATGGATTTTCCAATCTTGCCAGAAATAATACCCTTTCCAATGTTTATTCTCTCTCAGTAACTGCCAGTGCAATTGAACTTGACTCGTGCAAAGAATTATCAAATCTGACTAACTTGAAAATACTGGATCTTTCTCATAATTGTATCAGCTCAGAGGGTGCTAAATACTTATCTAGTTGTCTCCAGAATATGGAATATCTCGATCTATCATTTAACAATATTGAAGAAGGTTTTGAATCATTGTGCAGTCAGAAAAATACAAGTATGAGGAAATTAATTATTGTTGGAAACAATATACCTGGATCAGCATGCAAGAATATTGGGAATTTTGAGAGTATAACTCATTTGGACATGACAGGAAATCCACTTGGATACGAAGGAGCAAGTTTTATTTCAAAAGGTTTGAAAGAAATCCGAACTCTGAAAATAGCTGATGCCAAAATCAATAGTTCTGCAATGATTTACCTCTCTGAAGGAATAATGAATAATCTTAGTGAATTATCGTTGGAAGGTAATTTCTTTGGAGATGAAGGTTGTGTAGTATTTCAATCACCAATGTTTTCAAATCTGAAAAAGCTCAAGCTGAATAGAAATTGTATCACATGTTTTGGATGTGAGAATTTAGCTTGTGATACTTTGAAATCATTACAGGAATTGAATCTTTCGTTTAATAGAATCAAGACAAGAGGTATCAACTTCTTATCAGAAGGAAAATTTGAGAATTTAGAAGTGTTGAATTTAACCTCCAATTTCCTGCCTACGATTGCTATCCCCCTATTTAAAAAGCCAGTATTTTCTAAACTAAAAGTACTACTTTTGATGGGCAATAGGTTTTCTACTTGTTCTTCATCAAGTTCACTTAAGGACATTTTCCCACAATTGCAACTAACGGATTGTTAAGCAAGTTTACTTAGTATTAATAGTATTCTTAATATTATTAAGAATACTAGTAATGTTTTATAGGCTTTGTTTATTTGAACATTTACAACAGTTCTCATTGAATTTTTGTAAAAGCTCTTCATAATAATTTCGTTTCTACAAAAGCTAAAATTGGTTTTTAAATAAATTAACTTTGGCAATTCTAATTCTTAAAAACTGATTTACTACTAGCGAATATTTACATAGGTTGGCACTTTTGCCTTAATTAATTTGACAACTTCTGCAGAGTTTTCGCATGATTGCTCAATATTTTGCAGTATATCCATGATCTTATTTGCATATTTCTTATCAAATGTCTTCTTACTGATCTGTACAAGCACAAGAGGTAAGTGTGGAATGATGGCATCTCCAACACAGGCAGTCAAATGTTGAACAGCAGACAATGCATTTTCAAATATCACATTCTCCTTACTCTGCAGTGCCATTCTGATGAAGGATGTTATTTGTCTCAATAGTGGAATAATCTTTTCTGCAGCTTCCTCAGCTTTACACATCTCTTCAAATGCCTTTTGTACAATGAAAATATAAGGGTGATCAGTTTCTCTCAAACCATCAGACACAGTGAGAATGAGAGGATCATAAGGTATGTCAGGAAGTGGTTTTTCCCAGCTCAAATGCATATGTGCAGCAGTGTGATGTATTCTACAAGGTATTCCACCAGCTTCGTAAACTCCTCCGAAAGTTGTTTTGAATTTATTCTTGGCAGTGAATGGATTTGCTGTTTTATGTTTATCATATCGTTCTTGGGAGAGTTTTTTAGGTTTTGACTCCATTGGAATACCATTCGTTGCATTGCTTCCTGATGATTTCGTTGTCGTAGTTCCTCTTGCATTGGTTGAATTAGCTCTCCTTGCTGTTGTGCTGCCACTACTCGTTGATGATGAGGCTGAAGTTAGCCTTGTTCCTCTTGTATTGAGCGGAGTGTTCTGACTACTCGGCGTTGATGAGGGTTGTCTTGAAGAAAGGCCTCCTCCAGATGTGATTCGGGTTGTAGAAGATGATCTCTGTGAGAGGGGTTTAGAAGCAGTTGTAGTCGTTGTTGTATTGGATGAGGGAGTTCTTCGTTGCATCATTTTATTTGAAAAAGTTTTTAAGGATGGCGCCAAAATTAGTTCCTTAAAAAATAAGAGAGATTTTGTATTCAAAGTTCCTTCTTTCGAATAGATAATAAGGGATAGTTGGCATGCTTTGCTGGAAATAACTGAAAGTAGTTACTACTCATGAAGAATCATTTACACAAAATATATTATTTTATTACAATACAGGGCTATTCGTCCTTTGAAGAGGAAGAGGTTGGTTTCTTCTTCTTCTTTTGAGGATTGAAGTTACTCTTCCTTGATGAGGCAATTCTACAATTACCAACCAAACAACCACCAATATCAGCTTCATCAATTGATTTGATGCAAGCCTCAACCATTGGCAAGTTCTTGGATTCTGATCTCATGATTGCAATAGCTTCCTTACCAACCTTACCTTTCTTTGTGTTTGTACCTGCTGGAACGAGTTTGACCTTATAGGTATAATTCTTGAGGCAAGTATATGGAGCACAAACTGGAATGGCAAATAAGAAAATATCGTCATCTCTTGGTTGACCTGTCAAACTGTCGATTTCAGTAAGCTTTTCCTTATCTTCATCATCCATGAAAGGAATATTTTCATCGGCAAGGAATTTCTTAATTTCTGCTTGTTCTTGTTTCTTCTTACGTTGTTCTTCTTCCTTCTTCTTTTGTACTTGCTTCATTTCATCTTCTTTTGGTCTTTCCTTTGGCTTGTTACCAATTAATTCAATCATTACTTGTCTTTCTTCTTCGTCTTGGTCAGCATACTTGGTCTTTAACTTCTTCCATTTACCTCTCTTCATACCCTTTGGTTTGTGGGTTGGAAGAGTTGACTTGTCATTCTCAGTATTTTCACTATCCTCGGTTTCTTCGTCTTGTTTCTTGGCATCTTCTTTTTGAGATTTGGAATCTTCAGTCGCTTGACCAGAAATGATGAGCTCTCTGGCTGCTTGTTCGGTCATACCCTTCTTCTTTAAACGTTGTAAAATTTTCTTTTCCTTGGCAGAGAGAGCTCTCTTCTTATCATTTCCTTCAGTTTTTTCTTCTTCCTCATTTTGATTATCTTCCTCTTCAATTTCAAGAATTTCTTCATTAGTTACTTTGGAGCTGTGATTAACTTCTGGATCTGTCTCTTCTTCAGTGGTTTCATTGGCAGAGGTAGTGGTAGTTACGGTGGTTTCTTCCTTCTTTTCAGTAGAAGTTTCCTCCTCCAATGTACCAGTAGTGGTCGATTCATTATCATAATAATCATTAGCAAAAGAGTCTGATACCTTTGTCAGATATTCAGAGGCTTCCTCTATAGACATTCTTGGTTTTCTCTCTTGAATGTGATTTGGAATACATGATTCATCAACTTTGAACATTACTGCAAAGCCCATAACCAAAGGAGATGGAGGCAAGAAATTCTTCTTACCACGAATCATGAAACTACCAACAGTCAAATATTCACCAGTTGGAGCTGTCTTGGATACTTGATGGTCATAAACCCAATAAGCACTTGACATTACCTTATTGTCCCAAGCAACACTTCTGCAAACACAAAACATACCAGCCTCTTGAAGTGAGAGCGGTGGAATTGGTTCACCCGTTGGATTCTTAATGATACAAGATGAAGCACCATGTACATCAGCGTGAATGTAAATATCACCCTTTCTCATATATCTCTTGACAACCAATTCGTTTTGTTGAGCATCACGACCACCAAGAACAAGATAATTCTCAGAGGTGATAAACCAATAGAACTTTTCAAACCAGAATCTCTTTCTTCTAATTGTAATTTCTGATTTGATTTGAGACTTTTTAGCAGATTCGAGAGTCTTTTGTTCGGTCTTTTTAATGGCCTTCTTGGAAGCAAAAGCTGCCTTTTCCTTATTTTCTCCAGATTTCTTTCTGAGAGAGTAGTATTTGGCAGCATTGGCGTGGGCTGTCAAGGAAATGTCAATATCAATTCTCATTGGTTCTTCCTTCTTTTTCTTGTCTGATTTCTTTTCCTTCTTTTCTTCATCATCACTCTCTTCGTCTTCATCATCATTTTCTTCATCTGATTCTTCATATTCAAATTCGTCTTCATCATCGTCATCGATAGATGGAGGAGGAAGGGTAACGGTAATTTGACTGGATTCCAATTTAAGTTTGTGAATCATGGCAGCAATTGGATCCACATCTCTGTGTTCCTTAATAATTTGCTTGATGGTTTCCCATGATTGAGATTGGGCAAGAGCAGAACAAATAACTTGGATAGCTTGATCAACAATCTCATAGTGGGTTTCAATCAAGGTGGCAATTGTTTCATACTTATCGAAAGAGGCTTGCAATTCTTGCAATTTGAGTTCTTGTTCTCTTTTAACCTTGCTCATCTTCTTTTCAACTGTATTTTCAATACTTGACTTTTGAGATTCAATCTTTTTAGCTTCAATGGCAGAGAAAAACTCATCGGCAGATCGGTCGAATGAGTCAAATTCAATGACTTTGATTTGATTCTTATCGGCAGGAATCTTTCTTCTGACTTGTTCAAAAAGAAATGGTGTAAAGTCATCGTATTGATCTCTCTTAATTGACAACCTCTTTTCTTGCTTCATGAGCTCAATCTGTTTGAGTTGCAAATCGTTCAATACAATCTCAGGCTCAACAACAGGTTCCTCTGAGGATGGTTCACCGTTTTCGGTTGGTTCTTTCTTTGGTGGAAGGAATGGATTTTCCACAGTAACTTCATCCAAAACTTGTTGTTGAACAATTTCTTTCAGTAGAATATAACCTCTTTGTTTTTCAGTCTTAATCCTCATAATGAAATCGTCCACTTGTTTAAATGCAGATACAAGCTTATCCAAAATTGGAGTTTCAACGTTGGATGAAGCAATGACATTGTCAACCTCGGAAATTAATTTGAGTGTATCAGGATGTGCATTATCAAGTAAATTCAAATTAGATGCAAGTACATCTGCAGTCAAAAGACAATGTTCAACAAAACCTGTACCATAATCCAAATAATTATTCAATAAATTTTTCACTGTCAATGTTGGAACTGCTGGAGCTTTCTTTTGTTGTTTCTTCTTTTGAGTTGGTTGTGGATTTTCTGGATTTTCCTCTGTTGGTGCAAGGGCTGCATTTCTTTCCTTTTCTATAGCTGTCTTGATTGTTTGTGCAAGAGTTGGCTTTGAAATTCCATCAGATTGTAAACGAGTTGTAATTGGATATGTTTCTCCCACAGCAAACAAACCAGCCTCAGCTTCCTTACTATGTGTACGTAAAATACTAATGATTTTATATTGGTAATCTGTCAGAACGACGTTACCCTTTGCAAAGAATTCAACTATAAGATGGTATGCCTTTTCTTCAGCTCCGAAAGTGAAATCAACAACACGATCAACTCCCAATTGTTCCAACTTTTCCAATCTCCTTGTTCTAATATGTTTTCTCATCTATTTCATGATGAAAATAATTTGTGTAAGAATTTTCTTTGAAAATCACAACCTACCTTTAAAACAAATGGACTTGGCATCTTTGATTTATCTCTTTCGAAAGCAGTACTATGAATTCTAATACCTGATTCGATGAGAACAACAATCTTTTCATCAGTTTTTGCAAATTTAAGTAGATAAGTCTTTTTGTTAATGTCATAAAGATTGGCCAAACGCATACCAATCAATTGTTCTCTCAACTCCGCGACAATGCAACGGATATCCACAACAGACATACGATTCTTCATCTTGTTATTATTGTTGGTGATGATGCTATTAAAATACTATTATTAGTTTCCTAGATTATGTTGTTAATGCTGATGATAATATTGTTGTTGTTGTTATATTATGATCAGGACACAAATTGACTAGCACAAACTACACGTATGATGATGATAAAATTGCACTTATTGTAGTGTTGTGTGTTATTGATGATTCCTCCAACTCTAAAAACACCACAACAAAAATTATTAATTTTTTTAATGGATTTCTAAATATAAATCAGAGGTTGGAAAGAAGAAGCACGTCACGCTGGTTTATTATCATTTCTATGAGAGACAATTCAATTTGAAAATGTTAACCAGCTGCTGTTGAAGCTTGGAGCTCTTTCGTCTTCAATCCCAAACTTTAAGTTGATTCAAGCACGATATTGAAATTTCAACAACTGTTTAATACAATTGAGCGAAACTACAGATACCTGTCATCCTTCCATAATATCAAAATTAGATTGTTTGGTAGCAATCTTCTCCTATAATATGTTATTGTTAGTCCTGAATCCAATCATCAAACTAATTCTCATGTGAAAATAATTCCTAAAGTGCTGGCAGAGCAAAATCTAACTTGTTCAACAAACATTCACTATCAGAAAGCTGAAAAACAGCCTTCATACGATACGGATCATTCACTTCATTAATTGATGAAACTTTAACAATGAAGGAAGAAGATTTGTTCTTTTGTTGATTTGTTATTGGTTGTTGTTGATTTTCCTCCCTGTAATGATCAATAGTAACAACAATAGGACACCATCTCGAGTAGAATGGAAAAGTCTCGTCCGAGTCTGTGACCATAAAGTTTGGATAACATGATGGAAACTTCTTTGAAAGAAAGACACAGACATTCTGAAGGAGAGCAAAAGCTCTAATATGAAGAGCCTCCAAGCCTGGATTGTTATTAGATGATTGGGCTGTTGTTGTTGTTGATTGTCTACCAAAGAGTTGATTCGTGGTGGATTGTTGTTGATTATTCTCTGGTAGGAGAGCAAAATTAAATTCCTCTCCTCCATCCTCTTCATCATTCAACACATTAATAATGGAAAGATGTGGATTATCCTTCTGATGAGAAGCAAAGAAGGCTGATAAATTATCAACAAATAAATATCGAGGCAGAGAAATGTCATCCAACAATTGAATATTGGCTAAGAAGGCTACCAATAAATTATACGTATCAATATATTTAACTTCGATGCGCTTCAGCATATTGAGAACTTGTGGATCCTCCTCATCAAATATCGGAAGAGGTGGTGATGAATTTCGATGCAACAGAATCATCACAGTACTAGAAGTATCGGGATCATTCTTCAACACTCCCATAGCATATTGAAACATGAGAGTGGTTCGACCGGAACCTCTCACTCCCAACAGAGAGATACCAAATTGTTGTTGTTCTGGAACAAAGTGTGAGTAGTGAATGGGAGATTCATCCAATCGTTTGCCCAAGATTGGATTATTGTCAGTATCCAATGTCGAGTAGGAGAAGAGATTCTTGATGTGGAAGGCACACATTTTTTTTTATTTGATTATTCCATTCATTGGTGGAAATTAGCATAAAAGGAGATCTATCTATGTTATTTCCAAGATTTTGTGGATTGATCTTTTTTTAATCATAAAGCATCTGTAATTTACCAACATCAATAATCCTTACAATATTAAGAAACCTTCATTAAAAAAAAGAATAAGGTCGATACAAAGTTGTTGTAGATTAATGAACATAAGCTGAACACGGATCAAAACGTTTGTGACTCATTGAACCGGTTGATCTCTTCACTACTAGTATTAAATCAAAATATTGAAGGTGGCACGTAATGTTCCTACACTTCGGAACAATTCATTGTAAAATATTGCGCCCCAATAAGAGTGGTGAAAAATTGGTTCAAAAAAAAATAAGACAACGAGAAACAGCCTCGATTTTCAGCTTTTTTTTATCGCGTTTTTTTTCAAAGGATTCTCGGCACGAATATTTAACAGCGCAAATTTTTTACCGTAAATTGCAAAACAGTTTCAGATATGTATGAACAGATTCCAATAGAAAGTGGCACATTTCCACTCTTAAATGTACTTCAGGAGAGTACTGATAACGAAACAATGAATAATTCTACATCAATAGATCCATCAGTGGAGGCAACATTGTTGGGAGCCAAATTGGGAACCTTATTTGGCTTGCTAATTGGCAGCTTTCTCATTTCATTGGTTCCTATACTATTTTCGAGAGTGAAATATTTTAAAAAGAGAATTAATTCAGGATATATAAGCATTGCCATTGATCAATGTAATGGGTTTGCAGGAGGAGTTTTATTGAGTGTTGGTATTTTACACATGATGGCTGAAGGTGGAGAGTTAATCTCAGAGGGATTGGAAAGTTTGGGAGATAGTAGAAGTTCTGCCTATCCAATAGGGCCTCTTACAATGTGTCTTGCATTTTTGGTGTTGTACGGATTGGAATTTGTCTTGTTGGCATTCTTATCGAAATGGTTTAAGGCAGGCGAACATGACCATGGCCACTCTCATGGTCATTCCCACGGACACTCTCATTCACACAGTAATTGTGATCATTCACATGGTCATGACCATAAGGAGCATCAAACACTTACATCCAATGGAGCTAAATCCCCACCACCTTCAATATCAACAATTGGTTGTGTGGATGAAATTGAAATGGTTAAACCTCATAAGGAAGAAACACCAAGCTCACCTGTTGATAGTGATGACATTGAAGTTAAAAATGAAGAGGAGGGTGATTTGGAAAACCCAGAAACACCACAAATTGAAAAGACAACCACCAATGAACCAACCGTATGTGATCAACATCATGTGCATCATGAACATGGTCACGGTCATGGAGACCATACAGGATGTGCTCACCATGAAGCTACTCAAATGTTATTTGAAACTAATCACAAATCTGGTGTTCCTCTCGTACTTACAGCTATAGTTTTATGGTTGGCTTTATCAACTCACAGTATTTTCATTGGATTGGGTTTTGGTGCTGAAACTGATTTGGGAAATATGTGGAGTATCTTTGCTGCCATTGTGGCGCACCAATTTATTGAAGCATTCTCTTTGGGAGCTATTGTTGAAAAGGGCTGTAAGAATATTTTCGTTGCTCTGGCTCTTTTATTCTTATATGCTGCTTCTGTTCCTGTTGGTATTGCAATTGGTTTGATTATTATTCATTCAGTCCAAAATGAACAAGCACTAGAAAATAACAGCTGGAAAGTTGCTCAAGGTACACTTTTATCTATTGCAGCTGGAGCATTCTTATATGTTGCTTTGATGGAAATTGCAATCCATCAACCTAAGAATAAGTTTTTAAAGTTGTCTAGATTCATTCTTATGGCACTCGGTTTTGCATCTATGGCAATTATTGCTATTTGGGCCTAATTTTTCTCTAACTTTCTAACTCTAATGTACATAAATAACATTAATTTATTTATCTTTCTAATGTTTTATTTTAATACAAATTAATCAAGTTGGCAAAGTAAGGCACATCCTCTCTTAATCCAATACTTTTCATTATTATCTGAGGCCATTGGCAACTTGATACTCATCACAAAGTTAGTCGAGTGACCAGTTGTGGTGAGGGTACCTCTTCTTTCACTAGTTCTGTAGAGTGGTGAAACATAGGTATTAGATTTGGTTTTAACCTCTGAACTTGTTGGTTCTGTTTGTTCAACACTACGATCTACAGGTTTGAACCAAATTATTGGCATTTCATCAAACAATTGTTTTGGTCTTGGATCTGTCAAACACTTCTTCTTTCTATCCCAAGCAGCACCTTCCAAGAACAATCCATAAACATAGCAACCACATTCTGGTTCTGGCAAGGAAATGTTTTCTTCATAGTACTTGTCCAAAATTTCAAATTCAAAATCAATTTGGTCAATAGCAATCTTATTCTTTCTGGCAAAGTTTTGCTTTACACCTGTCAAGAATGATTGGGTAAAGTAGAAACCACTCAACCAATACACTGATGGTTTACCATGAATAAACCAATTATTAAAGAATTCAATTCTCTTAATCAAATCTTGGATATATGTTCTGAGAGGTTTTCTAGAAGGATAACTGGCCTTGCTCCATACAAGAGGTACCTTACCATTTGAAAGAGACTTGCTCAATTGTTCCAAATCACTACTCATGACTGTGAGACCTTTCAATGCAAGTTGTAATTGTTGAAGACTGTTTCTAATAGCATTCAAAAGTTTGTTAAATCTAATTAACTCTTGTACAAATACAGTGTTCATACTTTCGTGATAGTCAACCTTGAACTTGGCCTCTGCGCCACCATCTCCTTCAATAATAAAGTTGTCAGGGAGTTTAGTCAAGATATCTGCTGCTAATTCGTAAAGTACTTCAGTTTCATGAGAATTTTCATTAATGTCATCTTCATCATTGGTTTCAGGAGCACTATTTTGTTGAGTGGTAAGTAATGCATCAAACATTAGTTTAGACTCAGTTTGATCCTTACTAATGGTAGCGTTTTCGTGCAAACCAAATACTTCTGGAGTTTCGCTTGATGGGAATTTTTCGATTGTTTGAATATATTCACTATGTTTCTTATCTCCATTTGGAACAGTGTAAATACCGGAAGGTGAAAGTTGGTAACCATCCTCAATAATTTCCTCATTATAGAAGTCAGATAAAATTGCCATAAGAGTTCTTCTATCATGGTCATCTGTAACTCTACCACCATAATTACATTCACCAGTTAAATAGGTAAGGGCCTTGAAAGGAACATTTGAATCCTTTCCATTCAAAAACATTTGAAGTTGCTTCAAGGAGATGTTCAAATCAGAATCGTTAAATTCATATCTAATATTCCAACCAAGTGGACCAAATGTTCTTCTCTCCTGAACCAAGGAATGGAAGAATGTCAAACCGAACAATAACTTCTTAAATTCCCTACTCTTCTTACAACCAGTAAAGTATTTTGCATCATTGATAGGATCGCTATTCCAAGATTGTAAGAGGTTTGCTCTCAAACCTTTAGGAGGCTCATTAGTAATTTTTACACCTCTTTGAAGTACGCTGACTGGGAATTTTTCACTAGGCATACTTGTGAGCCACAATCTATAATTTGCAGCTAGCTTATTTTCATTTCTGGCGAAATCATCAATGATCTTTTCTAACTTTGGTAAGAAAGAAAGCAAAACGTGACAGTTTTGTAAAACAACCCAATTTCCTTGGAAGCTTCCTTGGTTAATCATTTCAATAGCAAATTCTTCTTGACCTTGACCAAGTGACAAACTCTTCAAGGCTACACCTTCTTGGTCAGCAAATTTACGAAGATTTTCCATAGGATCCACACCAGGTGACAAAATAAATATGAGTGGCTTTACAGGAGTAGATTCCATGTAAGAAACCTTCAAATTGAATTGACTTGGCTCAATAAATCTCTTATCCATATTCTTTTCCACAAAGGTTTCAACTGCTGGAAGAAGTTTGTCTGGTCTGATAATTCTAAGAACCATCATCTTTTGTAATATTGAGAGGTTGTTCCATTTATCTGGATATGGTTCTTCATTAGGCTTGGATGAATCATAAACCTTCTTCCAAGCTTCAAGGTGATTGAAAAATTCTTGTTTGAAGTTCTTAAAGACACTTGACATTCCATCAATTTGACATAACTCATTGTACATGTTCTGAGTGATCCATTCTGGCAATTTTCTTGTGGTTTCATCAGAGTTGACGACAGAGCTAGTACCTGTAAGTAAGAATTTCAACTCTTCATGATCAATCAAGCTCTTCTTTCTCATCAATTGAATACACAATAATAACGAGAAGAGTAGCTTGTCCTTCTGGAACAATGATCTACATACTCTGGTATACATTTGATGAGTAAAGAAGTCTCTAAGTTGTTCAATCTTTTGAATGGTGGATCTATTTTCTTCGTGAGGCAATTCAACTACACATTGGGTAAACAAATCTTGGTACCAGTTCAAACTATATTGATACATTGGATCAACGTTTGGCAATTCACAAATAGCAAAGAATAAGGTACTTGCATTTTCAGCAACTGGTCGGTAAAGGTTTCTCTTGGTATCAATATCCTTTTCAGTCTTCTTTGTTTCAATTTGTTTTTGTTCAATTTTTCTTGAGGTTTGCTTTGATGATGAGAGGGTATTAATGACAGTGTCATCATCCAACATTTTTCCTTTGTTGTTTCAACAAGCAATTGCAAAATCTTATCTTGGTAATGCTTCAATTGTTCTTGATATTTAGCATTCTGTACAGCCAAATTGTTCTTTTCACTTTCCAATTTCTTTTCTTCAATCTTGACAACAATAGCAAGCAATTGCTCTTCCAAACCATTTGGTGTAATCATAAAGTTAATAATTTGAACTTTAGTTGAAACTTCAGGGAGATAGTGAGGGTTTGAAAGACTAGTAACCAAATAGAGTTTAAAGTTATCATTATAAATTGTTGGAGTATCACTAAGATTGATATACTTTACACCTCCAATGTAATAAGTTCTTTGAGTTAAGAGTGGTTCCAATGCTGGATCTAATTCTTCTCCAACACCTTCAACAATAGTTGTAGTTCCTTGAGTAATGGCCTTTTCCAAACTCTTAATAAGACTGGGGTTGGACATTTGAATGATTAACAAGGAATCAGCATCTTTCTTTTGTTGTTTTTCCTTCTCCTTAATCCAGGCCATGGCTTGACCTTGTGGATCAATGAACAGTGGCCAAATATTGGTAGTTCTCTTGACAATAGTAGCATTTTCAACTGAAAAGTCATCTGATGGTAAACCTTCCTTGATAATCCAATTTCTAACTTCCATAGATTCAGCCAAAGTTGTTGAAAGTGTGAAATTTTCTGAGAATTTGATACCATGTTGGGTCAATTTGTTGGACCACTTCTTGAGAATCTTTCTTCTGTACTCAGAAGTAAAGGCTCCAAGGTAGGAAATAATACCTGAGGCTAAAATAACGTCTCCATTAATACATGTTTGTTGTTCCATAATTTTAGCTAATGTTTCTTGCCATCTCAATTTTTCTCCTTCCAATAAACCAATGAGTTTTGTAGCTCTTTCTAACTTTACACTGACAAGTTGGTATTCATGTTCAAGTTGATTCTTCTTTGCTTCACATTCTTTTCTTTCAGTTTCTTTGAGTGCAATCATTCCTTGAATTTCAGCCAATTCCCTCTTCTTTTCAGCAAGATATCTGGCGGCTTCAGCACACTTTTGTTCAGCTTCTTGCAATGCAAGTCTCTTTGGTTCTACAACACTGTTAACCCTAAAGTATTTAACTAGGGCATTCAACCATTCGTTAAGGGCAAAGGCAGCAGCACTGGAACGTTTGATTTTTTCAACATCCATTTCTGCCAAAATAGGTGTAAGAGTACCAACAATTTCTTGATTCAATGCTCCCATATCAAAATTCTTAATATATTTTAAGAAATCCTTTCTTGACATCATTTCCTTGGATGCACCCCACCAATCTTTAGACTTGTTACCAAGACCATCATCAATGGTTTTAACTTTTTCACCCTTCATAATACAGATAGCTTTAAGGACCATTTTAACACCTTCTGGAGGAGCTTGCATACCTCTGACTTCCGCAATTTGGGCAGTACTGATATCTTTGACCTTTTGTTGGGCTTCAATCCAAATTGGTTCAGCCTGAGCTAATTCTTCCATACAATATACCTTGTCTTGTTCATTCTTAGCAACTTGTGCGTTGATTTCTTCTTGTTCAATTTCAATCTTTTTAGCCTTCTCGTTTGCATTTTGAGATTCAATTTCAATCTTCTTGGATAATTCTTCATTTTGTTTGGAAAGTTCAATCAAGTTTGGTTGCAAAATTTCCAATTCTTTTTGCATTTCATTAACATCCTTATCGGTTTCAGCAATTCTTTGAAGACCCAACTCGAATTTTCCTCTCAAAGTTTGCAACTCGGTTCTCTTTTCTTTTACAAGTGAGGAGAAGTTCTTCAATAGACCAAGATAAGTTGTTGGTGTAACATAGTTATGTCTCTTCATCTTGAATAAGAATTGCTTAGAAAGCTCGGTGGAACTATTGTGGAAGTAGGCACATATATCGACATACTTGTCAAAATCTTTTTCGAATGCATCATCCTTTGGTATTTCTACATTATTATCCAATTCTTCATCTGTTACTTCGTTAATGCTCTTGATAAACTTTTGAGCTACAGCATGAAGGGCTTGGTCTGGCCAAGAGCTGAACCAATCAATGTTACAACAATTTACCAATGAAGGGAACATTCTCAAATAATTTCTCAAATTTTCACCAACTGGACTCATGCAAAGAACAATGTGCAAACATTCTTTACATCTATCAACAAAGAAGTTGTATAATTCTTCTGGTGTTTGTCCTTTGTTTTCATTTCTTGCATGTGCTCTCAGACTTTCACAAATATCCTTATATTCATCTCTATCGAAAAGGTTAGGAATTTCACCAGTGTTAAGAATACTGCTAATATCTTCTAAAAATTCTTGATACTTGATTTGGTTATCATTGAATAAAAAGACAGTTTGAGTTTTCTTGGCACCACCAACACTAATCAACAATTCTTTCATCTTATCTTTCCATTCAGAAACAGTGAAAGATCTTGTTAATTGAATACCAAACAATTTGTATTCAGCAGCAAAAGCAGCTAGTTTGGTTAAACTTTGTCTACCACTGCCACCCACACCAATAAGGAGAGCATTACCACCAGGTTGAGTTATAATTCTTACAATTCTAACAATATGTTCAATAGCAAAGTTGAATAATACAAGATCCATCTTTGAGTGTGAATCATTGTAAATTTCCAATTTAGATGACAAGATATTATGTAGTTTGGAAATATCAGCAACCTTTGGATTATTGGAGGTCTTGTTCAAGACAACTTCCTTGAATCTTTCGCAAGAATCATGAGTTAAAGAAGTGAAGAGAGTATTTCTATAGTCAAAAGGTGTTTCTTCAATGATATATTTGATTTCACCAATTTGAAGTTCCTTATCAAGTAATTGGTAGAAACTCTCTCTGTCTTGCTCATTAATCAATCTATCGTGGAAAACTCTTGTGGCCTCATGGGCCCAAATCTTGACTAGAGATACCTTCTCCAATTCTGATCCATCAAGTCTTGGACCAACACTGCAAACACCTTGGAAAATCTTTGATAAATCTCTCAAGTTAAAAGTATAGTGAGATTTTTCTGGTGTTGGTCTGAATTGCTCAATTACATTATTAAATAAATTGATGGATCCAACAACGATTTGTCTAGCCAAAATCTTACTGATAGTATTAATGCTATTGGATGAGAGGAACCAATCCATAATATCTGAGAAAATGGTGGTCAATGTTTGGTTGTCAAATGAGGTAAGACCAATAACATTGAAGTGACGAATAAATCTTGGAGTTACTTCGTTTCTACCACCTCCAGGAGGACCCATAGCACAAACAAACAATACATCAACTACGTGTGTAAAGGCTGCTTGCTTGCTGAATTTTTCATGCCAGCCTCCTCTGTCTTGCCATTCTCTCAATAATTCAATGGTTGGTTGTGCACCATAATCATCCAATGTTGGCAAGTTAAGGTCATCGACAAAAATAATTGTCTTCTTTCCTATTGGTGGACCAATATATCCTTGCTTTCTTCTTGTGAGCTTGGATTCCAAAATATCTTGAATAAGACTTGGTGTAGTGGTGGCTGAAAAATTGATAAAGGCAGGAAGGAAGTTTGACTTTGGTTCGTTATTTTGTTCCTTTTCTTCACTTGAACCAGCTCCAAGTTTAAGTAAAAATTGTTTTACATATTCACTTTTACCAGTACCTGTTGGGCCAACAAATAATGGTTGCTTACCGTGGTCGAGAAGTGTTTTAAGAATGAATTGGAATCTAATAGTGTCCATTGTTGGGACAATAATATTTCTAAATTCTTCTGTTGGTGAAACAGCAAATTTAGGAGCATATTCTGAGGCAGTCCATTCAACCCATTTTCTACTCTTCTTGTCAAACACAAAGTCGAAAACGAGTGTGTTTGGCTTTTCTGGCATTGGTATTTGGAATTTGTAGACCTTATTTCTTGCCCTTTCTTCCAGCATGTTTCTGTAAAGTTGATCAAATTTAACTCTATCAACAGAAACAATACCAACTGACCAAATTAAAGCAAATTGGAAAAGGCATTCAAGAATAATTGACTTGTCCTTAATGTAATTTTGGATCACTTTTGGATCTGCAAATTCATCCATCAAGCTTTGCAAAATGTTAATCAATGAATTCACCAACATGGCATCACTTTTAACTCTAACATATGCTTTGGCCATAAAGTGAGACTTGAAAATTTTGATAGCAGGAGGAATGAAAGTGGAGAATAATGTTTTAAATAATTCTGTCACTTCTTCAAAATCTTTTGATTCTCTAAGAGCTTGAGGGAATTCCTTACTGCTCAGCCAACTTGCTAGGTAAGGCTCCCAAGAACCAAGCTTTTCGGCTTCCAAATAAACCATACCACATCTGGAAACTGTTGCAGGCGAAGCAGCAGCTAAATCTTGGACTTCAAACATCATGTTCATGTTTTCACCCATTTTGATAATTTGACCAGATGTTAAACAAAGCTTCTTGTTGTCATCCAAAACTGTGTTCATAGATTCGATCCAAATAGCATCAACAGGACCGTCACACATGAGCCATTTTCTTTCCTTTTCTGCAAGTGTACTCAACTTTTGGAAGTGAAGAGCAAGAACACCATCTTTCCAGTCTTTGGTCTTTGTATCTCTATAACCGTATAGATTTCCACCGTAAACTGCCTTTGGTGATAAGACTCTTAGATTGATCTTTTCTCCTAATTTCTCCAAAGCAGACTTTAAAACAATATAGGAAGCTGTTTTACCTGACATTGGGAAACCTACAAGCATCAAACCGTGTCTTACAATAATCATTTCATAAAGTTGGATAATCTTTTGAATAAAGTAAGGAACAGGTTGAAGATTCATTTCAGCACATGTTTGAATAAGGGCGTTTTCAAGAGCAGAGTAGTCAACCTTTTGATGTTCTGTAGTTGGGAACAAATCCTTGATGATACCGTTGAACAATGGGATATCAGCAGAAACGAATTTTGGAAGATTTACGTCATTCAATGCTCTTAACATGAGTTGTTCTTCGTTAAGATCTGGAAATTGTCTCTTTAATGAACCTGCTCTTACCAATACTGCTTTAACAGCTCTCATACCATAATCGTAGTGATCTTGGGATGACAATTGTTCACTACATAATCTATAAGTAGAAACAATCTTTCTAGCCAGTTTACGACCTTCCAAAAATCCATAAGAAAACAATGAAATTTCTGCAATCAAGGCATAATCAGGAACCATCATAGCGACTGGACGGAAGAGAGCTTTCAAGTTATCAGGAAGTTCAGATCTTCCAGCATAACCAGGATTCATTGTAATGAAAATAGCACAAGTTGGATTCATGTTAATTTCCATATTTTCAAAGAAGAATCTGGTGGCTCTACTAGCTACAGCAAGTTGGATAGTTTGAATTTGTTGGGCAACAACAGAAAGGACATCCAATTCAATTCTGTTAAATTCGTCAAAACATGACCAAGCACCACTTGATGCCAAACCTCTAAAGAATTGAGCCATAGACTCATAGGTAAGATCATCTGAACAGTTGTAAACTACACAATGTTTAGCGATAGCCTTAGCCAAATCTTTTGTAGTTTCAGTTTTACCTGTACCAGCAGGACCCTCAGGAGCACCGCCCTTAAATAATTGGAGAGCACCTGTAAGTGTTCTGTAGCATCTGTCAGTAAGAGGTGTAATGACAAGTCTTTCTTGATTACCCAAATATTCGTATCCATAGTTAATTTCAGCAGTAACTTGTCTAACAACAATTTGGTTTTGATTCTTTCCATCCTTGATATCTTTAACATCTTCCCAATAATATCTGAGCTGACTTTGCCATTCAAAGTCTGAAATATCTCCGACTGCCTCTTTCACCAAACCAGCAACAACATCTCTTGCGTGAACATCAATAACGACCATTGCACCAAGTGTGATACTTTGCAAAGCAGTTAAATTTTCTCCTCTTACAAGTTCAATAAGAGATTTTTGTTGTTTGGTCATCTTGGAGTAATATCTTTGAACTCCTTTAACACCTTGTGCTTTGATAGATTCTTCTACTTCTCTTGTCCAGAAAAGTTGACTTACAGTCAATACCACTTGACCAGGCCATGCAAGAATCCATTGACCTCTCTTGTCAATATTACCAGCAATAGCAGCATATGCATTGATGGATTGTTCAATAGAGTGTCTCAAACTACCCTTCATTTCATTTTCAATTTCTAACAACCACAACTCAACTCTGCCATTCTTTTCTGCTGGTATTACATGCTTTTGGAATGGAATACGCTCACCTTGTTTACTGAGCATGGCAACGATTTTTCCTTCCTTGTCAAACTCTAACCTTTCAATACCTTCGAAACACTTTTTCAAGTGGGGTTGAACTCTGAGTGGATCCTTAGTTTCAGAAAGGATTTCCAACAATTCATCATCTGATAAAAAGTAAAATCTTGGGAAGGCTCTTCTTTTGGTTTCCAAATATTGTTTCAAACCAAAATGGATTTGCTCCAATCTCTTGTTGGCTGTTTCAAAGTTATCTCTCATATTTTCATCAGAAACAACTTGAGCGACAACTTTGACCTTATTGGTAACTTCCATAACATTCTTCCACATTTTGTCAACCATACCGAATTTGGTTGCTTCATCAGGAAGCTGTGCTGATATATCTTGAGAACTGAAGATTGGTTCCAAATACAAGTAAGCAACTTGACACTTAATCCATTCGGTCATTATATCTTGTCTTTCTAATAATTTGTTTTCCCAAGCAATAACTTCAGTCTCAAGTTCCTTTACGTAAGGAGAAGCTCTCATACCTTGAGTTAAAACAATTTGTTCATCGAGAAGGACTTGTAATTCATCCAATTCAACAAGTTTGTATGTAATACCGTATTTCTCAAGATGGAAATTGACATTCTTCCAAGCAGAGTACATTTTTTCGAGGTTCTTTGAAATTTCTGCTTCTTTCTCGGCCAATGTAGAAATATCAATAATCTTTTCTAAAATTGGTTTTTCTTCGAAACCAATCTTTGTAAAGTCTCCCAAGTTCATGATATTAATACTTTCAATATCCAATTGGGCTGTGGATTTTCCAAATTCAAGTGGAAGTTTTGCAATTTTCTGCCAATGTCTTTGTCTAAGACCATCCTTTCTCAAGGCATTGATAAGTGGCATGTGAAGTAAGAATGCTACAACCTCCTTCTTCACTTGTCTTGTAATAATTCTTGCAGTTTCGTCCTTTGGTTGCAAGTTCTTTTCTAAATTTTTCAATGTAGATTGCCACATACTTAATGATTCATCAATAAACTTGGCATCCAAATTCATGAATGTGCCTTCATTCCATTTTGGAAAGTTTTGTGCCTTTTCATAAGCAATTCTCCATAAGTCAAAGTAAGGTTTAAAGTTCTTCTCCAAGTCCTTCAGTTTGGAAAATTCTGTTGTGTTCATATTAAACATTCTTTCACGATTATTATACAATTCGGAATTTTTCTTTGCTTCCTCCAATTTAGATTCCATATCCTTTACCTTTTCATAGTATTGGTCTGTCTTTTCTAAATCATCGAAAACAGCAAATCGTTCAATAATCTTTTCATATAAATCCAAGTTGCTGAGAAGATTATTGATATCTCTTTGTAATTCATCCATGAATTTTCTCTTGTCTTCTTCAAGTCTAATAGTACTATCCTCAAGAAGTCCATAAACCTTCTTTGGCCATGAATGAGTATCTACAAATACTGTAAAATCATCCATGTCGAGGTTGAATGAAAAATCTGAGAGTAAATGGACACTTGATTTGACTGTTGCGAATTGAGATTGTAATCTTTCAATTTCCTTTGTGCAATCTGTTAAGTACTTCTTTAAAGAGTCCAGTTCTTCAGCAGTTTGAGGTATGATTTGAACTTTGCTATATACATCTCGGAAAGATTGAGTAATTTTACTACTCTCTTCAGTACTCCATTTTGATATTAATTTCATCAACTCTTTTGCAGTACCATCGGTTCTCAAATATAGTGAGTTTTTGATACCACTGCAATCTACTCGCAATAAGTTGAAATTGACATTATCAGTTGAAATGTTATACACTTCTTCTGAATCACTTTTAAGTCTTGCCAATTCTTCTCTAAAGATTGAAAGAAGTTTTGACATTTCTGTTTTGCCAACATGTTCATTATAAAATTCTGTAGCAAACGCGACTGGATCCAACTTTAAGCAATGTTCATATCCCTTATATAAGGAGAGCAACATTTCTGGTTCTCTAAAGTTGGAAGTAATTACTTCTTGAATATCTTTCCATAAACCTTTTGTGTCTTTTTCTAATCTTAGTTCTAAGTTATTTATACAATATTGTTCTGGCTTAAGAGTCAATAATGGGAAGAGAGTCTCTCCTATACCTGGAATAAAATTGGTTTCCTCCAGCACTCCATAAAATATTTGTCGTAAGCCATCTAATACAGATTCGAGTGGAGGATCGAATGCAATCTTAGATTCTCCATTTTCAATTTTCTCCACAATCTTGATAATAAATAAAGGTTCAAATCCAGAAACTTCATTGGCATCAAAATGATCCGATCCTCTGTATCTATAAGGTATTATAAAGTCTCTCAACTTGTGAAGTTCATCAAAAACATAATCTCTTAACTGAGCTGAAAGAACGAAATTGGTCAATCTCAAGAACTTCTTCATTCTAGAGCTTTCGAATCTTTCAATATCATCTTCGAAAAAGTTGAAAAATCTATCAAGATCATTTTGCACTATCGAAATAACTTTTTGGCACCAATCTTCCTTAATTCTTTTCATGGATAATTGTAATGTATCTCTTTGGAGCTCCAAAAATGATCCTAACTCACAAGGAGTATCACATTTTTGTGTTGTAATCAAGTCCATACTCTTTCCATCTTCCTTTAAGCTTTTAAGCAAAATAAATAATTGAGAGTGAATATTATGCATTGCTGTTATCAAATCAAGGTGAGTATAAAAGATATTTTGTTCAATAATATCGTGAATGGCTTGATAGTTATAGGCTGGTACCTCAATAACACCAGAACATGGTGCTGTCATATTATTTTTCCTTAGCTCTTCTTTGCACCATAAATATTTTTCATACTTTTCATATTCTTCTCTACTGTTCAGATAATACAAAAATATAGCCTCTTTCATTGAAATTTTGTAATGCTCTTTTGCTTCATCAACATATTTTTCAATGACTGGAACATGCCTAGAAAGGAATTGGGATTCATTTGCAACAAGCTTCAAAATTTTTTCATAAATTTGTTTTTCAAAAGGGGTAATATCTATCAAGTCATCAGTAATAGTCTTGTCAATTTGAAGATAATAAAACATTTTCTCTTCAAACTTTTTTCTTCTCATTTGTGCAAATCTTATTCTCAATTCAAAAGTTTCATCTCCATGAACTAATAAATTCAATCTTTTTACCCATTTTTGTTTTCTGCCATTAGTAGTGGTTGGAGAGTCATTGTTTTCATCAGTTGTTGTAATTTCATATCCAGTTGTGTTTGGAGAATCTAACCATTCAATAAGGAAACTTCTTTCATCAGGATTATATTCAAGAACTCTGCAACGAGCCCACTGTTTTTTGATTAGATCACTAGTAATAATATGAAACAAACCTTATAAGATTTTTCATAAGCTGATTTGGCGCCAGTATAAAACTTAGACTGTACAATGTAGCTATTCGAAAGAAGATCTTCAATAGTGAATTTTTCAAATATTTCTTCGTCATCAAACAATTCTAATGGTAGAAATTTGCTCTTGCTTTCAATCTCTTGTCTGTTCAATTCATAATTATTAATTAAATTCCTCTTATTAATACATACCCACTCATGATGATATCCTTTTCCTCTTCCGAAAATTCCTTGTTAATAATTAAAAGTCTTGGGTAACTAGCTACATCAATTGTTCCTTCTTCAACATCCATTTGTTTGAGGGCTCCGATTCTAGCACTAACATTCAAAGAGTTCAATTCAGACAATCTACTGACACTGGTAGTATATTTGGCTTGTTTTGGTGGTCTTTCTTCCAATGTTTTTCTTGATTTTTCTTGTGCTGATGCTCTTTTTGTTGTTGTAGTACTAGTTTCTCTGTTTAATTAAATCATTTTTTAATAATTGATTTCAGTTATGATATTCTTACCTCTTCTTTGTACTTGTGTTTCTAGATGGGTCTAAATGATTAAATTGTTGTAATTCCTTAGGTATCTTTAATTTTTGAGGTTGTATTGTAGTTTTTGGTCTAACGTTGTATGTATTCTTAGGTTTGTACTATAAGAGAGCTTGTTGGTTACTTCCTCGTTTTGAATTCACTTACCTCAAGTTTATCTACTCCTAAAGATTCGGGAGCACTTGCACTATGAAAGTGTTTGAATCTACTAAGTCCCTGCACCGTTGCACTCTCATCAAGGGCAGAAGCAGCGGATGGGGATCTCTTTGTTTCTCTCATTTTTCTTGTTGTTGTTTTTATGAAAAATGTAGTTAATTCGAGCGCCAAATCTAATTTTAAAAAAATGAAGAGAAAACGTCAAGTAAAATCTACAGACGATGAAAAATCAAATCGAAAAACACAATCTTCATCAACACTAACAGATCATGACAAGAATATTCACACTACTTCAAAAGCGTCATCATCTGATTCTCTTGTAACATCGACGACATCAACATCTAAAAAGAAGTCAACATCATCCCGAGGAGAAGGAAGGAAAAAAGGTGTCGTACAAAGTAAAAGTTTATTCAATTTTTCACAAGCTCCTGGTTGGAATGAACAGGAAAATAGAATACTTCGTCTTGGTATAATGAAATTTGGAGTTGGAAGTTGGAGTACAATTGGTAGAGCTGGAATTTTACCTGGTAAAAACTTTGCTCAACTGTACATTCAAACTCAAAGAATGTTGGGTGTGCAAAGTCTTGCTCAATTCAATGGAATTAGATTGGATACCGATAGAGTGAGAACTGATTTTGAGAAATTGGCAGAAAAAGTGAACAGTAAATCAGGTGACAATGGTGGGTTGAGTATAAAGAATGGATTAATTGTTAATGCACATGGTGCAAATCCTACAAAGGAATCAATCAAACAAAAAAGAGAACACAACAGAAAGAAATATGAGCTCGATGAAGATGAAGTGGCCGACCTTGTTGATGAAGAAGAGTTGTACTCTCTAAAAAGGAGTGTACGCCTCGAATTTACAAAACATTTGAGGAAATTTCTCAATCAAGATAATGAAAACGAATCTACAAATGATCTCTCAGAATTAACATCATCTCTAGAAACAATAGATGATGATCTTAAGGAGTGTAAAGACGAATTGGATGATTTGATGGATACATTCTTTGGTCAGGATGATTGAAATTTTGACTGCTCTTAATTATGACAGTCAAATTGTAATAAGAAATAATCTATGATAATTACACTTTACCTAGAACTTTTATTGAAATAATGGTAATGGTAGTATTTTACATTGGATCACGAATTAATGCTTCTTGATAGATGATTTTCTGTTCTTTAACTTTCCTAAGAGTTTTTGAGCAGCCAAAACAGCTTCTACAGTAATCTTAAATTTACGTCTAGCATTAAACTTCCTCAATTCATCAATAATTTCTGGTCTGTGATTCTTATTAGTAGACAATTTCTTAATCCATGGATGGCTCAATGTTTGATCTGGAGTAAATCTCTTCTTTGGATTTACGACCAACAAGTGTCGGATCAAATCCTTAGCACTGTCACTGACCTTGTCCCAGTAAGGGGATGGGAAATCATAGTCTCCATTAATAATTTGTTCGAACAGTTCTGGAGTATTTTCACTGTAAAATGGTGGGAAACCACACAAACTATTTTGATAGAATTATTATTAGGGTGAATTCATTGAAAGTCCCACTAAACTTACAGTATATACAAAATAACACCAATAGACCACATATCTACAGAGGCATCATAACCAGTATTTTGAAGGACTTCGGGGGCAACATAGTTTGGTGTACCACAAGCAGTCTTTAACAAAAAGTCACCATCGGCAATTTTTGCCAAACCAAAGTCAGTGATTTTGATATCACTGTCATTTCCATCAGAAGAGTAAATTAAATTTTCTGGTTTCAAATCTCTGTGGACAACACCACAAGAGTGCAAGTATTTGATTGAGGAAACTATCTTTCTAATTAATTCAGCAGCAACATCTTCAGAGTAACCTTCTGGGTACTTATTCACAATTCTGTCGAAAAGCTCACCTCCTGTTAGCCTATTATTGTTTGGGTATAAAATTAAAGATAAATGATAAGGTAAATGGTTCAAAACTATAACATACAATTCCATGACAAGGTAAACCTTCATACCGTTTTCATAAACATCAATTAATTCTACAATATTTTGATCGTTTACGCTCTTTAAAATTGAAACTTCTGTTTTTAATGAATCCTTATTTACTTCCAAGTTTGTTTTATCGATAATCTTGACGGCAACTTTTCTACCATCATTCTTTTGGGCGGCTTCTCTGACGATGGAGAAGGTACCACTAACATTTTGTTATTATTGATGATCATTGTATTTTGAATTGTTGTAGTATCAATTAGAAGATAAGGGTTTTGTTGTATTGAAAAAAGATGTTCTTATTACAGACTTCCTATACAAAAGCAATTAACCTACCTTCCCAAAACCTTGCCGAATTCAAGGTCCTTCTTAATATCGTGGGTCTTTGCGTCAGTGAAAAAGTGGTTTTCATCAGCCATTTTTTTCTTGTTTTGTTTAATACATAACTACGGTTGTTTCTAAGGTTTAGAGAGAAATCCGTGATTGGTGTTGACCTTTAGCGCGTCAGTGCATTCTCACCTGATTACGAAAAAACGAAAGAGATAGAGAGATGAAAGACCATTATGTCATGTTATGTTGCTGTTATTGGATTTTAAGTCAACTTTGAACCTTTTTAAATATTTAATAAAGCATTGTAATCGCATAGTTTTATTTAGTTTGAATGGAATAAGAATTTGTTGAATAAGGCTTCCTCCAGTTAGGTTGAAGGCACTGTACAGCTCATTCAATTACAAAGTCACTTCCATGGATTATTATGAGGGCTCACTACTAACAAAGAACATGGATGCTCTTTATCTTGATTTCTGACCCATGTCATGTTGAGCAGCACAAGAACACATGGGCCAATAATATTGTAGATTAGTTGAATTTCATCTGCTGCAAGAAACAGTTATTTGTCACAATGGTTGAATATACCTAGGTGGTTATTGAATGTTTGGTCCAAACAACAAGTCTCTTGTGAAAGAAATATCGGTAGATGAGATGTGGATATTTCTATCTTTTTGAAGAAGTGGTTTGAGTCTTGTTTCAATAGATTTAGCTTCTCCTTTTTTAATACCAATATCCAATAAATCTTGAATTGTCACATAGATTAAACATTGTCCATCCCAATCATTTTGTAAAAACTTTTCTGGAGCATCCTCATACTTGTAAGATTTAGCCCATTCAACTAAATCTTCCTTTGTCCATTCACTAATGTTCTTTTCAGAGAATTGTCCTGTTGATTTTCGAAGGCCAAAATGTAAGGAAGCAGAAGATAACGACGATCGTCGATCAGGTGCATGTTTTTGAGGTTGTTGAGAGGCAACAGTGGAAAACATTTGTTTTTGAAAGGGCAATAATAACAAGTGTTGTTGAAAGAAGAAGAATTGGAGCGGACACAAGTTCAGTGGATTTCAGTCGATCCAAAATAGTCATACCACAGAGACAGAATGGAAAATGTTGCAAACAATTGATGTGATGGTTGAAGGAATGAGTAATATATTTGTGTCAGCACTCGATATGAACCCATACATCTACTTACTTTTATCTTGAACAAAGGATGCTACACTCTTGCTAACATCTGTACTTCCTTCTGTGAGTTTTTTAAACATTTCTTATCAATATGTGTTGGAAAAGAGTAAAATTATGATGATGATAATCAACCACAATAATATTGATGATATGATGATGCTATTAAATAGTAATTAATTATTATCACGATTGTGATGGAGTGGCTTCGCGGTAATCTTCGCGCAGAGGTTACCTGTGGACAGAATAAGATTTTTTTAAAAATTAAAATTGTATTTTGTTATTGTGTTTTGTCTCTAGGGCATGATACAAACTTTGAAATTCTTCTTCATATCTGTGATGATATGAAGCTAACGTTGAGGTAGTGAATGTAGCCAAGGAATACTCTTTTAATCGTTCTTCTGATTGATAAAAATAGAGGCTTCTTACTTCAAACAATAACAAGAAGAGCGAAAAGTAAAAAATGCCCCTACGTGATAGAGTTTCAAATTTCCTAGAGTTGGTCAAGAAGGGTTCCACTTCATCATCGGAAACTCAAAACAACAACAACAGCAAGGAGAATCAGCAAGAGAACAAAAAGAGAAAGAATATTTCTGATAATAGTTCAAAGGAAGAGGAGGAACATACTCAACTGGAAATTGTTCAAGAAAGCAAAAAGAGAAAAACCAATGAAAAAGTTCAATCAACTACACCACTGACTCCTTTTCAGAAGAAAGTTTCTCGAATTGAAAAACAAACCAAAGTTTTCGGAAGTGACACAAAGGCTATTTTAAATTTCCATTTGAAGGATTTGAAAAAGAAATTCCTCACTCTCAATGATTTACAAGCTTTAATGTTGTGGTCATTGATGGGTCACTCATGCACAACAGCAAAGAAAAAGAATAATGATAATGAAATTTATGAAGCTGTATTATTTACACCAAGGTGGATTCATATAATGAATATGGGATTAATTGACAAGGTTGTAATTGTTCATTTGGATTCAATGAGTAAGGAAGTTTTTGAAAAGTATCAAAAATCAATGCCAAATCTTGCAAAATCAATGGAACGATACATTTTAGCAGATGGAATACCTTCAAAGAGGACACCATTTCTTTTGGTCAATCCTCCATGGACCAAGGATCAGGCCAACATGCTCATGATTACAGAACACAGGACAGCCAATTATTGGAAAAAGACCTTCCTTCATAGGTTGTTTAAGAGAGGAATTTCTTTCTGTAAGGAAAAAACAACCAAAAAGACATCAAGTTCTTATCAAACCTCATCTAACAAGCCATTCAGTTTTGCTACCGTATCAGGTACTTTGAATGTTTTGGAAAATTCTTCAAAAAAGAATACTAAGATACGCATTGAAGAGGAAACAATAGAAATAACCGAAAAATTAGAGGTAACTCTGAGAGATGACATTGTACAGGAGGATAAGGAAGAACAAGTTGATAATAACGAGAATGAAAATGATCAACCAAAGAATGGTTCGAGTAAGGAAACCACCCTCAATGATTTATTACTCTCCCAGGAGGAATTATCAGAAAATAATTATCCAATATTTAAAGATCCTACCGAGCTTGAAAGTTCAGGTTATGTTTGCACCTCCAATTGGAAGACTCCTGCTAAAAAGTATACACTTCTAGCTCTCGATTGTGAAATGTGTCTGACCAAGAAGGGAGATGAACTCACTCGTGTAACATTTGTGGATGAGCAAGGAACTGTAGTATACGATAAATTGGTAAAGCCTCACGAACAAATTATTGACTATAGAACTATGTTCAGTGGAATTACCAAGGAAATGCTGGAAAATGTGGAAACTAGACTTGAAGATGTTCACAAAGAGGTTCAGGAATTCATATCTGAGGATACTATTCTTGTGGGGCACTCTCTTGAAAATGATTTAATTTGCCTGAAAATCGCTCACAAACGAGTTATTGATACAGCAGTCATTTTCATTAATGCTTCAACTCTTGGAACAAAATATAAGCAATCCCTCAAGCATTTAACAAGAAAATATCTCTCCCGAGAAATTCAAGTCAATAGCATTGATAAGATTGGACATGATAGCTCTGAAGATGCCACAGCAGCTCTAGATTTGGTAAAAGTAGTTCTCAAGGAGGGTATCGAATATGTACATAAGAGAGAAAGGAGAGGAACCGATTTTAAGGGACAACAGGAAAATGTTTTTGAATTTTTGAGTAATGGAGAAAAGAGGTCGGTCATGGTTGATAGACCTTACAACCTTAATGGTATTGTTTCAGGATCCCTCTCAGATGCTATACCTTGCCACAGTGATGAGGACGTTTTCCAAAAGTCTAAAAAGTTTGTTGCCAATTCAGAATATGATTTGGTGTTTACACACTTTTCAGATTTGGGAACCTATTACGAGAAGAATGATTTTGATCCAATTCAAGATAAGGATCATCCTGAAGGAAAAAAACACGATGAAAATATCAGAGCGATACTAAGCAATCTCGACAATCATTTCAAAGAGCTCTTCCAAAGTGCTTCTAACAATTCTCTCTTCATTGTCACCACAGGACATGGAAATATTTCTCGATTGGAAAGGGAATTCAAAAAGGAAGACAAACAGAAAAGAGCAAAGGAAATTATTAACATGATTGAAAATTGTGGAGGAATATCTTTCATTTCAATGAAAGAGTAATCTTTTCATTTCCTCAATAGTTCCCAACACTAACTTCACCTTCATAAACATAAATCAATATTGAAAAGTGATTGACAATCAAATAACAATAAAAAATGTCTGATGAAGGTAATTGATAATTTCAATCCGATTCTAATATACTCCTTTTCATTCAAGTAGAAGATTTAGCATACGATACTTACAACGAAGGAGCCAAGAATTTTTCCTCTGGAAATTATGAGCAAGCTATTGCTTCATTTACCACTTGTCTCTCTCACATTAAAGAGTGGTACTATATAATGGTTATTGGAGTTAAAGCACACCTTTCACGTGGATTAGCCTATTCCAACTTGTCGTAGGTATTGCTATTGTTATTGTTGTTGTGATCACTAATTGTCAATGAAAGAAAACATCAAGAGGCTATTCAAGATTTCGAACAAGTTGATTCACTCACTGAAAAATACATTTCCCAATTAGAAGATCTCTCTGATAAGCTTCCAGTCCTCCTCACCCAAGTCAAATCGTGGTACTTGAAAGGAGTGAGTGAGAGAAGCTTGAAAAATCATGAAAATTCACTCAAATCTTTGGATAAGGCAATTAAATTGGGAAAGGAATATAACAAACTTGTTACTGAATCAAATCAAAAACATCCAATTCACAACTATTACATGACTCGTGGTTTGATATTTAACGATCAGAAGAATTATGAAAAGTCCACAAAGAATTTCAGAAAATTCATCAAGTTGTGTCCAGAGGAGGGAAATAATAACATGGAATTGTTTATAGCCAACCATAATTTGGGAATTGGATTGGAGAAGTTGGACAAGGAGGATGAAGCTTTTGAGGCCTATTCAGAGGCAATTTCTCATTTTGGGAAGGTTTCGGATAAGGAAAAGCAATGGAAAGCTCATTCAGGTTCACTTGATACTTATTACTATCGTGGATTGTTGAGTGAGAAGAAGGAATCATCCATGAAGTGCATTGCTGACTATGACTTTGTATTGAGATATAATCCAAATCACTTGCATGCCCATCAACACAGAGCAGCAGTTCTCTATCACTTGAAAGAATACGAACAAGCAATTGAGAGTTTTACAAAAGTTATTGAACATGACCCAAAGGATTTTACTGCCCTCTTTAATAGAGGCATGTGCTACAAGTTTGTTGGAGAATTGGCCAAGTCAGTGATTGATTTCAATCAGACAACCAAAGTCAATCCAGAATTCTTCAAGGCATATAGTGAGCTTGTCAGAGTTTTGATCAAGTTGGATGAAAAAGATCCACAACGATTGATTCCTCTCTATACAAAGAGTATTGAACTGATTGAGGCTGGAAAGGTGAATAAGGACGACATACCAAATGATCAATCAATTGGTGCCATTTACTTTGAACGTGGTGTTCAACTTGTTAAGGATGAAAAATATCAAGAAGCTATTGATGATTTCACTTCAGCAATTAAGAAAGATGGCAAATTTGTTGATGCCTATTTTAATAGAGCTAATGTTTACAGAAGATTTTTGAAGAAACCTGAAAAGGCATTGTCTGATGCTGAGAAGGTTTGTGAATTGGACGAAACTGATGTAGATGGAATGATGGAAGTTGCAATGTGTTTATACGATTTGGATAAGGTTGAGGATGCCAAGAAACAATTCGAAAGAGTTTTGAAAACTAAACCAGATCATGAACCAGCAAGAAGATATCTCGATTATTTGAATGACGATACAGAGGAATAAAAATACATTTCCATGTTGTTTATAAATATTCACATGTGAACCTCAAAATCTTTTCGAAAAGGTGTTGTGAAAATTAACAATTTCTTCATACATCATTCTCTTAATTTCAGGAACTTCCCAACTTTCATCAAATCGGTATTCAAAGTCTCTAGTTACAAATCCATTGTTTGCATCCTCATCTTCATCCATGTGATTGGCCATACTGTCGAGATATGGCTGTCTCAAAGAATCAGATACTGTAATTCTCTTTTCTGGAGAGAATTCAAGCATCTTTTCTAAAAGATCTAAAGCTTCTGGGTTTGCATCAGGGAATAACTTCTTAAAGTCCTTTCTCTTTCTGTATGGTTGATTACTCATGTATACTTGAGCCTTGAAACAACCAAAAACATCTTCAGGGAGAGGTGTTCCCAAAATATCCAAAATCTTATCAATTTGGTTGAGGTGACTTTCACCTGGGAATAAAACATGTTGTTTTGGAGTGGACAAAAGCTCAGCAAATACACATCCCAAACTCCAAACATCAATTGGTTTACCTGCCTTGTGATACTTTAACAAGAGTTCTGGAGATCTATACCATCTTGTTGCCACATTGTCTGTTGACATTTTTTCATTCATCATGGCTCTAGAAAGTCCAAAATCACAGAATTTAACTTCATAATCATTATTTACGAGAATATTACTGCTCTTAATGTCACGATGCACAATGTCACAATTGTGCAAGACATCTAAAGCCTTCAACATTTGATATAAAAAGTATTGAATATTCTGTTCACTGAATTTTTGACCAGATTTCAATAATTCTTGCAAGTTACAATCCATATATTCAGTTACAATGTAAATATCTTCAAATTCATCAAAAGATTCTGGAGGAACCAAGTCTAAAATTTCTACTATATTTGGGTGTCCTTTGCAGTGAATTAAAATTTTAATTTCTCTCATAATTCTCTTTTGGAAGAACTTTTCCTTCTTGAAAACAGCTTCAATCTTCTTAATAGCCACTTTTCTATTCATCAACTTATCAACAGCACTAATAACAATACCATATGCACCTTTACCGACACATTCAATAGGTTCGTATCTCACAGGCAATAAAAATTGAACACCTTCAATATAATGTTCAACTTGGGGTGAGTCACTGGCCAAAGGATGATTTTCCAAAGTGTCAACGTAAAATTCTTCCTCATCTCTCATACTACTATTATTGACAGCAGAAGTATTCATTAAATCGTCATGTTGTTGATTGACTGGTTGTTGTCCATAGAAAAAGGTGTTGTTTGGAGAACAATCATCTGGTTTTTGTTGTACAATAGAGGCCAAGACTGTTGAAGGTGAGTAAATATTGTTGGTATCATTAGCTGCTGCCTGACTTTGATTTGATGAAACAGAAGCTGGAGCAGTATAATATTCATCTTCTTCTTCCTCTCCGTTGTCTTCATAGTCGTAATAGGCTTCTTGATGTTTTTGAATTATTTCCTTGTCATGTTTAAAGGTCGTAATATATTGTTGTTGCCTATTTTCCATTGAAGCAGAAAGTTTTTGCTCTTGTTGTTGAATATTCTTATTACCAGTTGGAATGGGTGAGGTATGAACATTAACCATTTTCAATTTTATAATTCTTATTTACAAATATTCCGATTTTTAATTCCTCTTTTCTAAAATACAATTAAATGTTCGCAACAATACACTTTCTTGTTACTATTACTCTTGTTACTGTTGTTGTTGTTTAATACTATCAATATATATTTGATGATAATTACTACGTGGGCGACTAATAATAAATTCGATACTAAAAAAACTTTGCGCCTTTTCTCTGCTTTTTTTTTAAACTTGAAAAAAAAAACAAGTTGCCTTTTGCGAGTTGAGGGCTTGAGATTTCTTCCCGCTAAAATCTTTTAAAACTGTGATCAAGAAAAAGCAAGCACCACAGGTAGTATTACAAATTATTGGACAGGCTCAATTGATTGTGATGAAGATTTCAAGCCATGATGATGAGATGGTACTGTAATGATTGTGGCTGTTCGGGTGTGGAACTGATTTTTGTTCGAATAGTCATGATGGAAAATCATAAATATTGGAAAATAATTAGGACATTATTGAATATTTAATTAATTAATGATAGGAGAAGATGAAATAATTTATTGTTGATTTAAATCACTTGGAGAAGAAGTATCACCAACATTTTCATTGGATGATTCGTAAGATTGATCAATTCCCATTTGTTTTTCTGCTAATTTTCTGTAAATACCATTCTCAATGCCAATCAATTCCTTGTGAGTGCCTGATTCTTTGATGTCTCCTTTAACGAGAACGTAAATGACATCACAATTTTGAACTGTTGAAAGTCTGTGAGCTATGGAGATGGAGGTTCTTCCTTTCATTAACATTTCCAAAGCAGCTTGAACAAGAGCTTCAGATTCAGTGTCGAGAGCTGAAGTTGCTTCGTCCAAAAGCAAAATTTTAGGATTTTGTAAGAGAGCTCTTGCAATGGCAACACGTTGCTTTTGGCCACCTGAAAGAGAAACACCTTTTTCACCGAGTAATGTATTGTATCCATTAGGAAGATCCAAAATGAAATTATGACAATTGGCAGCTTTGGCAGCTTGTTCAATATCTTTATCAGTTACATTTTCCAAACCAACTGCATAAGCAATATTTTCCTTAATGGTACAAGCGAACAATACTGGTTCTTGTGTAACAATACCAACTATAGTTTTAAATACTTGATAAGGAATAATTTTTTAAGATACTTACCATTTTTGTGCAACCACTTTGGATCAATTTCCTTAATATCTACACCGTCAATTGAAACAACTCCTTCTTCTGGATCATAGAATCTTTCTAACAAGCCAACAATGGTCGATTTTCCTGATCCTGACGGACCAACCATAGCAATTGATTGACCTGTCTTTACATTAAGTGTAAAATCTTGAAGAATAGTAACATTTGGACGAGATGGATATGAAAATTTGACATTTTTAAATTCAACCAATCCTACATTATCGCTCAAACTCTTTCCACCCTTAAATGGAATGGCTGGTTTTCTTTTCATAACCATAAGTAGAGCTCTGTGACAGCTCAAGGCCTTGAAAATGTCAGGTAACATTTCAAAAACAAATGCCATTGAAAATACACTGTACTTATAGAATAGGTCTAAGGTACAAATATTGGAAATTTAACTTACCTGAAAATTAACAAACCAAAAACTTTTACCAAATCTCCAATGACAATAGTTCCATCTACAACCAGGTTACCTCTGTTGATTGTTAAATTGAGGTTTAAAATTACACTGCTACTTACGCATACCAAAAGGCCAATGAACAGGTACCCCAAATGATGAAGCTTTCAGACCCCAAACTAGCACCTTGTGCGCCAGCTTTTAATATGCCATACAAATGAAGCTTTTTCAAAATGTTAGCGAATTGAGCTTGTTCCTTTTCTTCGCACCCCATACTTTTAACTAGGTTGAATTTTTTAGAACAAATATTGGAATTTCAACTTACCTGTTTTGAATGAGGAGACAACTTCGGTTGCCTTTGAGGCACTCTTTGCGATAGTTTCACCTGATTTAAAACTAATCTTTTCTGTCAATTTTCCCATAACCACACCAATCAAAATCATGAGTGGAGTGGTTGAAATGGTAACGAGAGTCATTTGCCAACTACTGACAAAGGCCAGAATCAACCCAATGAGAATGGTACTAGTGTGTTGCATGACACCAGAAATTTTTCTGGTCCAAGCTTCTTGGATCTTTCCAACATCTTCACTGAGTGCAATTGTCAGGGCACCTGTTTTCTTAATATCAAAGAATGCAACCTCTTGTCTTGTTAATTCATTGAAATAAGCCTGTCTGAGAGAGATTCCAATTCTTTCACTGGCCCACCCATTGAAAAATTGAGATACGAAACTGGAAGCCATACTTCCAATAGCAACTCCTGTAAATTTGAGACAAACATCTGAGATGGCATTTCTCATTATTGTAGCTGATGGCATAACTCCATTCACAGGTTGGAAAATATTGATCAAATCACCGAATATGAATTGAAATATTAACGCCACAACACCATTACCCATAGAGCCCAAGATTCCCAAAATAATGAATATCCATGTCCAAAATCCAAAACACTTAAAGATCAGAAAATGATCATAAAAGTGTAAAGTAGGTCCATTTGGATCTTTTAAAACTTCCTCTGGTTCATTTGATTGCGCGGCTGTTTTTACTGGTATGGATTGTTTTACTTCTTCTGTTGATGAGGGTGACGTTTCAATAAGCTGAATAGCTTTAGGACTGGTTGGTGTGCTCACATTATCTTCACAAATATCAAACACTGCCTCTTCCTTGTGCATTTTCTTTAAGATGATTTTATTCCTTTTGATGAGCTGGAAGGAGTAATAAGGGAATGGAATTTATAATTGTGCACATCTGATTTTGGGCGGAACAGGAAGGGAAACCAAATCGTACGGCCTAACTTGAATTGGATTGTATATTCGAACACTTGTGCTTTATCCTCATGATACAATAGTATAATAGTAAGGATTATTTATTGATTATTGAAATAGTCATCCAATTTCTTGAATATTCCACCATAAAAGTAAGTCTTGGCAATCTTGTATCTTGATTGTAGGGTTTGGTAGGCTCTTAATTCAGTTCTCAACATTTCAATATAATCACAATTATTCATACTACCCATAAATATGCCCTCTCTCACCTTTTTCAAATGATACTCTGCAGCAAATGAAATGTGGAGAAGAATCTCAAAAGGCATTGATTCAAATTTAGGGTTATTAATCGAATTTACAATAGTAGTAGCACTTCTCTCCAAGACATAATCCATCATTGAATTCATTTCCTTAGTTTTTGACAACAGTGCCAATGTACAACCACTCTCCATGACATCATAGTACAAATCCAGAACTGGATTTCCTCCAAAATTATTCTGTTCATACCTCTTACATTCTCTCAATAGATTTTGAAGGAGTGTATTAACCTGTACACAATTCGTAGAGTCAATTAGGTGTGGATTCTTCAAATAATAATCCCAGTCACTACCAAACATACAATCTGAAGTTTTCAAATAGGAGAAGAGTGTTGGGAGTGTCAGCAAAAACCTGTCGAAGGTTCTCTCATGAAGGTTCTTCTTATCCTGAATGTTAAATATGGTCTCCTCCAAGTAGGTGATTGTAATTATTAGATGCTCTCTAATGGAATTCTTTGTTTCTTCCTTTGAGTTCTCAAGAGCTTCTTTAAAGAAGAGTAGAGTTTGAAAGTAAAACTTGGCTGTGTGTAACCTCTCAAACCACAGTTCATAAAAGCACATGTTGAGATAGGTTCCAGCAACCTTCATACTGGTATAGCAATCAAATACTTTGGAAAGATACTCCTTTGCCTGCTTTGCGGATAACTCTGCCTTGTCAATTTGACCCATTTGACACTCACAGGTTGCTTTAATTGAATAATACAGGGCTATCATCTCTTTCATATCTTGTGTTGTGTAAGAGCCGTTACACTTATAAGATTCTAACAAGAATTGTTCCAACTCTGTCCTTGAAACCATGTGATATCCAGACTCTGTGTAATAAACATCCAAAATTGCAACATCTTCATCCTTCAATCTGTTATTGTTAATAAACTTGGCTCTTCTCTTAAAGTTCATACTATAGTTACATGGGATTCCTCTTATTTTACAAGCTTGACATGAAGGTCTGATACGATCACATCGACGATGGTTAGAACGACATGCATCACAAGATATTGGAGCAATGGTTCCATCTGCATTATCACAGTTAGCGTTCTCTTCTGAAGGTTGAGATGTGCCATTTTCTGCTACATTCTCAAGAGCAGTTTGATTTGTTGTAACAGAGTTGTGGTTGCTTCGGCTTCCTCCATGTGTAGTGGCCGGATCGCAGGAAGTGGAACTACTGACAGAGTCGTTCTGGAATGAGGAAGGTATTTGTTGTTGGTTGAAACCATTCTTGTTGTGATGGAGTTGTTGTTGTTGGATATTATTAGGATGTTGATTAATAGAAGTATTGTGATTAGTTATTGATGCTGTTGTTGAAGTAATATATTGAGGCTGAGTCTGAAGAGGTTGTAATTGTGGAATAAAAGTACAGTTATTTGCAAAGGTTACCGGCTGAAAATTGTTAGGATTGAAGAACAAATTCTCATCCGATAAGTGGAAATCGAGCACTAGGAAGGGATTCATTGATTTTTTTTCAAATGGTTGATTTAATAAGGAAGGTAAACAAACCATTTAAAAGCCTCCACACTTTTGATTAAGGCAGATGAAAGAGTTTCAATCTTGGAAATAATCATTGATCAATGGTGATAAGGGATCGGTTGTACAGGTTTCAGGATGAAATTTTAATTGGAGGAAAGTCCTTCGCCCCAAAACAAAACACTTAACTCAATTGGTTGTATGGTTATATTTTTATTATAGAGATTAAGGAACTGTAGTCAATTGGATAATTTACGCTTTATTACAGAAGTATAAATCCACTTGTTGGAATACTCCCCCATAATAGTAAAAATTGGCTATTTTAAATCTGGATTGAAGAGATTTGTATGCATTGAGTGTATCTCGAAGCATTTCAACATAATTCATCGAGTCTCTTGATAAAACACCTTGTAGAATCCTTTTCAAGTGATGCTCTGCAGCAAATGAAAGATAAATGATCACTTCAAATGGAGCAGATTCAAAATTTGGATTCTTAATTGACTTGACAATTCTCTTTGCACTTGATTCAATGGTATACTCAATCATGGGCGTTTTTTCAGAGCATTTGGATAACAGAGCCAATGTTATCCCACTTTCCAAAAAGTCGTACAGTAAAGTGAGATTTTCTGATCGTCCCTTTGTATCTTCTTCATACTTTTTACAATCCCTCAAGAGTGTCAATATCAGCATATGAACTTGCATACAATTTGATGAATTGATAAGGTGAGGATTCTTTAGAATGTGGTTCCATTCATTAATGAGCGCTTGCCCAGTTCTATAATACGAAAAGAGAGTTGGTAAATTTACAAGAAACCTTTCAAACAATAAATGATGAAGATTGTTAACATCAGCATTGAATAGAGTATACTCCAATAACTTGACTGAGATATTGAGGTCATCTTTCAATAATTTGTACTCATACTGTCCTTCCGATGCATTCTCAAAGTATGGTTTGAAGGTCATAACCTTTGCAAAATACAATTTTGCAATATCAAATCTATCATTCCACAATTCAAGCAAGCACATATTAAGGTAGCTTCCAGCAATCGCCAAGTTTGTACTTGAAAGTTTGACAAGATTCTCCATTGCCTTCATTCCCGAGATTTCATATTTGTCCATTCGTCCCATCTGGAGTTCACAAGTTGCCTTGATGGAATAATACAAGGTCATCATTTCTATCATTTCCAGAGTGTTGGCCTTTGAGGAATTGGATGATGAATCTTGTAAGAAACGTTCAAGCTCTTGCCTTGCGATCACATGAAGAAACATGGATGAACTGTAGTAACAATTCAATATTTCAGAGTCTTCTTCAGTGAGACAACATCCATCACTTTGATTATTTAATGTATTATTTCTAATATTGGTCATAGTATTACAAGGGGAGCAATTTCCGCCATTATTATTATTAGTATTACATAAAGATTGTTCTTCTTTTAAACAAGTTGGTGAATCACCACCAACAACTGCCTGTAGAGTAGTATGTTCATCATTGGCCTTGGTAACATGCACCTGATCAAAATACTTTGATTCCGTACCATGTAAGGAAAATCTATGAGGCAAATGGAAATCAAGCAAGGCAAATGGATTCATTTTCTTTTTCATGAGAGCACAATTATAGATTGCCCTTCTCCTCTTTGTGAGGATATGAATATTCTACCTCTCCTATTATTGATTGAGGTTCCAGCTGACAAAAAGATTGACCTCTTCCTCGGGCTAGGATTAGCATTGAAAATAAGAAATTTGGGTAAATATATTAAGGGCAGATTTAGTACAATCCGAATGGAAATAATAGCCAATATTGAATGGAAGGGAGAATCCAGCAAACGGAAGAAGGCGGGTCCTCTTGAGGTTATATCCAATGAGCATATCAATTTAAATTCAATACAAAGATGATTAAGCAGCTTGACATGTCAGATAAGTCAACACGTTGAAAACAATGAACAAATAGCATTGATTTTATGTTGGTAAATTACTCATTCTCTAATGTTTGCTCACATCAATTAAGATACCATTGATTACTATGATCATCAATTGGGTAATATTCTTGAAAAGGTGCTTGCCATTACAAAAATACAAAACACTCTTGCAAAATTTATTCTCGATTTGCGTGTCTGATTGATGAAAACTTTTAAAATGTATTCATGGTGGTGATTTATTCGATGCATTGAACCTATTATCGATGATTACATTTCTCCTTGTTGAGAATATAAACATATGAATTATTTGACATTTCTCAGATAAATTGAATTTAACTTGAAACCCTGGGATAAATATTGGGTAACATCTTGTCCCTTTTTGTGTGAAAATTAACATTTAGATTGAGCGTTTTTTTCCTTTTCATCAAACCTACACAAATTAATGTTGTAATCTCTTCCCATTTTGCAAGATTCAGACATCGATTTTGGAACTTCACAGTCATGGATGTTGTAAGCACAACATGGAAAATACTCACACAAACGAGGAAACCTTCTTGATTCGTTCAACCTTGTACTACTCTTCCAACAAAAAAAAACATGGAGGTTTCGAATATTGAAACGCCCCAACAACAACAAGTAGAACACAATGCAGAAAGAACATTGCATGCAAAACGTATATCTGGTACTGTACCAGATACCTTCGAGGAACCATCAACCACAGTTCCAATCACTGAGAAAGGACACAAATCCAAAATAACTTCTCAATCCATAATGAACAAATCCTTGTTTAATAGTTTCTTTCCAATAAGAATCTTGGAGAAAATACCTCTCATCATTAAATTGGCCCTCATTATTGCATTTTGCTTGATTCCTATGGCAGTATTTGGTGCCTTACTGATTAATTCTGCTGCGGTCAACTTGAACCATGCGAATGAGATTAAAAAACTATCAAGAGTGACAATGCATCTCTCAGAACTTGGTGATTGTTTGCAAAATGAAAGAGGAATCACATCTCTTTATCTAGGTTCTCATAAGAGGCAGTATACAATTGAATTAGCTGAAGCAAGAAATCGAACTGACAATGCTATCGAAAGGTTCTTCGCACTTTCGGTAAGCCCAAACGATATTTTGATTAATGAACAGTGGAAAAGGACGTGGTATTTGTTTGAGGATTATTTGGGAAAGGTCATTGGTTATTCGAAAGGTGTTGGAGAGTGGAGAATGAAAGTGGAGAATGTTACGAACGAAACCTTTTTACCAACAATCCAATACATCAACGATTGGGATTCTTTGATCAATGATATGATTAGAGTTGTAACAAGTCAAAGTTTGGATCCAACTTTTGCAATAATTCACAATTCATTCAACTTACTTTCCGCAGCTAGGGAATATCGAGGAATTAGAAGAATTTATGGAACATTTGGATTTATGAATGGAAGTTTGTCTCAAGCTTCGATTGATTCATTCAAAGAAGCAGTCATTAAAGTAAGTAATTTTGAATATTGTGGTGTAAGAAAAACAACTTTTACCAAAATCTTTAAATGTATTATAGGGAATCTTGGTTCGACACTTATTCTCTCTTCAGGCATCCAATGAAATTTACACAGAATTCCTTACAAATATTCTCAATGATACTCAGCAAAATATCTGTCAGAGTATGGAAGATTATGTCTTGGATAATTATCAAAATTTAACAAAGTATACACTTGAAGAATGGTTTTTTAACATGACTCTGTGCATGAATTCTTTTAGGGATTGTGGAAGATCGAATGAGATTGGTCTTATTAGACTATTCGAATCAAATTGGTTTGAATGCTACCGATTCATTAATTGCATTTACCATTGTTATAGTAATTGTGGTTCTTGTGGCAGCATTGGTGGCGTTGCTATTTTCGAAAACTATTCTAGGACCTTGGAAGAAAATGTTGCGTCTCCAAGAGGATATGGTTTACAAATTCGTGCCACGAGAATTCATGTCCATTATCAATAAGCAGAAGGTGACAGATTTGCATCATGGTGATTTCTTTGAGAAGGAGTTGGATATTATGTTTGTTGATATTCGAAATTATACTTCAATGAGTGAGAGGCTACCAACTGATCAAATGTTCAAATTATTGAATCGATATTTGGCTTTGGTTGGTCCGATTGTGAGGAGAAATTGTGGATATATTGATAAATATATGGGTATGTTCATTCGAGAATTTAGAAATTTATGAACGAACTTTATTAAGGTGATGGATTTATTGCCCTATTTACAGAGCCAGGCCATGCACTGAAAGCATCGATTGAAATTCAAAATTGTGTTCTGGTTTTTAATGAGAGTGTGTCACCAATCGTTGGTCCTATTTCAATAGGATGTGGAATTGTCAGAGGACGATGTGCAGTTGGCTTGATTGGAGAGTCAAAGAGAATGGATCCAACCATAGTTGGGGATGCAGTCAATTTATCTGCTCGATTAGAATCTCTGACGAAATATTACGATGCCAAGATTCTAGTATCGAAAAGTGTAACTGATTCTTGTTCACCGATTTTTCTGGGAGAGGGAGGGAGTTGTCGATCGATTGGGAAAATCTGTGTAGTGGGTAAGAGAAATTACGTAGAAATTATGGAAATTATACCTTTTGAAAATTGTAAGAAACGGTCAACTAAAGAAATGTTTGAGAAAGCTATTTCCCACTTATTTTGCCGAGATAGGTTTGATCCTATTTCTGCAGAGCAACTACTAGAACAAGTTGCTAGCATTGATCCAGACGATAGGATTTGTAAAATGAGATTATTATTGGCACAGTCATTGGTTGTTGACTGCTCACGTTGGGATTTTGTTGATACTCCAAACACCAAATAATCCAACATTCCAAGTATTGAATTATCAGAAAGTTCTGGGAAGACTTGGAAATGGTTTATTTTTCTTTCAATTCTTTCAGTCTCCTTCTTGCATATGATCTAGCTGTTCTATCTTTCTTCCTCTGATTGAGTAGGAGGAGAATAAGTTCTGGAGAAAGGAAATCAGAATTCTTTCTCTTACTACTGATGGCCTCTTGGAGTGAAAGCAGGATGAATGAATCTGTAGAGCTGCTGCTACTTGCTATGGAAATAGAATCACTATCATCCAATGATGGCATTGAGACAGACGATGGCATGTTCAAATTTGGTGATTGAGGTGCCAATCGTTGATAGAGACTTGTTAAATACTTATCATCAACTCTTTCTCCAATAAGATTCTCATATAAATTAATCAAAATATCTGTTTCGTCATTATAGATCAATATTAAAATGTCCAATTCTCGTGATTGTTGATCGAGGAATTTTGAATCCAAACCTTCTCCTGAAGCATTGAATAAATCCTTGAGTCCATCCAAACATAATTGAACAGTTACTTTCTGGGATGATTCAAAGGTAGGAAAATGTGATGGAACTGGTGATGTATTTGGAGAGAATGGTGTTGCACCATCCATACCAGTAATAGGAGAAAGTAATTCAGAGGCGTTCAGTGGACTCTTTTGCTTGTATCCTAAGAGTTTGTTTCTTACTAATTTTTGTACATAGATTACATATAAGTGTCGTAGAACCTCGTGTAACAATTCCAAGTAGAGATTGTCTGACAAATGCATAAAAAACCTATCCAAAGAGGACAGGAAAATGAACAATTTTTCTTGAGGTGAACCATTGGATGCAATGTTAAAAATTGCCTCAAATCTCTGTTCATTCATATTATACAACCAGTCAGCAATAAAGAAGGCCATATCTGTAGTGACCATTCTTATCTCATTTGTGATGGATTTTACGCTTGGAAAATCATAAACTTGAATCAACTTTTCTTGGAGTATATTAATGTTGAACTGATCAGATTCTTCCTCTGGATTAACCTTTCTGTCATAGTCTTCCAACAGTTGATCACATACTGAACTGTTAAATTGTTGCAGGATATCTTTGGCATACATGAAAAGTCCATTGACATTGTTGAAGGCAATACATGCTAAACGTATTCTGTCATGGACATTTCCCTGCACTTTGGATAATTCATATTTACATCTATTGAGCATTAATTGTAAATATTCGGAAATGGTTGGTCTAATAGCTTCAAAATGCAGAGTTAAAAAACTCAAATACTTGTCATTTCCATTTCTAATAAGAGTGTCCAAATTGTAAATCATGTGAATTGGTTTGAGACTTGCATTAGCCATATCTATACAGGAGAATGTATAAAGGACTGTCTTGTCGATTGGTTTATCTAGTGTGTCCATACTCATGACCTTTGAGTAAAAATCTTTCAGTCTGTTTGGAGTAGCAACTGTAATGCACATACTCACAATTTCATAGAAAGATTCAATTTCAAAATCTTTTACACATGGCGACAGTTCTTGAAGAATTCTGTACTTGGTCACAAAGTGGGACACCAACTTATTCAGAACACCCAAATTCAAGTCGTTAAAGTAAACTCTCAAAAACTTATTTTTCTTTGCTTGTTCCATACATGCCTGTTGATATTTGAGAGCTTCCTGACAGAATGCCTTAACTTCCACTGATAAATGTTTAGAAAACTCGACTGCTACAATATCTTTAAATTGAGCAGTATTTTCAAAATACTTGTCAAAGTAGGAAGCAAACCTAGAACACAATTGTTTCGTCTCATCTACAACAAATGTTGAGAGATTCATGTCAAAAGATGCTTCCAAAAAGAAACCTCTCAAATGAGGAGATTGTTTCAAATTATTTGATATCATTTCTCTGTTGAGAATGTACAATTTTCTTACAAAATGAGCCAAACATTCTGTTAAAATGGCTGCTATTGTTGGTCTATTATTTACACTATAGTCACCCATTTGTGTTTTGATTTTAAGCCAACCATCAAGACACTTGAGTAGTAATTCTAGTGACTCGAGAGCGTCACTGTCGAAATCATTAGTCACGTATGCAAACGTGTCAACTCCAAAACACCACTTCAACTCGATTATTCTATTTCTGAGGTGGCCAAAAATTAATTCATCCACTTGTTTGTAAATTTGTCTCTTCTCAACTTGGTATTGATTAACATCATTAATTGCTTGTGAAAATAGCTCAATGTTAGCAACTAGATGTGAAAGGCAAAAGTTTGTGTGATCAAAGTTTTCAGCTGCTGCATAAATATTCAGCAAATGCAATGTAAAGAGATCCAACTCGAAATATTGAAGGAAATTTTCCTGAAGTGTTGTATAATTTTCCTCTTTTGAAATATAGTGATTTACCATTTTGGTTGAAAATGCAATACTAATAATTTTCTTTAACATTAAAATCTTCTTGCTCTTGTCTTTGGTTGATTGACTGGAGAGCTCTTTCAGAACTTGCTTCTTATAGGGACGTATTTGATCGTACATTTGTGCCAGAATTCCCATTGTTTTGTAATTTGATGAGGTACTCAAAATCTTTAAATTTTCATTGAGTACTCTCACCATCTCCCTAACCTCTTCCTCAGAAATTGTTTCAGGACTCCATGTTCCACTCCTCTCTTCCATGTATTGAATAAAAGATTTGAGTCTGGATGTTTGTGGACCTCTTTTCACTTCTCCATTTGGTGATGTTGCAGACGCTGATGTTTGCAAGGCATCAAGGGATAATCTGATTGGACCTGGAAGAGAGGAAGCTGACAAGGAGGAACCACTACCTGTCAAATTTACCTGTTGTTGCTGTTGTGGTTGTTGATGTTGTAAAGATGTATTCGTTGTTGTTGAGGAGCCTTTCATTACAGTTTGCAAACGTTTTTGTAATTTAGAGAGAGAATCCCTAGAGGAGCTGACCTGTTGTAGAGGAGGGATGTTTCCATCGTTCGGAGAATTAGTTAAATTGCTGTGTACATGTTGTTGTTGCTCATTAGGTTTCTTCTCATCTATAAATTCCACAAACACATATTGATCCTGTACATAAGAGTCTGCTAGATTGGGTATTGCAACCTCTTCCTTTGGTTTTTTCAGTACATTTCCAACATTGTTGAATAATTGAATCAGTTTCGAGTTACTACCATTATTACCATTAGTATTATTCAAAGAGGAACCCTCCTTCTGAAGATTACTCTTGATAGATGTAAAGTTACTCGTGATTGTTGAAAATATGCCACTCGATATTCTAGAAAGTGTTCCCTGAGTGCTGCTACTACTAGAAGAAGAACTGTTTGTTGGTGTTGAATTTGGTTTTGATGTTGTTTTAGGTGGTGAATTGGTTGCTTGGTTCTTTACAATGGATTGTTGATGTTTTGCTTTCATAATCTTATCCAAACATTCCACAAGTAGAATAATTCGATAAAGTAAATCCTTTCCAACTATTAAAGTAAATTAAATTGTCATTATAATTGATTGACACTTGCAATCATTGAAAATTCCTCTTACCTTGTACTAATTCTGTATTTCCCTGAGATGTTGTTGATGATAATGAAATTGTCGAGCCATTATTATTATTAATGGTAGAAAGTTTAGAATTGATTTTCGAAATAACTTCTCCACATTTAATTAGAGCCTCTCTCGATTTAATATATTCACCATGCTCGTAAAAGTAAAGTCCCCAATTTAATGTTCTTTTAGCAGCCTTTGCGTCTGATGACGATTCAAAGTAGATGAGTGAGAGTGGCTCATTGACCTTGTCTATTACATCTTTATATTGTGGCAAAATTGATTGTTGTTGCTGTTGTTGTTGTGGTTGTCTTGTGGTGGTATTGCTATGGGTTGGAGTGGATGATGATCTTGTTGAACGTGAATGTTGATTCATGTTGTTGTGTTTATTTACTTGGTGATGATGTGATGATGTATATAATATTGGGTAGTGGTTGATGCGGATGATTTAATTATTATTATTATTTATAATATCATGATGTTGGTGATGATGATGTAGTTTTGTGTTCTGTACAAAAAATTGATAATGATGATGTATATGTGTTATAAAACTATACTTCTTAGAGTAATTGTTGTTATTTGTTTGTGGTCGAATTAATTCCGAAATAATCTTTCTCAGGTTGTTGTTGTTGTGGTGATGGAGTTGTGTATTGTTGTTGTTGAAAAGATTGTCCACGACTCTTGGTTTTGTTTTTGTTTAAATTGGGAAAGGAATGATTCAAAGAGAACTCCCAAAATTCTCTCTCAGATTGTTGAGAAGATTATGGTCACACAAAGCACACACTTGCTCTCACAGAAAATCTTCGTTTCTTCTTCTTTTTGCTGCCCAACAGTATTGCTTGTCGATGTTTTTTATCACATGGAATTGAATAATATTTCTAGCTTGGAGAACAAAGCTACCAAATGGTATCTATATGATTTCTAATTGGAAATGGAACCTTAGAAAAATATGTAAAAACAATATTATGGAGCGAAAGGCTCAAAGCTCATTGGACTATAATCTAATGGTCATGTAATATTTGGGGGCTGCTCCTCAAATGATGCAGGGTTGATTAGATATTTAACAATTTTGATTCTAATTAGAGTTGAAGAGCAATGCAATTTATTTAATCTTCAAAGGAATCGTCTGGAATCAAGTCAGTGAGTGAACAGAAAGAGCCACCTCGTTGAGCCATGTAGAAACGATTAAGAGTGGTTTGAAATTCTTTGGGAAGGAGTCCTATTTCTTCCTGCAGGTACAACTTGTCGGCTTGCTCGTCTTCTTTGGTTGAGATTGGGTCTAGGAGAGTATTGGTGAGCATTCGATTAGTTCTCCTCTCGAGATTTCTTCTAAGGAGAAGCAGGGTGATTCCTTTTTCTAAGGGTAATTCATCTACAGCTTCCAGTGCTGTGGAAGCTCTTTGGAAATCATACGAAAACGATACCAAAGAATTAGACCGAAATGACTTTGAAACACCCTGTTTCAGGGTTGAGTGAAGACACTCTGCATCTCGTTCAATCTTAGTGAGATTATCAACAATCTCATTAATAATATCCATTTGTGAAATGACATTACAACAGCACTCCATTTTTCTGTGATGAGAAGGAGTAGTTATATATATTGTCTCTGCCAATAAGGACAGCTTTTTACATTCAGTTCTAATAAACTCAATCTTGACTCGAATAAAACCAGTGACATCATCTGACTTGCCCTTCTTATAATTCAATAGAAAATCTTTAAACATTCTACAAGCACCTATCAAGAGCACTTTTCGTATTTCAAACTGACTTGCCATCTCTGCTGTACTCTTCAAATGATTCTCCACAAACTCTTGCGAATAACACAGATGCGAAAGTGAGGAATTTCTCTTAGATGTATTTGAGTTGGAACCACTCATTGTCGAAGTGGTACTATTAGTTGAATAGTTGCTTTGATTATTTGGAAACTGAGGACTAAACGATGAGGGTGATGAAGGTTGTAAAGAATTGGAACGAAGTGCTCGATTCTGAATAACATAACTCCTCATTGATGTTGTGTCTCCACTATCTGAGAGACTCATGGGTATCAGATCGAAATCATCTGCCCGCGTTCCACTTATTATGATCATAATACTCGTTATTGAATACTTGTTGTTGATGTTCTTCTTCAATTGGATGATGAAGTTAAATGTATTGTTCTTATTCTTTTTTCTTATTAAATTATTTACAAATGATGATAATTGGGAAGATCAAGCGGATAAGGATGAATTGTTGAAGGTTGTCTGTTTTTGAATCAATTCAATCATCCGATGTTATGAATCTTCTTGGTGTCGCCTCTTCTTTTTTGATGCAGCTAACGTCAACGAACGGCTAGAGTTTCAGGTTTCGCGGTTGACCTTTTTTTTTAATTTTTTCAGTAGAGAGATTCCTTAGATATCAATTGTTAGGTGAGGTTGAATACTTTGGGAAAAGGGCGGGAGATTTTGAATTTCATTTTATTAAGGAGGTTTCAATTTTTGGGAGAGACAAGTGACTTGTATTGATGCTGACTTGTGTCATCATTGATTTAAGGATCGTTTCAGAGTTTTGCTTTTGGATTTTTTTTATTGTGAGAGATTAGGGTGAAGTGATTTTTTGTAAATTTTAAAGGTGTATGTCACTAATCATAATGATGTGCGTTTAATGTCACCGTTATTTGAGAGATAATAAGTTTAGATTCAATACTAAATTACTATTAATCAACTTCAGTTATATTCGAGTAAGAAATTGACAGATCAATACTATTCGAAAGATTGCACTGAAATATTCAAATATTAGCTTTTCGAATAGTTTTGATTTCAAACAGAGAGAAAATTTACATTTTTTATTGTACAGACAAGTCAATTTCTTCAGAACGATTCTCTATCTGAAAGTTACTATTCGAAAGTTGATTTTCCATTGACGAGGAACCTTCTTGATTCTTATTTTCAGTTTCCTTGGAAATTAAGAAACTTTGAAGAGCACTTTGATATTCATTCTCTGTGAATGCCATCTTTTTCGTGAGGAAATCTGTCCAGAATGTTTCAGATTTCAAATCTGACATTCTGACAGGATTATAAATGTCAATGTCACATCTATTGATTTTATCCACAAATTCTTCATATCTTTTCTCTATTAACATTAAAATTCCCTGTTCAATATGCAATTCTTTAGTGACAGTTCTAAATTGACTGTTTTGAACTCGCTCAATAACTTTTTCCATCACTGATTGACCAAGTTCATCAATTATTGAAGATCTATAAAACTCCATAGAGTTTCTTCTCTTTGAATCTTGATTTCCAAGAACCATACTACTTGGCCTTTCAATTGCAGAAGCTCCTCTTCTTCTTCCAAATAAGGAATTGTTTCGTTTAGGTTGGATAGGTTGTTCAATAGGTTTCTTCTTATTTCCTCTACATCTACGATGCATTCTTTCTAAATCTCTTTCAAGATCTGATAATTCTCTACCAATTATTTTCAAAATGACAGATTCACAGCTGACATTTCCAAATAATTGTTCATCTTCAATGCTTGTTGGTGAACGCGTGTCATGTATTGTTGAGGCACCTGTCAGATGTAAAACTTCTTGTTTGTAGCTTTCAGAAATCAACAAGGATAATCTGAAAATTTCCAGATTAATCGAATTCAATTCGCTCTTTACAACTTTAAGATCATTTTCAGTGGTTGGAGGTAAACCAGTCGTTTCGACAACTGACATTTGTGCCAAAACATAGGAAACATTCTGAACTTGATGTGGTTTAGCTCTTTCAATCAAAACATCAAGTAAAGCTCTCAAACGTTTACAATTCGAATAAATGACAACTTTCTTCATTTCAAATTCTTTAAATAATTGCTTTCTTCTTTCTTCTCTTGTTGGTTCTCTCACCAAGTTTCTTGGAGATGATGGTTGTTGAGGGCTATTACGAGGAGATGAAGCACCACCATTAATGCCTCTAGGACTTGTACTGCCGTTATTACTTCCATTCGAAACATTGCTGGTTCCTCTCTTTCTGGTGAATGAAAAAGGAGAACTAATTGCTCTGTTTCGTGTATTGTTAGTAGTTGGAGAAGTGTTGGTTGGACTTGTTGGTTGTTGCTGTTGATTGTTGCTGTTTGTGGTTGGAATGGAAATTGATGGAGAACGAAAGTGTCTTTGAGTTTGTTGATTTCTTGGACTCAATGCAAGTGCTGCAATTTGATCATTATCTCGTTGTCTATTTTCTGGAGTTGGTGGTGGCTGATAGATTTGAGTTGTTGGTGGAATAGTTGTTGTAGGTGAGTTGGGAGGAGGTGAATCATTGTTGCTATTATCACTCTTAAAGAAGGGTATTAAATTCTTGAGGACCATTTTGAAAAAGAATTCTTGGTTAAGTGGCCAATTATTGAATGGTTTTGTTGTTTTCGTAGTTTTTTTTTAAAGTGAGGGAAAATGACAGATTGAGTAGTCTTGTTGAGGGTTGTACATTTTATCATCAACGGCAGAGAGTTCATTAAGTGTCATAATGGGAGATGGATCTCTCGCTGTAGATGGCATTATATTACGATGAGGTGTTGTTGTTTTCTTGATGATTGCTGACTTGAAGAAGTAAAAAACTCCAGAAACAATTGACTCTTGTGGTATTGAGGATCTAACAGCGATTATATCTCTCAAAATAGAACATTTCTCATATTGTGAACATCAATTCTTTTATCTTTCGTTAGAAAATATTCGAAATTCCCGGGGGGGGAGATCTCCAGTCTATGGTCCACTCTATTCCTTATTAACATATTAGTTCTCTACAGTTTTCTAACCACCTAAATATGAACCCTATTATTATTAGATTTATTAAAAAAAAATGTCACAACCTAATTACATGGTCAACCCACATATGTGATGGAATTGGTAGAATCAAATACTGATATACTAATTGTCTGCACTAAACCAATAAACAAACTTTCTCTTACTATAATGTCATTCTTATCAACGAAATTAAAATAAGTTTCCGAAGCTGAAAAGAATTGTTTAAAAGTAAAAATGTGGTTAAACATATTGTTCATGTGATGTATCAAGAAAACTATCAACAAATTAAATGAAATTATGTTTGTGAGCGGAGTAGTCAACAACAATCCAATTTTTTAAATTATTTTTTTTAATTACAAAAGCGTCACTGTAGAGACTAAAAATGGTGTTCCCGCCAGGCAGACCTCCAGTGGTTTGTCAGCACTAGATCTCCCCCCGGAAATTCCACAAACTACACATCTGGACTACTCCAAATTGATTGAGCTGAAGGTATAAAATAACCCATACCAACAATTAGACCATCTTTCCAAACACCCTTATATACAGATCCATCTTGCAATGTTAAAACACCTTCTCCTTCCTTTCTTCCATTCTCGTACGTTCCCTCAAAAATACTTCCATCTGAACTTCTAACAATTGCCTGACCATGTTTCTTATCATCCACAAAGTTTCCCTCGTAGCTCGATCCATTGGCATACTCCAAAACCCCATAACCATTGGCATGATCATTCTTCCACTCTCCATCATAAATGTCACCATTTCTATAGACCAGTGATCCCTTTCCATGTTTCTTGGCATTGACAAATTCTCCAACATACTTGTCACCGTGAGAGTAGGTCAGTGTACCCATTCCATGTGGCTTATCAGTTTTCCAGCTTCCTTCATAGACCTCTCCATTGGCATACCTCAGAATACCCTTACCATGCTTTTGATCATTAACAAACTCGCCTTCATATCTATTACCATTTTGAAATTTATATAGACCCTGTCCATTCATTTTGCCATCTTTCCACTCTCCCTCGTAAATACTTCCATCACTATATAGGTACTTTCCAATGCCTTCCATTTTACCAAATGCCCAATCGCCTTATTAGAAAATCAACATGGTTAGTTTCATGAATTGAATTCATCTACTCTACCTTCATATCGTTCAAAGATTGATCCATTCTCTCCAGCATAACTCATTATTCCCTTTCCATGTCTTTGATCATCCACAAACGATCCTTCATATCGATCTCCCTCAGCATAACAATAAATTCCCTCACCATTCATTCTTCCTTCCTTAAATTCTCCATCATATCGATCACCATCGGAATAGTACAGAACGCCTCGTCCACTAATTACTGAATCGGCCCACTCTCCAACATATCGATTTCCATTGGCGTAGAGGAATGTTCCTTTTCCATTAATTTGATCATTTATCCATTCGCCTATTTAATATAATAATTTGATGTAATAATAAGCATTGATGATGGTGAAGAAATTTCCTTACCTTCATAATAAGAACCATCGGAATAGGTAAAGGCTCCTACACCATGCTTTTTTCCTTTCACCCAATCTCCCTAAGCAATACAAGCATTAAGATAAATTATATTAATAATCAATAGTTATAATAGTTATGATGAATGAGTAGAACAACAATATACTCACTTCATATTTCTCTTGATTGGCATAGATCATGGTTCCTTTGCCATGAAAACAGCCATCCTCAATTTCTCCCGAATAAATTGATTTTCCACTCATATCGCTCTGACCTTAACAAACCGATTGTGAATTCACGTTTTATTGCTTCGATGGAAGAATTTTCTTTTTTTTTGATTTGAGAAATTTGAGAAACGATAACAAGGAAATGGCGGGAAAGATTAACCTTAATAATAATTTGAAGAGTTTGTTTACTTAATTTTTAGTGGCAACAAAGTAGAGGGAAGGTGAGGTGTTAGAATTTTCCTCATTGATTTCAATTAGACCCTTTCCAAGACATTTCACATGTTTGAATTGAGCATTGAGTAATTCAGTGGTGATTTCCTGTTGAGTGAACATGCCAAATTTGTTGAGATCAAAGAGAACATGTCTATCAAATATAAAGTTATCACCACTTTCTGCAATGACTCTCTCGACAACGCAATGTTGAGCGTGAACCAACATTCGAATTTCCTTTCTCTCACCCTTATCAGAATCCACTCTATACAACAAGTTACCTTCCCTAATGTAGACATCGAAGGGAACTTGCTCATTTCTTGAAGTGGAAGCAATACCAACATGTCCATCTGTGGCAACATAATTCAATTCCCTCAACTTGGCAAATTTACCTTCCTGATCCAATTTAAAGTTTGTAGTGTTGAAAATTAATTTTCCACCATCATTTAAATGCTCATAGCAATTCTTAACAATCATTTCCAATCCTTCCAAATTCATTGCATAATTTATGGCCTGTCTTATGACAATCAGGTCGAATTTTTCATTATTGACTTTCAAATCTTGCATGGAAGTAACATGTTTTGAAATTCCATTAGAAATCTCCTCTCCAAAATTATCAATGAATTTTTTGTGGGCATAGTTCAACATTTTGTCACTCTGATCGGCGAATGTAATATTCTTGAGTCCTCTCTCGTACATGAGTCGTGAAACTTCACCAGTTCCACAAGCCAAATCCAAGACCTTGACCTTTTCCTTATTTTCAAATTCTCTATCCAAGATATCGATTAAATCTGTAGACTTTTGGAATCTTGCATAGATCATATCGTAGAGGTGAGCAAACTTGAAATAGGCGTGTCCTTCTCCGAGTGCATCAATAGCCTCTTCAATTCTTGAACTGTTAGAGACTGAAATGACACCATGATCTGGTATTTCCACAATCTTTTCATTGTTTGACATTTTTCTAGCTACAGCATCGACATCCTCTTGAGTACCTGGTGAATAGTCAAAATCAGTCTTGTTATCACAACTTGGGAAGATGTGAGCATGTAAAATCAAATTAACCAACGGTCTATTCTCAAATAACCATCCAGCAACATTAGCATTGAGAGAGGCCTTTTGTCTATGAGTTGAATGAACATGCAAAGTTCTTGCTTGGAAATCAACTTTGGAAATGTAGGTAATATCCTTAATACTTGGTTGACTTTTATCACTTCCTCTGGAAGTAATCAAGAAGCCACTATATGGTTCTGGGGCACGCATTGCTACAAATCCAAAATGTGAATTCATATCTGAAATTGTTTCATCCTTAAAATAGCTATCAAATAATCCCAAAGTATATCCTTTTTGGATGTTGGAGAACATGGTCTGAATGGATTCGCCCATAACTTTTTCATAATTAATGTAATCCTTGTGATCAGAGGGAATAACAATTGTTTTGTAGTGTTTGTGGGAGACTCTCTTTTCGACATGAGTAGTCAATGCATTTGGTAGATCTCTCACTGATGTGGAAATGACGCTCTTCTCTGGTGTAATGATGGTAATAATTCTCTTTCCGAAATTAGACATGTCATCCTTTGTGGTTGTGTTAGCAACAGTGAGGTTACAATGATTTCTAATACCAGATTTGTAAGCTGTATCAATAAGTGTTTCAGTAGTGGCTCCAGCAAGCAATTTGAATCCGACAAGAAATACTTTAGGATTCCAGTGTTTCACCAAGGAAATAATCTTTGGCAACTTGACAAGTGTAAGGGTTTGAGTGTCGAGATCAGAGCTAATCTTTCCCTCATGAGCTTGTTGTACACCATAATCACTAACAGCTGCACTCAAAATGACGACGTCAGGATTACATTCAATGGTGGTTTGTTTTAGAACTTCAAGATACTCATCAAAGGTAAAGTAAGGAAGTAAAATCAAGTTTGGATATTTCTTCGAAGGAACTTTTCCATTCTTGCTGTGAATGTAATAAACTAAATGGCCCCTCTTTACAAATTCCTCGGCAATTAAAGCTCCTGTTGTGCCTGTAGAGCTGTTAGTGATATATCTGACTGAATCGATTGGAACAGCAGTTCCTCCAGAGGTGATAACAACCTTGAGTATTTGCTTATTAGGTTTTTCTTCTTCAGTGCTTATAGAACGAATGCTGGTTGTTTCATTTGGAGAGATGGTCCACTTGTGATAGGCAATCTTTAATCTTTCCAGGCCCTCTCTTAAAATATCTTCACTCTCGCAAAGCATAATATTAATGCGAGTCTCCAATCTCGAGCATCCATCCAAGTAGCAGTATCCACTTGGTTCTAACTCTAGCTCAAAATCATTCTTGGAGATTTCAAGTAATTTTTGGATACTTGCAACTCCTTCGTGATTGGAATTGAAAAACCTCAAATAGACAAAAATTCCACTTTCAATATTAGTCCATTCAATCTTTCCACTCCTCTTTTCCTCACCAAATATTTCTTCTAATAATTTAACAGTACATTGAACCCTCTTTTGAACGAACGCTCTCCACTCTGACAGGTACGATACATCTTGCAAAGCATTGGCACAAACTTGCTGACTCAGTGTAGAAGTAAACAAGTCCTGATCAATCTTCTCTCTGTACAATCTTCCACTGAATGATTGATTTCTTGTAATCAGATAACCAACACGAATTCCTGGAGCAAGAATCTTGGAAAATCCGCCAATTAAAGTTGTTTTCTCTGGAAGTATTTCAAAAAGAGTACTAGGCCTCTTCTCGGTGCCATACAGAAAATCATATGGATTATCTTCAATGATGGTCGTTTCAATTATATTCTTCGAAACAAGATTACAAAGGTCAGATTTTTCCCCTTCACTCAAAATATTTCCCGAATTTGGTTGATAATTAGAGCAAAGATAAATTACAATTCTATTTACAGAAGCAGCACTTTGAAAATTTTTAAACTTTTCCAACAATTCATCAATATTCTCAAATGTAATGACATCAATCCAACTCTTTCCCAAACAATACTTTTTAATTAATCTCACCACTCCAAAAAAGCAAGGTTGTTGCAACAAGACAATTGTCTTTCCACTCTCAACTTCACTTCCGAACAAGGTAGCAAATGAAATATTTAATCCCTGTTGAGCCGATGTAGTGATGAAAACATCATCGCTCTTCATCACAATTTTTTGATCATCACTTTCACTCCTTGAATTATTGTACAAATTTGCAATGGAATGTCTAATAAATTCTTCTCCTTTTGGAGTTCCATAATTAAATAAATTATTAACATTCACTTCGGAGAGACTCTTTTCAATCACCCTTTGAAGATTGGAATTGATTGGAAGAGAGCCTGTGGAGAATTTAATGATTGGCATTTTTTTTGATGAAGTCTATTAAAAGATTGTCATTTGGTGATGGAGATTGTGAACTTGGTTTACAATAAACACGTCAAATCAAACTAAGAAGAGTTTCAATGGATTTTACAATTAATAAAAAGAAATTGACCAAATAAGATCATAAGAAAATGTTTCTTGCAGTTATTGAGATTAGATATTGTTGTCCTTTCCAACAAAAAGGACTATTTTCCTTTTCAATACTCAAGATTTCCCATGTTTTCATTGTAACACTTTATTTTTGGCGCCAAAAAAAGATTCAACCAAAACCCAATTTTTTGCTTCACCTTGTTTTCGCTTGCTAAAAGCAAGATTCAAAAACACTTTGCGATTAAAAATAAATCAAAAAAATAACGCGAGACCTAGATACAACCTCTCGCACCCTAACGAATACAAACCGTTAAACTTCCACATCTGCGTATTCAGTCAAGCTTACAAAATGGAATCCCCATTATCCTCTTGTTCATCAACAAGCTCCTCTGTAACATGTTCTTCGATGATGTTGGCTAACGAGTCTATGGATCGCGAGTGGCAAATGATCCATATGGATGAGCAAGCTATCAAGAATGACATGTTATTAAACATTGCAAAGGTAACGTTTCTTATTTCCAGTCGAACTGACCCTGATATTGACTTTGTGCCTGAAAAACTATACAGTAGTTTGAAGTACAAGTTCAAAATTGACGTAGAAACTTGTGGCAATTCCTCCTTTTCAGAAAGCCAAATCTTATTGGCAGACATTGATATTATTGATTCTCAAGGCAGCTCATTATTGGGATCTAAGAATGGTGAACAATCAGGTAAGAAAAAGGAACTCCTTAAAGGAGTAACTCACCTATCCCTTGAAGAGAAGAAGAGAAAGCCAATAATAGCAAAGAAGAGATTGAATCGTAAAGATGAAAAAGATCTTTCCGATTCTGAAATCTGTACAGGTAAGAGTAGAACATTGAGTTGTACTTCCAAGTTTCAATTCAGTGAAGTTGCCTACCATCATCAAAAGGAATTTGTTAATTTCAAAGTCAGTTTATACAGTCTAGAAGGATATTCAGGTAAGACTCCTCTCTTGTGTATGGTAAGTGCTGCTTTTCAGATATATGGAAGAAGGACTACAGAACAAAGAGACGAAGAAGTCAGAAAAAAACGACAATATATGGAAATGAAACAACACCTCTTGTCCACATCCAATCAAGAATGTGAACAACCAATTATGAGTTTAAAGAAAGTTAAACTCGACAATACTTCCAATGATCAAGAAGATTTACTCCAAACCTATGAAAAGGAATTGCAAAATCTCCTCCATATATTCAAGGCCCTTTCTCCTGAAGAGCAATTAGAAGCATACAATAAGACTGTCGTTTCACTCTTAGACATTCCACAAGATATTGCAAATCAAACAGAACCTGCCTCATCTGTATTCAGTGATCCATTCGTGGAGGAGGCTTGTGATTGCATGTATTGGCTCACAGATGACAACTGTCCAAATTGTGCCCATCATAATACCAATAATAATGATCAATTCGATACCCTTTTTGGTAATGAAGAATTTTTGTCAGAAGAAGATTTTAAACTTTCTGACTGTTGTGGCAATTTTGCTCCTTCCAAATCTACTGACTGTAACAATCCACCTCATGACTTTGAAATTGACTTGTTCAACCAAAATGCATTCTCTGCTGACGAATCTGAGCTCTGCTTTTTCTAATAAATTATTTTCTGGTAAAATTGAATAGAGTGGCATTTTTATTTCGATATTCCCATTTTCCCCTTAATTAACAAGCTTAGTTAACAATGGAAATATTTCTTTGTGTACATATTACAAATCTAGCAATCAATAATAAATTAATTTTAATAAAACATTTTAAAAATCAAATTCTGAAAACGAAGACCTGATATCTTTGATGATATTGGCTACTTCCTTTTTCACATTCTTTTGTTTTCTTTCGTGTTGTTTTTGTTCTGACCTACTTTCTCTCATCACTTGTTTGAGGTCTGGAACTGTTAGTAAATTGAATCGTCTGGAATTTTGAAGAGGAAGCAAGTGAGACGTCTCTGGATTTGCATCTGGTTGTGTAATCTCAATAGTACAAGGACACTTTGGCTCAAGTTCTAAATCTCCCAACAAATCCTCGCATCCCTTCAGAATATCCATAATATTAGTACTAATTCCATCATTTTCTCTAAGGTAGGTTGAATTCTTCTCGGCGCTTTTTTTTCCTGCTTTTGAATTATTGAGACTAGTTGCTCTCCTTCTCACCGAATTTTCACTCTTTAACTTTTTCAATGATTTTAATGTTGGCTTTTCGCTCAAAATATCATCCAGTATATCATCACTATCACCAACACTTCGTCGCATTTTGTTTGTTTTCTTTACATCAATACTAGAACTTGGACTGATAGTAGAAGATTTGTCTAAGGTCAGACTATCAATCAGTGATCTCTCCTTTTCATCCATTTTACGAGAAAGAGAGTCATAGAGCAAATTTGGTGCACTAGCAATATTCTTCATTGAAGTCTCCCTCTGAGGTGGTGTATCAAAGAAAATGTCTGGTGATTCCATTGTTGCCGTCAAAGTTTGAGCCCTAGGAGGTGTTGAAATGGAAGCCAACTTCTTTTGGTTCATCATCATATCTACATCTAAGGTCGAAGTGAGAATGAGAGGTTGTTCATCCTCCTGCCTTGATATTTCACTTCCTGTATCACAATCATCCAGCTTGCTTACATTACTATTATTCACAGCATCTCTGTCAAACATTAACTTGGCTCCTACTCGTTTATGGGAACTGATAAGACTAAAACTATCTGTGGAAATTAGCTTATTTGGCATGATGAATGTTGATGGTTCATCTTCTGATTCATAAGCATCGGTATTTGATTTGTTCAAATTTGGAAGAGGTTCCAGGAATAGGGCAGATGAATTTGGCCCGTAATTTTCAGAGTTCGAAATCGAGGCTATAATATTGTTATTGTTGGCGTTTGGTGAGTTTGAAGGGCAGGAAGATGCAGCACCAGCTGTTAAGGAAGAGGTTTTGTTATTGTTGGTTGGGGATGAAGGAATTTCAGGAGAATCATTACTTCTATTCTTGATACTAGTGGTGTTATTATTATTACTCAATGAGGAAAGTTGTTGAGTATTGATATTCTTAGGTGATACAGCAGAGCCTTTGCCTCGTGATTTAGCGAGAGAGTTTAAGGCCTGGGTAGAAGATGTTCTTCTACCAAACTGAATAGGAGAGGTTGCTCTTGTATTAAGTGTCGATGATGTTTCATTGACTCGTAAGGTGTTATTCATAGAGCTATTTTCGAGTGTTTTGTTACTGAGAGAGGATGAATAAGTTGATGAGGAAATGGTTTGAAAGGAATCATTGCTAATTACTTGTCTAATTCCCAATATGTTGTTGGAAGATGATTGGTCTATTGACAAAGTATCAAGGGAAGGAGGAGTGGAAAGGCTATTTGGTTTGTTTGTTACTAAGGGAGGAAGCATGTTTTTTGAATTATGATGATGATTGGTATTATTGTGAGTATTATTTGTTAATCCTTGAGTAAAGCTAATTGAACCCTTTGGTGATTTCAAATGGGTGGGCCGTATTGAAGGCCTTTTTGATGAGAAGGGAAGTGAGGAAATAGACTGTCGATACCCAGCCTCCGTCTTATCCTCATCATGGGTTATTGTTGAGTTCGAAATGGATGAATCTGCATTGCTATTGCCAATCTTAATATTGGGAAGTAAATTGTTTGAGGAAGTGGGCGGTAGAATACTACGAGAATTGCCCATTTTTTTTAACTGAGCAAAAACTCGACTATGCAAGTTTGGCAGTTGGTAAATGTGGATCCCTTCTTTTAATATGAGGAGGGTTGTATAACGGCCTTATTAGGATGGTGTGTTCTTTTTTACCAAACGCAACCAGAATCTAAGTTGATGATTCATCTTCGGATATTTTATTGCCCAATGACTTGTTTTGAATTTTGGCTGACGGTATCTTGATGAATGTTTGCATTGAAGGAAATTTTAAAACCCTTAGACGAGCTTATCTCTCTCTATGTCTCGCCTTCGAGGTTAGAGGCTTAATATGATTCAATTATATTGAGCAGTACATTTCACTTGGTCGACCAATCCTGTTTGATTTATATTATAAAATGAATCTTTGAATCGAACTCGGGCGGTCGGCTTGTTTCTCCCATTAAGCTCATTATAAGGTCGTACGGTAGAAGTATTGAGAATCTTAGAGGGAATTGATCAGGTGATCTCTGTTAATTACAAGGAATCTTATCGGGCTCTTCAATTGTTCAGTCAATTTCTGCACCTTTATTCGAGAGACATTTTAATCGAAATCAAATTGGTGAACAGTATTAAGATAACTGGAGATTGCCACCGACTGTGTGGTTGAAGGTCCAGAAAAGATTTTCAATTATACAACTTGAATAAAAGAATTGACTTGTTTTTCAAAATTGTTTTGTTGCAGTGAGTGCTCTTTATTTTAAAAGCTGATACTTGGAGAAATTCGACTGGTAAAGCCAATGGTGGACACACCACCAAATGATTGTCTGGCATACTTGTCCTTAATGAAATTGTGTTGGATTTCACCCATTGACATTTGAACGTAATAACAGTATACAGCCATGACACAATTATTGATATAAGTGATATTGGCAAGATCAGTATTACCACCCAAGCATGCAACGAGGCCCTCCAATGTACAGGCAGTACCAGTCACATACAAGGCAATAATTACTGAAGAGAGGGCAATACCACTCTTGTTGTATTGTAGGGCATCAAAGTTTTGGAGTTGCAATTCGCAGATATAATAGGCCAAACATTTGATTCTGGCATTGTTAACATGTCCAATGAGTTCCAAAAACTTTTCAACAAAGTCAAAGGATTGAATGGAACACAACTCAAAGTCTAAAGCATTGCAAATCTCACTCTCCAAACTCAAAATCAATCCTCTTGTATAAGTATTATCAGCAGCAAATAAGAATTGTCTGAGTGGAGGTGGAGCAGTTTCACAATACTTGGCAGCAATGAAAAGACAAGCCAAACCATATCCTTGTAAAAGTTTAACGTTGCTAACACAAACTTTACACAAGAATCTATCTAAAATGTCAATGGAAAGGTAGAGTGTTTCAGGTAAGAGTTTGAAACTTACAGCAACACCTGCAATCCATTCGACGAGCATGGTACGCATCTTGGCATTGACATTCTTTTGAGTTGTTCGCCAAACGTGAGGAGAAACTTGCTTGTAACTTTGATTGTTGAATAAATAGGAAAGAATATCATCTTCCACATCGATTGGAAGATGAGTTTGTGTTAAAGTTCTCAAAGAACTTTTTGGAAGGAGGTTAGCTGGATTTCTGATATTCAAATCCATAATAGCTTGAAGCCTGTTCTTATCGACAGAGTTGAAGATATCTGGATCGATTGGTGGTGCTTGTTGTTCACCATCATCTTCTGATTCATCCATCTCTTCGTCAGAAGAGTAGTTTTCATCAGAGGCCTCCATTGAGAACTCATTAAAGGCATTTGGATCTTGTTCAGAACTGAGTGGTGATGATGAGGATTCAACTTGTTGCTCGAATGTTTGTTGATCCTCTGTATATTGTTGGGTATGGTGTTGGCTCGAAGTGTTAAATTGTTGAGTGTTATTGCTAGCACTATTCGAATGAATCATTGAGTGTACTGATACTGCTACTGCTGCTGCGTTTGTCTTACCATTGGCAGAGGAGTATGGATTCAAAAAACTCTTAGAACATTGAGTATTAGTACTAGCAGTGGATAATGTAGTGAAAGTAGAACTAGAATGAGTATTCACTTTCAGATTTGAATAATTATTGGCTTGTGCTACTCTCTTATTCAAATCATTTGTAGAGGAGGTATGTTGAACCTCATGAGAATTGGTAATATTGGCCAAGGCTTCTCTGTGTGGTTGTCTCTTTGCTCCTCCATGATGATGAAACACTGAAGAAGGTGAGTTACATACAAGAGAAGGTGGTGTCCTCGTATCAATAGATTCTTCAACATTTGTATAGGCAAGGGAAGTATTGGAGAGAATTGGTTTACCAACAGGAGGCTTTCTTGTAGTAGTAGTAGAGGTAGTACTACTTGTGGTTGTGGTCATCATTGTGGAAACACTCGAATTATTGTTGAACATATTGTCTCAAAGATAGTAATAATAGTAATAATAGGTAAGTAATTGGAGATCAAAGATTCCGAAAGGTTAATAGATAATAGGACTCGACTAAATGTATGTAGAAATTCAATATTGATGTTGAAATGGTAATATGTATTATGCAATCATCAATAAATTTGTGAATTACTCGCTCGGCTATATAAATTATATATTGGTGTTTGTTGTGTGGAAAAGAATAGAATCAGAGAGGGTGACTGTGCTTCTTTCTTTTTACACTTTTTGCTTGTGATTGAATTGGAATTTTCTTTTTGTGTGGACTATTGACTCAGGTGCAATGGGAAGCGTCCAATTTAAAGGTTTTTTGCCTTACCACCTTTGTGCACACCTACACAACAACGCGTTGCTTAGCACAAACAAAACGCTTCTTGCGATTTTCTCTCTTTTGTTTGTCGATTAAACGGAAAGAGAATAACATCCAATTTAAGAGCATGATGGATGAGAGGAAGAAAATGGCTGGTGCGCTTCTTGTCATTTGAATCTGAATGATGATGATTGAGGAATTTCCGTATTGTAATAATTGGAGCATGTTATCAGAAAATGATTAAAATTAATGGCGCGAACACGAGGCGACCATTATCATAATTTGAAAGCTGGGTTGACATGTTGTAGTTGGCAGTTTCTTGACAGGTCATTATGACTTTTATTGTGTCCATGAAGTTTGTTCAATATTTTGAGAAGGTTATTCGATTACCAATATTGTGGATATGAAAGCCTAAATATTTCAACAAGGCCTATAAGGAACTCTATCAATGTTTCGAGAAATAGTGTAGTAGCGATTAAATACTCATTTATTAGTTTTGGATTATTTAATATTTTGTAAAGAATCGATGATTCAGATCATTATCGTCGAATCAAGTCACTTATTCGAATGAGGAAATAAACAAACCTCAGAAAGTATTTAATCAATCCAATATTGGATCATTATTCAGATATTTATCATATGCAATTCACTGCCTCAACTGGTTTAATTCGCTCTACATTCTATCTCCTATTAAATATTTATATTGGAAACAAATATATTGAAGATGTGAAAATTCATGTTCACACTGCATGGATGAGTGCTTTGTATGATGACTCACGACCATTTAATAATTTAAATTGGATCTTGTTCAATATTGAAAACTGCAAGAGTCCCAAATTGGATGCGAATACAACCACATGCCTACTGATAGATTCTACTACAGCTGTGAATAAATTCATTCAAAATTCTCCATAAATTGTTGTAATGCCTTCATCTACAGTTTGAAAAAAAGTAATTGTATTGTTTTTAATAAGAAAGAACGCTTATTGTCTATTGATTTCGGCCTGTGAAGCTTATCGAATAAGGAAACTATCTTACGATACAGTAAAAGATGTACAGTGGCTCAAATTTGGAGGTCAAATAAGCAGTTCTAGGTTATTAAGGCAGCTTTCTTAGAAAGATGTAAAAAAAAAGAGAAGGGGCATATTTGGACAAAACGATATTGGTTGTATAATTTGAGTTTGATTGGAAATGTGGTTAATAAGAAATTTTGCACATTGGAGGTTTTCTAAGATTATCATTGAAAATCAATGATATTCGAAGATTTTGAACAGTTAATGTGCTCGTCTCGTGGTGTAATGGTAGCATAGTGGACTTTGAATCCATTGACGGAGGTTCGATTCCTCCCGAGACGGTAAACGTGGCGAGCCATAACAATTTTTAAATTTTTTGTTTGTGGATTTCTTCAAGAAATTAAATTTGACCTAGCTCAAATACCATTTATATTCAGTTATGTATTATTATAGAAGGACATGAGAAGCGTCGATGGTTTAGTGGTAGAATACGGCGTTGCCATCGCCGTGACCCGGGTTCAATTCCCGGTCGACGCAAGTAAGCAGGAATTTTTACACCCACGAACAATCATCACAAACAAAGATACCTTTTCACCCTCGCTTATTATAACCGTCAATTTGTCAACCAATGTCGATTTTTTGCAACACATTAGTGCGTATTCCACTTTAATTTACTTACCATTATCAAACCTATCGTCTCATTTAATCAATAGGACCTACCAAAACTGAGATGATCATGAAATTGATCGCATTCATTGTCATCTCTCCAATCTAAGTATTGTTCTTCTAATAGTTGTACTAGTTACCAATATCGATATTCTCTTCTTTTACAAAAACTCCTCCACTACAATTTCTCCAATTTACAGTTTTTTCAAACTCTTGCAAATTTACACAATTCTCCAAACCTTACCATTCTCTGAAAACCATAAATGTTCCTTATTCTCACACCTTCCTGAAGAACAAAATTGCAAATTGCTCCAACTTGATATCCAACCAAACTTTTTATCTTGTCCTCTTTTGGAATTTCATCAAAAAAGATCATCAACGCCATCACCACAGCACTCATACTTCTTCCAAACAGTTAATACAACAATTTCATTGCTTTGTTTGCAGTGCTTCTAGATCTTGTGCAACTTTTTCAGAAAAAATCAACAAAACGAAAACTTTCTGTTCAATTGGACTAGAGTAATTAATAGATTCAATTAGATAGAGAACTGTTACATTGTTTATAAAAGTGAGAGAAAATATAATCCAGTTATACTTTTATATAAAATTAGATAATTTAATATATTTGGAAAAGTAGAAGATTGGATTTCATATCATCTACATTGTAAACACACAACTCATATTAAAAAACTCTTATTTGGATTGCACTACAACATCACAGTGAGCTTTCCAATTACTATAAATTGAGCATCCACATTATCGTCAATACAAGAAACTAAACGAAACAAAATGTCTTCATTGATCAATCACTCACATCATCCCCACTTGTTTGAAGCTGATTCTCCAAAGGCAATGCAACATTTTCATCGTTGTAAAACTACTTCTTCACCAGCATTGTTTCAGTCAACTGCCAGCAATCAAGCTCAACTCATTGATATTGTTGAATCGACAATTGACAGTAAATTGATTCCAGTGACAACAACAGAGAAACCTCAAGCTGTTGTGCCTTCATGCAGTACAGCTCCTTCATTCAGTGAAGAATGGCGTCATTTCATTGAATGTGATCTTGTCAATGCCACTTCTCAATCCATCATTTTTGAAAATGTGACATTAAAAGATTGTTTGGACATTATCACAGATTTTGAAAGATATCCTGAATTCTTGGATGGTTACTTTGTAGCCAATGTCCATAGAAAGGAGACGAAACAAGACTATACAGTAACTTTTAAGAGTTCATTCATGTTTTCCACCGTTGAATATACACTCCAAGTCAAAGTCATTAGTCCAGAACACATCCAATTCAACTCATCCTCATCCAACTGTCTCATCAATTGTGAATCCTCCTTCAAGAAACATGGTGGTCAATGGATACTCAAAGATTTAAAGAATGGAAACATTCAGGCAACTTATTTTGTCAATATGGAATATCCATCTCTTGCTGGCAGTTCACTATGTCAACAACAGAGTGGAATTCATGTTAAGGCAGGTGTTTGTTCCAATATGAAGGAATGGTTGGGTAAGAAATATGTACCAAGTCTATTGGAATCTTTCAAGAAACGAATTGAAGAGTATGGTATTAGAAGAAAGACACAATTTGGATATAATAGTGAATTGAAGAGACATCTTTCTAATCAATTGTGTTTATAAGTAAATAAGCAACAGGAAATCGAGCAAATAATAAATTGTAATCATAAAACCTTGATAGCAGCAAATAAAAGTATCGATGCAAAATTCTTATGGCTCGCCACGTTTACCGTCTCGGGAGGAATCGAACCTCCGTCAATGGATTCAAAGTCCACTATGCTACCATTACACCACGAGACGAGCACATTTGTATTTGAAAATCTACGAACATCAAAAATTTTCACCTCGGAAGTGAACACCATCCCAAAAAGGTAAAATGCAAAATTTCACCACCGAAACGTGCTCAACTCTACCAATTATCTTTTCTTGGTCATTTTCTAACCATTACCACACTACAGTAAAATGACTGTTTTACAATAAGTGCTCTACAGAAACTAGTAAATTATCCGTAATAGTCATGTGCTCAACAAGTTCATTGATAGGAGAAAACTATTCGAAAGTAGTACGGTGCATGATCCTAATAAAATGAGTGTAAATCCAAGTTGGCTTGTGCTCTGAGTTGATTTGGATAGGGTCTGTTGATTGTGTGTCAAATATTATACGAAAGGATTGTAGGGCTGGTGCAGCATTATTGTAAAGTGTGAAAAGATAATAATTTACAGTATTAAAGAAGATGACGTGGTTTTCCTACTGTGAACGGTGTTTGAGAATTTACTGTACAATAATTGTTTTCTTCACCAAAATGTCACATGACAACATTTTCAAACATGACATGTTGATTCTTTAAAAAGATAATAGTAAAATACCCATTTTGACGAAGACACCAACTTGCTTTAAAATCTTCAGATCTTTGATGTGATGGTTCATCCATTTGCCATTTAGGATAACATTACAATCAAGGTTATTCGAAAATCGACCATGAAGAGCACGTTTTCAATCTCAGTAGAAAGGATTACACATTCATTGACCATCCATCCTCTTTTTTTCATTTGTTTCAATGTACATTCTTTATTTGATATCAACACATCGAAAAGTCAATTCGAAAACTTTCCAATATTTTCAAACTATTGGAAAGTTTTCAAAGGATGTGTTACAAATTGTAATCATTCAATAATAATAATGTATTGGAGTTTAATTCCATGTCCATTGTTAATATTCGCAATAGCCTTAAGATGTGGAATTTCAAATCTTCCCAAAAAGTTGCCTTCCGAATTAGGGTTATTGACAACCCACTAGAGTGTGAAATTTTCAAGTGTCAACGCAATAACAAACCAATAGGCTTTTAGACGAAGGGCCAAAATATTGAAGTTGGCGAGTGCAGAGTGCTAGTAATCAAGATGACGAAGAAAAAAAAACTACTTTGACAGCTGGCATTTGGCATCAGTGTTGTTGATCCCGAGAGAACATTAATTTTTCAAATATTGATATATTGAATTTTGAGTAGGTTCATACTTGTTGTTAATTTTATCAAGTAGTTTTGTTTTAAATATTCAACTATTATATACCATACATGGAAAATTGTAATTTTATTTTAAATACAATGAATTCGAGAAGAAATCAACAACAATTAGGTGGACTTTCACCTTGTACATTTATGAGAATGTGTTCTGGTGGTAAGAAAGTCGTGATGAAAGGTTGGCGCCAAAAAGTTTCGAATAATTTAAAGAGAAAGACAAATTCTCTAACAACAAGCTATTCATCACAATCTGATTCAGTAGAAACTCTTCAGAGCAAGATTACAAAGAAGACTCGAGTTTCGTCCACTTTCGATTCAATTCGTATACATGCTCTCGCCCATAAAGTGAATGAAAAACAAGAAGAAATTACTTGGGAATGTGAAGAAGACGTTTCCACCACCGCCCTCAACACAATCCAACCAACACCTTTTCAATCTCGAGAAGTAAAGCAAGAGCTTGTCAATGGTCATTCGTATATATCTCCTTCCTTAAACGAAACCGAAACTGCCGAACCAATTTCGACACTTGCCCAAGATGAAATTACCTGCAGTTGGAGCGCTACCTCATTTTCCATTCATCCAGAAAAAGAAAGTCAACAATACGAAACTATGGAAGATAGTGTTGAAGAAATTATTTTGAGTCAAGACCATGATTCGAATAGTAATCAAGAAGAATGTGCTAATCAAGATGTTGATTCCATGCAAGAAGATGACGAAGAAGAAGCTGACGAAGAAGAAGCTGTTGAAGTTTCAGATAGTTTTCAATTACTTTCAGATAACATTTCACGTGAAACTATCAACTGTGCAAAAGCTAATTATCTTTCCACTCATCCACATGTCAAACCACAATATAGAAGAACAGTTATCGATTGGTTTAATATTCTCCAAACAGAACTTGACATTCCAAAGGAAATTCTCTATCATGCAACAATGATTTTTGATCGTTCACTTGACAGATTTAATATTGAACAGTATTATTTGATAGATGTTGATAATTTGCAGGCATTGGGATGTGCATGCTTTTTTATATCAACCAAGTATTATGGTAGATCGGTCAACTTGAGTGATATTTTACCACCAGTTTCGTCTGATTCGTCTATTGAAGATTTGAAGAAACAAGTGCTGAGAATGGAAAGTTGGGTGTTGAATACCTTGGATTTTGAGTTGAGATCCATTCTATTGATTGATTACGTTGCCTTGTTCATTCATGCCATGAAGAATGATCAAAATTTCACACAAGCTTTTCCATCTTTGGTTGAAGCTGATAATTTTGTAAACTTTATGGAAAAGGTTTCTAATTATCTATGTGAAATTCAATTACACAATTATGACATGTTGTGGTTTAGACCTTCACTTGTTGCTCTATCCTGTTTCGTATTGGCTTTCCAAATGCTTGCTCCACATTCGAATTTCAAATCAGTTTCGATTATCAGAAAATTCCTCAAGATTTACTTTGAAGAAATGTCCAGAATTGAGAGAAACAATGTTGAAGATCATGAAACACAAGGACAATCTTCATTGGTCATTGAAATTGAAGAATTCAACAATTGCATGAAGAGATGTTTAGTTTCCATGCAAAGTTTCGAACAATTAAGCTTGAAAAATCATAATAGAAATAGAGAACATTTTAGAACCATTACCAAGTACTATCCAGCAATTGCACCATTCATTTCTCAACCAGAGCAATTAATTGAACTTTCCATTCAAGATTTGCTACAATGGACCAATTAGAAACTGGACGAATCATTTCCCAAACTAAAAGTGGCTTTCTTTTCCTTGGAGGCATAGAAACTACCACTTATTTTCACTCCTATCTATATTTTACCAATGTAACACTAACAAAATCTCACACAAGAGCCGAGAACCTCTCAAGAGAGCTATTTCGAATGAGAAACCTTTCGAATTATTACTTTCTCATTCTATGGAAGGATGAGATTTCAATCCAAGTCAATTTATCAAAATCCATTTCGATATGTTTTTCACAAATTAGCTCTTGTTCTCATTTTAGCAACAATAAAATTTTGACGAGTTTAAAATTGGATGTTTCTTGATTTAATGTTTGACCAAATGTGAAAATTAGCCAAACATTAAATAATGTCATGTTTCAGGGTGTTAAATGTCTGGAAAAGTCATTCACTTTCTATCAAATAGTTCACTAAGCAAAGATGACAATTGACAGTCCCATTTCCGTCTTTGGACATTCGATGACTTTATTTCAATTAAATGGTTGCCTCTTGCAGAATTTTCCACTACGGGTTCCTTCCATGATTTTAACCTGCTGTGTTGATTGTATAAAAAGTTTCTGTAGTTTCGAATGAATTGTAATGGAAACTGTAGTGTGAACAATGTTTATTTTGCTTTTAAAAAATATTAAACAAAAGCAAAGATTACTTTCTGATAGTATCCTTCTTGATATCCACTCCAATACCTGGTTTTTCCAACAAGACAATTTCTCCATGATTCCTTCCGATTCTACTTTCACTATTCGAAACTTGGTCGTTTCTCCAATCAAAACCTCCTTCAAATCCTTGAGAATGCTCAGCAACAAGCAATGAACCATCCAAATCTCCTCCAATTTCTGCCAAACTCATTAAATGTGAAGAACAAGTACAACTCAATCGACTTGAAACCATGCAACCAAACCACAACTTTAAATTGTAATGTTTCTTGGCTAGCTCTGAAACTGTCAGAGCTCCTCTAATTCCTCCAGATTTCTCCAATTTAATATTAATTCCATGAATGAAAGATTGAATGTTGGCAATGTTTTCAAAAGTATTGACACTTTCATCGGCAAAAATTAAAATTCCCTCATTTTCGTAAGCTTGTTTGACTTGTTCCCATTTGGATGATTCTGAGCTTTCGACTAGGATTGGGAATGGTTGTTCCAACATGTAAAAGTATGGAAGAAAGTTTGGAAGTTTTTCTTTCAATTGTTGGAGAAATTCGAGTGAAGTTTCTGGAGTCCAAGCTGAATTGGCATCGATTGACCAATGAGGTTTGGAATTTTCATGAATATAATCCTTCTCGTAGGTCTCAATCAAGTTTTTCAATATTAAAATTCCCTTTTCAATGTCAGAATCAAGTTTCATTTTCAAATGTCTGGTCTTTTCCAATCCAAATCGAGCTGTTTTTACAATTTCTCCAATATCTTCATTGAGAGCAGCTGTGTAGAATGCAAATTTCTGAACAGGAGGTTCAATCCCAATTAAATTATACAATGGCTTATCGAGAATCTTTCCCCACAAGTCGAAAATAGCCATTTCAATTCCACACTGAGCACAATGTTCAAATTCTGGATGTTTCTCTCCAATCTGATCAAGATATTCATACTGATCCAATCCATTTAACAATATCAATGGAATACTTTGCAATTTTCCATTCAAACTTGCATTTTCATCAGCCAATTTTCTTACGAGTGTGAAATATTTTTCGTCAACATTTTTAAAAGCATTTCCGATCATTTCCTTCCAATTAAATTCGTTTTTTTGCAATTCCACCTTTAAATTCTCACAAAATTGCTCAAAATAAAATTGGATATCATTAAAATCAGCCAAATAACAATTTGCCTTTTTAGGAGGCAAACCACATTCACCAAATCCATCAAATATAATTTTTTCATCACGAGAATGAATGGAAATTCTAATGAGAGCATTCTTTCTTCTTGTGGTTGAAGAATGACTTGTTCCGAAGGCACTTCTCAAGTCCAAATGATATTCAAATAATTCCAACGACATGTAGAGTGATGAATTTTCATCTTGGGAAGGAAAAATTGGAGAGGGATGATGATAGGAGTGGGCTCTAACGAGTTCTGGCATTTTTTTATAATTTTTTTTATTGAAATTGTGAATTTGCCACAAGTTTAATAATATTTAAAAATATTTAATAATGTTTACAATGAATGTGAAATGTATTACTTTTTGCAACAGCAAAGGAATGAAATAATTTTGATCATGTGAATGGAAACTATCATTGGAAAGACAATTAATGTGAAAATTATAGAAGGAATCACCAAGCCAACATCTCTGTAAATCAAACTCAATTTACCAACAATTGATTTTTCCAAATGAGCATCTCTTTCAAGGATATAATTGATGTTTGGAAGTAAAACTTTCGAAATTAATTGATCACGTTGTCTGGATTCTTCCTGCCACTTGGCAGAAGGTGTCAAACTTCTATTCAACCAAATTTCAATATCTGAGAATAATTGATTGGCACCTCCACGTTCCATTAGTTTTCTCTGAATGATTTTAGAATCTTCTTTCAGCTTTTTGAAAGTAAAAGAGTCGTCTGAGAAGAGTTTCTCAAAGATTATCTCATGACGAAATTCGTCTGGATTCAACAAGATTCCACACTTCCCAATTTCTGTTGATAAACCATTGAATACTCTTTCAAACATGTATCCTGCACTCACTACTTGTGGGACTCCATAATAAATACTCTGCATGACACTATTAGCTCCACCATGATTAAATGTCAGCTCACTAATTAATGTCATGTCATCACCATCAAACCATGACTTGAAATGTGAATACTTTTCAATGGTGTATGGTTCTTTAGCTTTATCTGCAACTATATAGCAGTGATATTCCTTACTATCCACAGATTTCACATTTTCATTCAAAAGTTTACAAAATTGTGGAATTTCCTTTTCAACAGTTTCGAATGGAATGGATCCCTTTCCAAAATAAAAGAATAAAACTCTTTGATTTGGATAAGATTTGAGTAATTCCTGCTTTCTTCTCTCAATGGCCTCCAATTTCTCCTCAATTGTTGTAAACGATTGTAAAAACAATGGAACATTTGCCATTCCAATATACGAAACATTTGGTCTCTCATTCACCAATGGAGTTTCCAATTCAGGGATAGTATAAGCAACCTTTAAATTCCTAGCTCTGAATGCCAAATCATCATAGCTTGCTACTGTTGGAAACAATTTCTCATTTCCCTCCAAAAATTCATTCAACACTCCAAATGTTGCACCATTTACAAAAGAGGAAAAATAATTTGCATGTCTTCCATTGAGAATTGGGGTGGAAATTGTCTCTACAATTGGAATTCCAGTTAAATAACTTGAAACTGAGCTTGAAACTTCAAGTTCCTTAACAATTGCAAAAGGTTTAGTCAATTGAATAATTTCCAATTGTTCCTTGAGTAATTTTCTTAAAATGGAACCATTTGCAAAACCTGCCATCATTAAAACTAAATAGAAATTGCCAAATGTTCTTTCACCCATCAATTGTGGAATGAAACTTGGAATTTCAGTGTCCATCTTTCTCGTTCCATTCAAAGTCAATTGATGACTCAACCATTCAGGCAAAATCGATCCAAGCACTGGAATAGTCTCCAAATAATAGAACAAATCTCGAGAATGATCATGAAATTGTCTTTCGTTATCTGAAAGTGTCTTTTTTGTGGCCATTGTTTCCAGAACCTTGTGAACTGCCTTTTGATAATTCCTGCCCATCATCCAAGCCACTCGAATGCCTCTTCTCCTTGCCTCCACTGCAATAGCATGTGATCGAATGATATTACCAAAGGGTCCAATCAGGGGAGGTGAAACTATGGAAATGAGAAGAGTGAGAGGTGTTTGATGATCATCTTCCGAGATTTCAGAAGATGCACAAATACAAGCAACACAACTGCATAGTAATAGAATGAAGTACAAGTAAATTGATGATGGTTGGTGCATCAGGCGCTTGAAGTTTGATCTTTGATTTCTAAACATTTTTTTTTCATATATTTGAATAGTTCTTTTGTGGATCCAGTTGTTGAAATGTTTTTGAAAGAATTGAGCGACTTGCATTTGGCGGACTATTTTACAAGACGGACTGATTGCATTTCCATAGAATTGTTTCTTTTTGAATTGTTTATTAAGGATGGTAATTTGGTGTGGTTGAGGTACTTGGATTGCTACCCTTGCTGACTGAAGGAATGAATGGTGGTTCCTTATCAACCTTTCTTGTGCATTCACCAACTCCTTGGAAAACCATGTGACAGTACTTGGATCTCACGGCAGAGAAATTAATCCTGCCTGTGGCCATACCAACATAGAATCTAAACATGGAGGAAAGACATTCATTGACAATACCAACCAATTGTTCGTCTTCTGGAGTGAGTGATGAGTTACCTTGACAAGCTTGATTGGAAAAACCAAAACAACAAGCCAACTCAGAGTTCCAATAATTAAAGTCAATCAAATACAAGGAAATCATCAATGCAGAAGCTGCAATAACAGAAGGTGGAAAGTTAAGAACTTCAATATTCTGTAATTGCATTTCACAAATGTAATAAGTCAAGTATTTGACAATAGGATTGTCGACAACACCACAAATTTGCAAAAACTTTTCAATAAAATCATAAGGTTGAACAGTAACAAGTTCAAACTCGAGGTTGTTCAAAATTATTCTCTCAATAATGAGAACTTCTTCCTTTCCATAAGTGTCATCTGCAATATAGATGAATTCATTTAACTCTGGAGGAGTAATCTCGTTAAACTTTGAAGAGATGAAGAGAGAAGCGACACCAAATGCTTGCAACTTGTTTCTTCTGACAGACATCTTGGAGAGGGATCTATCCAGAATATTAACAGCCAAATATAATGTTTCTGGTGAAAGAGTGTACATGGAAGCAACCTCATTCATCCAATCAACGAGGATACATCTCATGTTACTGGTAATATCAGTTTGTACAGTTTCCATATATCTTGGATTTGGTTTGTTTTTCATTTGAGTTAAGCGCATGCTTTCCAAAACTTCAGCTTCAACATCAGTAGCAAAGATGACAGATCTCATACAACGAGCATCTTCAGGATTAGTTGGTGGAGGCACTAAAATATTGCAAGTTGATGCATTAATTGTACCAGAGCCGGTGTGATGTTCTCTAAAGTAGTACAATGGTTGCATGGATGGAAGTAAATTGGTTGGTTCTTTTTGTGGTTCTTCATCACTTTCATAGGATGTATTGGCTGGATCTTCTGCAACAAAATTATTATTACTGGAAGAATGTTGTTGTTGTTGTGAAAAATAGGAAGAGCTTTGAGAAACAGAGCTGGTACTGCTTGGATTAGCAAATACAGATGTTGCGGACATGTAACCAGAAGCAACAGCAGCTGAAGTAACTGAATAACCAACACCAATCGAAGGCACGATTGGAATTGTGTTATTTTCTGTCAATTCTTCTTCATCTTCAAAGTAAGCCATTTCTTCATCCTCATCTC